AAAAAGCGAAAACCGAAATCACATCCAAAGCTTCGCTCCCACACAAAAAGCTCTCCTGCGGCTTCGATCGTTTAAACTGCACAGGCAAAAACTCCAAAAATTTCTTATATAAATAAAACCTTAAATAAATACAATTGACTAAATAAATTGTATACAATTTTATGTAATAAATATAATTTTTTATATAAAGTTTGCATGAACTAGACATTCGGAAAACCCGACCAAGGGATACCAAAGTAACTTCCAAGTACTTTTAAATTTAATTCATTATCTGATCAAAGTAATTACTTAAGACTATTATTATATCATGAATAATGATAGTAATAATAGTGTTTGCTTGAAATATTCCTAACACACAGGCGGATCTCGTAAGGGACCATAGTTTGCTATAATTCTAAGGCATTATAGATTTATTGTCTTATATTAAGATCATCCTTTTATTTTTCACGTGTATGCCTCTCCGACCACCAGATGCAGTGCATCTTGTTCGGCTGCTGTCGTTGTCGCACCTGTCGCACAATTTATTTTTCGCCCAAGAAGTAAAAAGCCCAAAAAGCAATGCAATAACCGCCGAAAATAAACAGAAAAGAAAACACAGGGCAGCAAAAAAGCAGTTGCTTGATGTGCGGCGCATATCCGTTTGTCTTTAGCTTCCTTTTCGTAATGACGACAGAGCCGCAAAGAAGCAGCTGCCGTTGCCAATGACCAAAACATGGCCAAAACGACAGAGGAGCCTGGTCTCCTGATCCCTGAGATACTCGTACTTTAACCTTAACGCATCTGCAAAAGTTGCTCTTTGTAAAAGGCGCTTCCCAGCAGAATCGGGCTTGTAATTTGCAATCGTTCACCATGCTGTTCTCTTGTCCGATTTTATTTGTTTTGGCCTTTTGTGGTCATAAAGTTGATCTGCCAAAAAAAGCAGAACGTAACGATGGCCAAAAATTGTTTAAAAATTTCCTCCTTTTCTCATTTTTAATGCCCTTCAAGGGTATTATAATTGTAGTCAGAAGCTTGCAACGCTGTGAAGGAGTCATTTCCGACCATATAAATCATATATATTCTTGATCAGCTGCAAAAGATGAGTCGATCTAGGCATGTCCGGTTGAAAACAAAATTTTCGTATTTTTTTCAAAATTTGATAAGGGGTTACATCGTTGAAATTGTCAAAATTTGACAAAAAAATTCGTTTTTTAAATCTCAAAAATTTTTATTCAGTTTTGCTAGCCCTATAAAAACTAGCACAAAAAGGCTTTCCGATTTGAAATTAATTACAAGCTTGTAGTTATGATCGATTGCACATTCGAACCCATGATCCTATGGCTAAATGCAAGAGTATATGAACTTCTGCCTTTCGAAGTTAGCTTCATTTCTTGTTTTAGGTTCGTATTGGTTCGGTGAGAACCAAAAAAAAAAGGGTTAACAGCTCCTTTTCAGCAGTTGTAGATCAATGTCACATTTATGTTTTGACTTAAGATTTATAACTTTATTAAACAAACACATGTAGTCATATTTTTATGCACATGTTACTGATGTAATACATCAACATAAAGGTTAAAATGAATTTGCCTATGAAGGAAATAATTATAAAATAATGAATAATAAAAAGAACTATGGGTAGAGCTTTTCAATTTATTATGGGGATTTACTATTTAGGCTCTTATTTAGTATTTCACAGGAATGTACATATATGTGCATATATAGTAAAGTTTTATCGCTCTGGATGGTACTGGAACCCTTTCCTTCTTTAGGATCTGAAACAAGTGTATTTAAAACACAATTTCCCAGTTTTAAAGATGTATAACTGGTTTTTTAAGTATCTATCATTGTAAAGTTCTTATTCAGTTTAAAAATGTAATTTGAATTTAAAAATAATTTATCTAAAAAGTTCCTTTTTACAGTTTTTAGCAAACAATTCAATCCAAAAGCAGCTAAGTTAACTTTAAAATATCAATGTTTTGTTATTATTTTCATTTTCCCCTGCCGCACTTAACCTTAACCCCTTAGTTCCCCTCTGGGTGAAAATGTGGCAGCCGCATGTGGAAAATAAATTGCTTTGAAAGCATAAACAAATTACAGGAAATTAATAAAGCCGTTCGACGGTTGTTTAATGGGCCAGAGGGCAAACCGAAGAAGCGACCGAGGATCAGGGAGAAAGGTCCCTATATAACATGATGTATTCCCAGATTGGGATTCGGGGTGGTGCCATGTAAACGATAATGTAATAGGGCGGGAAAACTCCAACTCCCAATGCTATTTCCCCCTTTCCCTTTCTTTTATTTTGCAGTCGTCCACATGGGTGTGAAGACATTCTCGTCGAGATTAGACAATTTGGCATGGTTCGTTAGGAAAAACTGCAAGAAATCAAAACATAATATTCAACGGTTCTAAAAGGTAAGAAATGGAAAATGGAAAGGTAGAGGGGGCAGGACTGTGAGGCAGAGCGTCTTTGTACCGTTACTGGTTCTCAAAGGGAAACTAGTTTCGCCGCTGGATGCTTGGCCTTCGCCGCTGCTTCTCTTGCTGCCGCTCAAAGCGAGACAATAGAGATTAGAAATGCAGGGAAGCAGAAGCAAATGAAAAGAAAGAGAAAGAAGCAGAGGCACCGAAGGAGAAAAATATTAAGAAACGGAGTGCGTAAGGCGCAAGGATCACAAGAATCGATCGCAGAGTAGGTACAGCTGCGTCACAAACTTAAAAGCTTTACCCACTAAAGCATATGACAGGGGGTCCTTAATAATAACAGAACCGTAAAATACCCTTAAAGTTTGTTATCTCTTTAAATATCTATTGATAAAAACCGAATATTTGAAACTTAATTATAGTCCTATATTTCAATATCAAACTGAATGGATATACATATAAACTTTGGCTTCCATAAGTTTGTTATTTTCTTGGTTTTTATTTTATTTTTTAATTGTTTTTGTATTTCCTCATATCGCTACTTTAGCTACAAAATAGTCCCCTCCGTTAGTATACCTAGAGGATTGGTTTCCAAATCCAACTGATCAGTTTATTGTATATTTATTGCTGTACCCAAGGGGTTAAGACTAACTTGGAACGGGGTTATTCAACTGGCATATGGCAGATGTCCTGTTGCGCATCCTTTGTAATTAACAAAAGGAGTCGGGAAGCGAGAGAGAGCCTCAGGCACGGACTAAGCCCATTAAAAGTCTCCAACAATTCAAGTTCGTTTTGTACAGTTGCTGTTTTTTGGCCTCGCCACTGGAACACTCACGCATTCGTTCATTTGCTCCTTTCGGCAGTCCTTCAGACAGTCAGTTGTTCACACAGTCACTCAGTCAGTCAGTCAACCTGTCTTTGTTGGCATCACCTGCCATCGACATCGTCTGCCGTCTGTTAATGTGTTTAATGATGCCTTTTGCCCGCTGCCGATCTCAGTTTGGCTTTCAGTTATGCTAAATTGCTGCCGCTACTCTCTGCCAAATTAAACTTAAGGCAGAGAGAAAGATATTGATAAACAAGTTCTGAAGATGAGCAAAACTTTTAGGATCTCCTAATCTAAACAAATTCTTTAACATGATAGTTATTGCAAAATTCCTTTACTTCGGATCCGAATTATAACTTGTTTAACTGTCAGCACTGTTCGGGGTGCGACTATTAAGACTCTGTACCCATCCAGATGTGTCCGAAGATGACTCGTGCCTGTTCGAGACTCCTGATGCGGGGATATGCTGGTTTTACCACGAACCTTCTGGTTTCTTCTGTTTTTATTATTTTTGTTTCGATCTCTAGCCACGCGCCGCAACTTTCCTTACGACTCTCGATCGAGGGCTGGACTTGGATGCACCTGCTCTCCCATTGAAGATTGAAGCAAACTCGGCTTCAGTAGCCACCGAATGTGGGCCGCCTAATGGAGTTGTCCCCGGGGCCCAAGGTTCACAACTTTTACCAGGACAGCCGCGCGGGGCCATCATTAGTCGGCAGACCACATTTTTTTTGTTTCCTTAATGTTTTATTTTAATTTTCGTCTTATTTTTGGCTTTCAGTGGAGTGGATCTTCTCCTTTTTTGAGAAGAAAGCTTAGGTTTAAGGGAATGCAGTTAACAGTCTGCATACAAGATCCTGAGGGGACCTTTATAACATCGAACTCTAAGCTTTAAGATTGTTAACTAACTTAGTCGTAGTGGTTGCTTTACAATTTTTTTATTCCTGAAATAAAACTTATAAAATATATAAAAACAAGGAAAAAATTAAATATATAATATCATTTTACTAAGCCAAGAAAGCAATAACTTTAATTCCGAAAGCTTTAAATTTTAAGATTCAAATGTTTGACAATTTTAACGATGTAACCCCTTATAAAATTTTGAATAAATGTAGAAAATCTATTTTTCGACTGGGCGTGACTAGATCGACTCGGCTGTTTGACACTGATCAAGAATATATATTCTTTAAAGGGTCGAAAATGACTTCTTCACGGCGTTACAAGCATCTGACTAAAATTTTAATACCCTGGAAGGGTATAAAATTAGCCAATTATTAAAACCCTATTAAAACTAGAACTTTCCTTTGGTTTCAAGAGAGTATAAAAATTTCGGCGCAGGCGCAGCTTGCAACAAAGGATCTCTTAGCAGAAGATCGAATTCTCTGTAGTCTATTGCAGTCGCTGCCGCTGCCTGCTGCGGCAGAGGCCATTCGGCAGGAGTGTTACAACTTCGGCTGAGTTCGGCTTTCGAGCTGAGAAAATACTTTCTCGCTCTCTCTGTCTCTCTTGATTGATTTGTCTTTTTTATATCGTTGCCGTTGCGGTCATACTGCCACAAGGAATTTCTTTACGTCAGGGGATTACGTTGTTCTAGACTTACTATAAAAATGTAAGGGTTTTGATCACTCAATGTTGTTTTAAACCGTCCAACAAAGTAAACCACCCCCATAACGGCCAAATGATGCACCCTCTTCTTGAAACCGAAATGGTATTTTTTTTAAGCCCAGCGCGGTCACACTGACGTGGCTTTCGAGCTGAGCTGCCGCCCGAGTTCGAATCAATTGCGCGCAATCCGTCGGCGGCGGCGGTTGCAAAGAGAAAAACCTCTCCTCTGAAAAGAAGCAGTGAAAAACAGTGTTCAACTCCTGGCCGATCGAGGAACTTAACGCCTTTGGCACGACGACGATCTTTGAGCGATGATGATAGTGGTGCGTTGAACAGTGCTCGAGTGTTTATCTGTCGGTGAGTTTGTGTGCGCGCGCTATTTTATTTGTTAACTGCAGAACCGTTAGCCCGCAAAGTGCAAAGAAATAAACAAGAGAATGATGGAAACAAAATTCCAAAAGGAATCTCTGTGTAAAGTGCAAAACAGACAGGCAAAGAATGTGCCGAAAACAGCATTTAACTCTGGGTGCGGTGATCTTGAACCCGCGCTCAACTCCGCGTAACGGTGCATCGGGAAGGCAGAAGCAAGGCAAGTCAAGTGAGATGGGCGGAGAAGGAGGATGCAAGCCGTTGCATTTCTTTTGATTGCTTGTGTATCATCTTCGGGGATCTCTCTTCTTCGCCCACTCTTTTCGCGGGCACTCTCTGCTCAGTTTTTTGGCGCAGACTCCTCCTCCCCTCGAACTCCCAAAAGGTAATCTCCTCCTCAGCTAGCTATAAAAGTGCCGTTGCTTTTTTTTATGTTCAACCGTTTTTGGGTGCAGCAGCCAACTAACTCTCCAGAGATAATTACCAAAAGCCAAAGTGCGAGGCAGAGCATTTATGTGTGCTGACGACCATCAAATAGTTGGAGCCAACGTTCTTTTAAAATGCTGCGAAAATGGCGATTTTCCTGTCGCCTTATGATTTATTTACATGTGCTTTTGGGGAGAGCGTAGCGCACAAAGCGGCAGAAATAAGAAGCACTTCTTTGTGCAGAAGTCGAAACAAACACTCTGACTCATTTTCTTTGCCGCGCGCTTCATGATGTTTTACCCCAGAGACATGCGAGCGAGAGAGGGGGAGTTGGTGGGGAAAAAAGTAACGGACAAGGAGCAACAGCATCGTCATCGTCGCCTCCTGCTCCACCTCCTGTTTCGCCTCTCTCCCACCATAATCACGTGTCGCCAGCTCTTCTCTTCGCTTGCGATTTTTGCTCTGACCATCAGCCATGTCAGCGCCTTCATTATAATAATTTTTATTGCTTTTGCATAAATCAAAAATCACACACAAAACGAAAAGAAACAGAAATGAAACGGGGGAATAATCGTAAAATGTTGAGAGGCTAAAGAATCATAAAAGGTGCGTTTTTCGGCTGTCTGCACTAATTTCGCATAATGTTGCTCTGCGGCTGCTCTTTTTTTGCCATTTTTGATCCTTATTCCCTTTTGCTCTCCCATTTCCGTTACTGTTGCTTTTGTTTTTGTGCCAAATCATTGCGGTTTGTGCATACAAATTCATTAGTGACGGCTCCTCCCGCTCTCTTTCCTCATTTTTCTCCTCTTTCAGCTTTACCTCCCACACACTCTCATTTCTGAGAATTGGCGTTGCCGTTGTTGTTGTTGCAGCAGAGCGCACCTATTCCAGCCATGGACTCTGCAGGAATTACAGGAACGGTTCTCCTCCCTCTCCTTTTTTTCCTCCATTTCTTTAGTTTTCTGTGGAACTAAGAGCTTTCTTTTTAGTTTGTTTGTGCAGTTAATTGATAATAGCAGAATATTGGAAATTTAAAAGAATTTCTTTCTAAGAAATATTGAGACTCTCAAAATAACATTGCCTATAAACCAAAAATATTTATAGTAATTATTTCGCCTAGACCTCATACATTTGTAGGAAAACATTTTTTAAAGGTTAGTTTAGCACTCAACTAGATTTCATAACTTCGCAAGTTCCTATATTTTTACAATTTACAAATTTAAATATGTACTACATTTAAATAGGTCATAAATTAAATTATATATTAATTTATTTATTTCCCAATGTCTCAAACATAACCTCGATTCTTAGCTTACAGCTTCCCTAATTTTTACTTCGCACTTTCGGCTTTTACAAAACCAAAAAACGAAACACATACAGAAAACGAACTTCACATTTTTTCCAGCTGCTGCGCTCCAATTTATATAAATATGTTTTTTTTTTAATTTTTTCTGATTACTGTAACCAAAAATGTGTCCCGAAACCCTCGGATTCCCATTTCCCCTTTAATGCTATCGTCGCCTCATGACAATTTGGTCACTAATTTTAGGGCCCTCTCTGTGCTTTTCGGTCTGAACCAAATACAGTTGTCGGTAAAATTTTATTGATCTTTTTTTCTGCACAAAAATATAAAATTGTTTCATGGTCGTCGATTGTTGTTGTTGTTTTGGTCCAAACGCCGAAATCGGCAAATCGAATTCAAAACGCGTGTGCGGCAGAATCAGAGTCCAGAGGAGATCCAGTAGAAGATCCCTGAAGAGGGCCCAAAAGAAACGAATCCCAGACTACAGACGCTCCATCGAACGATAACAACAAAAAGGCAACAATCAGTAAATACTTGGTTTAGGGGAAACCATACAGACAGGAAAAATATAAGCTTTATATGCAAATATAATGTTTAAAATTATTTTATTTAAACAACATTATGAAGTAGGTAAAATATGTAAATTCTGCTATATTCTTTTTTAAATTAAATTAAAAAATAATACAAATCAAAATTTATGTAGAGTTTAGGTATAATTAATTGTTTGTTTCAAACCAAACCACTTTTTTCTTGCTGTGCAGAGCCACTGTCCAAGATCAAGCCGAAAAGGGCCGACCGAAAAATATTTTTATCTTGATATTTGTGTTTTTTCGAAGCTGTTTGTTGTTGTTGTAGTGTTTGTTGTTGCTGTTCTAAATACGCCAAAAGTTGCTTTTGGGGCATAAATATATGTCTTTAGTGTGGCATGTCTGGTTGCGTTTTTGGAACTTGGTAAATGGGGCACAAGGCAGACGACGACGTCGGACGGACATGGAGACTCTGTCGAGTGCCCATTTTTGAGGATGGCAGAGAGAGGAGCCCAGAATTCACGGAATTAGTTAACGATTAATGATTGGATATTGATTTCGATTCTGTGGCCTTTGAGAGCGTCTTCTGCCGGTCGGCCGTTTCGCTTTTACTACTCATTAATTTGTGTTATTTTTTTAACTATCGGGCGGCCATTAAAAACGCCGCAGTGAAAAATTAAGTTCCTGCCGCAACATCTTATTCGTTGGCTTTTCTTTCTCCATTCAAGGCATTTTACACACTTTATTTGCGTTGCTGGTTGCCAACTTTCTTTTCGAGAGATTCTCTTCCTTATGGCGTTGCTAACTGCTTTACGATCTGAACGGACATAAAGCACCAAACCCAAGGAAGATAGCTTAGCTTTAGATGTCCGAGGAGAAGACGACGGGAGGGAGATACTTCTCTTCTCAGTTCAGGTAGTATTCCGCTCATTTTTTTTTATTTTTGTATCGTTTGTTTCTGGGAAACTTAATTTGTGCTCCTTGGCCGCCATATCAAATTGGCGCTATCGAATACCTAACACGGACCATACACACATCAGGTCTGTATGTATGTACATATGTATGTTTATACGGACGATGCCCCATATAACTATGAGAAGCCACAAGCTTAAAATTTGCTTAGCTCTTAGCATTTATTTTTTTCGGTTCGGTTCGGTTTCTGCTCTGCGAAATCGGAGGCTTAAATTCTTTTGCAGAGAGATTCCATTTGGAGCATCCTATCCATCCCCTACACATTTGCGTAGAAACTCCCAAAAACAAAAAAAAAAACGAATAGCAATTTTAATTTGTGTGAGAACTTTGCTTCATTGGGTTTCCTCCGCTCCAAAGACGCTGGCATAGAAGGAGCCGGGTGAGGGGATTAAAATGGCGCATATTTGCCGCAGATCATTAGCTATTAACCCGGACTCCTTGGCAACAAGCCCGATTCTTTCTCAGTAATTGAGCTGTTGGAGCGTGGTCCACCAGGCCCAGTCTTCTGGCCTTCCAATCTGGCTGCCACTGCTAACGTGAGATACGCCAAACTATTTGGCAATTAGCGGATAATAACATTTGCTTGTTGCACATTTAACCAAAATATAATGAGTAGGAAGATTGCAAACATGGTAATCTCTGGGATTTTGTAACAGGTTATATGTACATACTAAATGGATACAATATATTTAATAATCTACTAAAAATGCATAGGTTTAAATGGATATTAGGTACAACATCAGATATGTTAAAGACAAATATCATACTTTTAATTTATTTAATATTTATTAGAAATAAAAATACCCTTTAAAAGTGTCTATCAGTATAATGTTACAACTATTATTGTGCTGTCTTGATTAGTTTTTTAATTGTTAGTTATTCAAAGATGGTTAACGAATCCACACCTGTTGAATTTGCTTCCTTCATAATGGAATCTGTTTATTGATATACGATACTGTCTGCTTTTAAATTCTAAGTTTTTGCCATTACACAAAGACTTTTTCTGCTTCTCCACACATTGAGGTTTTTAGCCAACATTCAAAACCCGCTCGAAATGAACAATAATTTCTGATCTGGAGGAGATTCCTTTTGGTGAGGATGGAGCCTCAGCCAGAACAGATGTGGGCAATCAATTGGAGAACTACTCGCCGTGCTCGAACCCCAATAAACGACGCGCTGATGGCCGACCATTTGGACTGATGAGTGCACTGAGTCCAGGGAGAGAGTGGCCCATATTATGCCATAACGATAACAACCAAATGAGTGTGGTCGGACTTATAGAAGAGGAATCTTACATTGAGGAAAAACATGTCAGACTAATTCAATGTTGTCAACACACCTAGTTCAAATATTATTTATAATGGTTAGGAGAACCTTCATTTTCTGCTCAAAACTTTTCCTGAAGAATCCTTCTTCCAATTCATTATCGACGTTTCTTTTTTCCCAGTGCAGAAATCTCCTTGAAAAGAGGGTTGTGGCTGGATCTCTGGAGACATGCCCACTTGTGGTGCTCTTGCTCTTTGTGCGCCAACTCATATTAAACCACCGTTATGCATATCAGCCACACAATTCACAGAAAAAAGGAAAAAAAAAGCGGGGAGGCGGCCAGGAGATCGCCACATATCGAATGGAGATTGGCGTGGCCATGGTAACCCTTTAATTATGCCACACATACGAGCCAGAGCCTCATGCTCTGGCCAGAATCCAGAGTCCACAATCCGCAGTGATCGGCGTTCTAAGCCCGGCTCACCTCTCGACGTCAACGCCTTTCGAATGGCACTCTGCTGGGTTGGTTTCGGTCTTGGCCCGCGTCTGGGGGGCTCCTCTGGACTCGAACTCCTCTGCTACTTTCTAAAAATCTGTCCGGGAATATAAATTGCAGCCACGTTCGCTCGCTGCGAGTCAAAAATCCTGCAACACTCTGGCACTGGCGCATCTTAATTGCATTTCGATTACGCTGCAGTTGCTGCAAAAACAAACCAAATCAAAGGGGCCAAGAATTTCGTTAAAGTAGGAAGAAATGGTAAAAATGGAAGCAAATCAAAATCTGCTAGTGTGGCTGCAACAAATGTTGCTGGCAACATGTTGCACTTGCGAACAGGCCCGCAGCAATTGCAACCGGGAGAGACGTTGCCGCTGCAGTTGCAGCCTGCCAAATAGACAACAGATGAGACAGCCTGGCACAGCCCAATCCCACCAGCTCTGGAACGCCTTTTACGCTAGATTGCCATATGGCTAAGGCTTAGGATGAGGCCCAGGTCCAAGCTCTGTGCTCGAGCCCAAAACAGGTTCCTTCAAAACACTGGCCGACTCCAAGGCCTGGAAATTGTAACAGCCAAGAGCGGAGGTTCGGTTCGGTTCGTTTTGGCTCGGCTTGTTCTCAGGCGGCAGCGTCAGACCTTTTCTTTCTTTACCGCCAAGAACCCCTTCTGATCCTGGTATTGGGCCCATTTAATACAGTTATTTTTATTCGTTGCCCTGGCTAGCTCTCCATCTCCTGGAACACAGTGGTAGTTCTATAACTAAGACTTTCCTTAAATAATGTTTAAAATTCAATTTTATTTTTAATTTTATATTCTATTTTAATTCTTGGGAACTAAGTTATAATGTAACTTTTACTTAGCCATACTATTCCGATATACATATCCCCTTCAAGACTATTGTACAAATCAATGTTTGGGAGTCCCACTGTACATATTTGCTTTTTTCGGAGAAGCAACAAGTACATACATCAGCAGCAGGAGCAGCAGCAGTGTAAGAGCTAGCTAACACACAGCAACATCAACAATGGGAAATGCAAACTGTTTTTGGCTGGAAGTCATGGCCATCGCCATCCATGACCATTCCCGTTCACTTATCCCTCGCTGCCATCTCTCCCCTGTCGAAGCCTTCGATGCTTTCTTTGGCATCGCAGCAGCTCCTGACTGCTGCTGCTGCTGCTGCCTCTTGGAGTCATTAAAAATGATTCTACTCAAACTAGAACACAGACCAACGGGCAACGAAAAAAAGTCCGGGGAAATGGCCATCATAAATGTGTAGATAGGAGAAAGGTTCACAAACCGAACTGTGAATGCCCTTAATGAGCTATTCTTTTAAAACTAATGAAAAAAGGTTAGGGGAACTTGAAGCTAGAAGGCCAGAAAGGCTGGGATTTATCTTTGGGTGATGTTAGGATCAATAAACATGATGATAAGATGGAAAATAAAGCATAGAGGATATTACTTATTACGTTTTCAAATTTTTTAAAACTTTTAACATAAAATAACTTTAAAAAAACCAATACTAACTCAGAGTATTTGATTTATTACATTTCCTTTTCAATTAATACAATTGATATGTACATATACGGTGTTTCGAGGCAAATTGCAACCTTCCTATTATATCTCAGGCCGAATCCCCTCTGCAAGCACATATTTTGCTCAAAAAACCCCCATCCTTAGCCTTCTGCTTGAGAGCGCCTTTAATTTCTATGGGGAACTATTGCCGATCGCGGCGTCGATATCGGGAGGGTGTGTATGTGCTATTGCTGACTTGTCAGCTGTTGGCTTAGGCAAATATTATTACATGATATTGTGCACCACCAGCACCGCCATGCCAGGCCGTGGATTCTACTCCAGTTGGAATCGCCCCTGATCTATACCCGGCGCCCGCTGCGGTTCCCTGAAAGCTTTTTCAATGAATTATTAGTTATTTCAAATTTATGTGCCGTTCTGTTTCTTTTCTGCTCATGCCAAGGCATGGGTTCTTTTTTTATCGTGCGTCTATTTGCGTTTCCGCTTTCCGTTCTCGCAGACTCGGACTTGGGGTCGGTTCTTCTGGGCCCGTTCCTTTCATTGGCTTGCCGAGGAAGAGGGCCCCGGAGACAGGAGAGAGTCTTCGTGCCGTTGAGGGCGTATTTGCCTAACAAAAATAAATAAATATGAATTTATTGCAGCGACGCTGGTCTCTTTTTTTCGGGTTATGTTTGTGTCGCAGGGAACATTAAAACCTAATGCCGTCTTGGGCCACGAAAGCCCCGGCAGCGGCGATGGAATAAACAAATACGAGGCAAAGCCTCGCTTCTCTGTTCCCCTTGCGATACTATTATTATTACTATTTTTTCCTTTTGCTGGCTCTCAATCGTGGGGCAGATAAGCGAAATACGCTGAGGCTGAAACTTGTCCAAGGAAAACACACATATGGAGAGCCAGCTTAAGAATCTCCTCCGCTTTTCCCAAGTGGGGGGCGATCTTTTCTGCTGCCCTGGCAATTCTTCCGCTCAGCAAGCAGCCTGCCTCTCCTCCGAACGTTTCTGGTTTCTACGAATTTGTCACGCTTTGGATTTCAAATTTTTTGTTGATGTTAGCCAACTGTTAATGGACCCCGAAGCTTACGTCCGTCCTCACGGACCTGTCTGTGGCTTCCTCTTCCCAAATATGCTGTGAGGCGTAAGTAAATTCATTTAACGCTTGATTTTGCCCTGAGTTTAGTTTTACCTGCCCCCAAAAACGCTTGATCCTATCCGATCGGATCGAATCCCATTCCCTGGCTCAGGATCCCTTTTTGCGACTATTGTTGGTCTGCTCCATCCTTGCCCGCACAAAGGACATTCAAGTAGGGGCGGAAATTTAATATGAATCGCAGCATATAGTTTTTTGTATGTTTCTCTGTTATTGAAATATGAGATTTTATAGTCTTTGATCGCAGCCCCCATTGTTTGTCTACCTGCCTGCCTACCTGTTGGAGTACACAGAATTTTTAAACAGCATCAAAGGATGTATTTCTTTCAACTTTTATCAAGATAATTCGGGTACTTGCTGAAACTTTATATTCCGAAAACAAATACGAATTTCCCGTAGGACGGGAAGGTGTCAACGTTTTGCATTTTAAACTAAACATTGCACTTGTCCCGGCCTATGTGCGGTTTGTAATAATCAACATGACTCCAATATTATAATTATTTTAAAAAGTCTTTGGAATCGTATTTTTACTGATTAAATTTTGTTTATTTCAGATCTCAAATTTACAATTCGAAGACTAATAAATTATAAGACTAAGCTTATGTATCTATCAATATAAATTCAGGTGAGTTGACTTTAAGTCACGATAGTAGTATATAGTAGATATATTATTAGTAAGCTGCTCAATTTACCAACATTTACAAATAAATAGCTAAGTTTTAGGTAATTACAAATCAAGTTAAAAGTCTACCGTTAAATAGTTGCAAAATATCTGCGCATTTAATATATTTTCATTTATATTTGTAATTTTTCATTTGTAAATAATTTATCACCACATACACACAATTTAAAAATTTCCCAAACGCGCGGGCTCTTGGTACTTTTCATTCCTTTTGTTATGAAAATGTCCGCCTGGGCTGCCACCTAATTTACAACTCGAGCAGCGCGCAGTGATGCCACCTATTGGCTAAGTGTTAGAGATGTGCCCGTGATCTTTATGTGTCAAAAGCCAAGTGTTTAGTTTGCGTAATAATGGTAAATATAAAACAAAACAAAAAACGAATTGGAAAATAAAGTTTTCGTGAAAGAAAAATGGCGAGAAAGAAGTGGTTAAAAGGCTGCTAAACTATTAATCTTTCTGAGCACTAGGTTAAATATAAATCCGAAAAAAAAATGTTTAAAACGTTATGAAAAGAGATACATAATTCCTTTATCACCGCCGCAATCTGCAGTCACGCGATAAAGAGACTCAGCACGCTCGCATCTCTACTACATGGGGTTCGGCGCCTGTGTGAGAGAGAGGGTGGGAGAGCGTGTGGTGCGCGTGTGTGAGTGCCGCCTCTCTTGCCGCTTGCCTTTACACTCACGTTCGTAATTCGTAAAATATAAAAATAAAAATTTTTGTTTCATTTTAAAAAATTTTCTTGCTGCGACTAGTTGTGCGTGTTGAGGCAGAGGCTAAGACTGAGGCAGAGCGAGCACTAAGAGAGAGCAGAACAACGGAGAGCTGGCTTTATTTTATTTTGCTCCGCCGCCGTCGTGTTGCGCAGGCAATCTTAATTAATTTATTTACGTCTATATTGATTTTTTAAAGTAACAGCTACGCTAGCAGCAATCGAGCTAGAAAGCCAGCAGACGCCAACAGACATAAGAGCGCGCGCTTAATAGGTATAAAAATACATACAAAACGGAGGCGAATCTGAATTTGAATATTTCGAGGTGAGTAAATCTATAAAAATAAATTAAGAAAATTATAATTAACGCTCAAGCAGAACGGGAATGTGCCAAAAATAATATTTGTACGTTCGAATATTTATTTTTTCTGTATAACTATGAATTTTTTTAGTTCTATATTGTTTATTTCTTCCGCTGGCACATCATAAATTAGTAGTTTTTGTGCTGCCGCCTGGTTTTGTGCAATTGTTTATTTAAACTTTATAAAGCGATTCCAATGGCTGTGTTGTGTGAGTAGTTGGCGTCTCTGCCTGCGCTAAAAATTAATATCAAGCAGTAGCGTTTCTGTACTTTTTGTTTTTGTTTTATGTAGTTTGATATTTTTATGGTATTCTCTGGCTTTGTTTTTATTGCGCTGCTGACGCCGACGCCGACAGTCCGCGTCGTTCGCTTAGGACCCAGGCAGAGAACGGGATGGCAAAAGAGCGGATGAGTGAAAGAGAGAGGGAAGCGGAGAAGAGAAGAGATGCAGATAGGGCACGCACACCTACGCACGCGTGTGTATACATGTAAACGGCCGTGTAAAAAGCATGTACAAGTCTCAGAAAGCAGATGCAGATTAGGGATGGCAACGCCTATCTATCGGTTTATCGATGTTGCTAACGCTTACTCTGGATACATGGTGGTTGCAGGCATGGTTTTATGGATAATTAATTAACGGAAAGGATATTTAACGCACCCTGAGTTTCTCTGTAAACTAAATGAAATTGTATTATCTCTTCGACCAAAGAGCATCGGACCAAAGTCCATGTGCTATAGTATAGAAGTATAGAAGATCGCTCGCTAAGCCTTTTTTTATTTCTCTTTTGTTGCAAAGAGTTACCTGTTTTTATCTCTTTTTTTTTATTTGCTTAGTTTTTAGTGTGTATATCCTCAAGATGGTTTCTTTCTTGTGCCCTTTGTTTTGTTTGCTTATTTTCTTGTTCGTTTCTTTTTTTTTTAAGCCAACATCAATTATCTTTAGTTTTGGGTTTCCACAAATCTTTTGGTTCAGGCGGGTTTTTTAATGTTACTTTTTCTTCAATAGTTTTAAGCAGTGTGCTTTAGCTTAAAAAATCAAAATCATTGAATCATTAAGCATCAAGCTGAAAACTAAAAATTAAAAAAAAGGAACTTAAAGTATACTAAGATGGAACCATCTTGTGATTTAAAAAAGGAGAGCACCGACGTGGAAACCGAAGCAGCAGTAGTCAAAGGAACTAAGGGCATGGAGAACCTGTCGCACTTGTATCCCCCATCGCTGCCAAAGGGGCGTGGCCGGCCAAGGGCCACCTACGCGCAGACGGGCGAGTTCGATCTGGGTTTGATCCGGGAATACCGATCCCGTCCAGTCCTGTACGATCGCACCAACAAGCGTTTTAAGGACAAGCTGTATGTGGCCCAACAATGGGAACAGATCTCCCACAAGCTGGGTTACGATGGTAAGGAGTGTGAACACACCCGAAGCTGGCGGGGATTAATGACGGTTTCTTCTTACAGCCACCAGCCTGAGAGATCGCATGATTACGCTGAGAAACCGTTACAACATTGAAAAGCGGCGCGTCGAGAATGGACTCTCCACACAGGCGTCGCAGTGGCCGCTGTTCGAGAGCCTCCAGTTTCTGGGCGATCACATACGGCCCAGGCGCAGCTTTAAAAATATGTGCAAGCTGGAGGATGACGAGGAGCCGTACGAGGTGGACGAGAGCGATAGCAATGGGCATATGATGAGCGTCAAGGACGAGATGGAGGAGGATAGCGAGATCTTTGATTGCGAACAGACGCTGCCCGTTACCACAGTGCTGGGGTGAGTTCGTGGATATTCTCTATTGCTCCAGCCCGTTTCATTTCTTTGCTCGATTTTTATTTCTTTGTAGGATTCCCCTAAACAATTCCGATGAGATTAAAAACCAACGCCAGATGAACGGAAGCGATGTGGCCAATGGCAAGAACTACAATCACTTTGCAGAGAGCTACCAGCGACGGCAAAACATTCAGCCGGAGTACATCACCAGTAGTCCCATTGTCCACAAGAGCAGCAGCGGCAAACGGAGAGCACAGCATGAGGAGCATCCGGCGAAGCGCAGTAGGACAGCAGTAGAGGAGTCACAACATTTATCCACATTTCCTTCCTTCTATCCCGAGCCCTTGCCACCGGCCTATGCCAAGTTCCATGGCTTTGGCGAGTTTATGGTCCACTCCTTGTGCGACATGCCGCCGACCATAGCCCTGCGTCTGGTGCAGAAGTTCACCCGCGAACTGGTCCAGACCTCGCTGCGCAACGAGGACAGCGGCAGCAGCAGCAGCAAACGGAAGCCGGATCAATCGGATCCAGTCGATCCGGTCGATCAGAGCAGCGAGTCGCAGGAGGAGGAGGACGAGTAGATTTTAAGTTGCAATTTTTAATTACGGGTAGGGACGCGTGTCTACATCTATATAAATATAGCCGCACTAATGACAGATTCGATTACTACATTAACATATTGTATAAAGAACTCTTTTCTTTTAAGTCTTCTGGATGAAAAGACCCAGAGCATTTCATTTATCAACAATAATGGCAAACCAAAATATACACTCATTTGCTTTGTTTTAAAGGCAGGGGGACACGGCAACAAAAGCGGGTCAACTAATCCACATTTGATCATTATTTCAGATTCGGCAAACAAGCTATGTAGTACTCGCCTATATCTCTAAGATGCACAACTGTAATGGTATTGAATCCTATATAAATCCCATATAAGGGCCCATATATACGTTTTATAACAATATAATATAAAACACGTTTTATTATTTTACCAATCCTATAGTTTTAAAAACAAGAAGGCTTTAAAGAGACTCCCACTACCAACATGATAAAAGTTGTACCTACTTTTTAGCCGCAAAGCAATATAACAAATACTTGCAGCCAAGTCGAATGTAATCAGGGATTACGATATGTGTGAACAAGACCCTGGTAATTTCAAATTTATATTTAGTAGACTGACTTGTCTCATATCCTCTAAATATGCAAAATAAAAAATTGATTAGACCCTTTTAGCTTGATGTTTAAGGAAGTTAATGTGGTGCTTTAAATATTTGTGTAAGCGGTCAGGCAGAAGAAAATCCTATAGTTTTTTATATATATGTTATTAAGATGTTCCCAAAGAACCTAATATTTATTATCATAAGTTTTCGTAGGCCCCAAAACCACCACCCCACCGAAAGCTTAAAAAAGCTCCCACATTTCACCCTTATCTTTACAGCTACTCTCGTACATCGTGAGCACGGCAACTTTATTTATTGTCATGCATGTGATAAAAGGATGACTCTTAAAACCAGTTGGACTGGAGGAGGCATTAAATTGCTATAAGATTTACTACCCCCATAGAATTTTCATAACTATCATGCAATAAAATTCCGATTGCTCCACTTATGCCTCCTGGGAGGAGTAGGATGCTGCTGATCGATGTTGTGGGGAAGGCATACTCAACATAAAATATGACCAGCAATACCGAAATCCACAATGAGAAGCAAGCATGGCTAATGCCAAATTAAGTCTGAGTAGCCGCATCTCCATTTGACCAAACTGGGTGGGGCCCGGGGCCTAGAGAGGTGCGTTTCTTCTTTTTTCTTTCTTTTATTAATGCGTCTATATTTCTTAATTAAATTACAGCTCCATGGGCGCTCATGGGATTGACTATGTGTGCGTGTAATTATAGTGTTTATGTGGCACTTGGACATTCCTGGCTCTGGCTTTTTTCCCAGCTTGGCTAGTTGGCTGTCTGGCTTATTGATATAGCCAAGACCCAAAAGAGGTGAGTGCTGTGCTGTGAAGTGGACCCAAGAGATGAGAGTGGAGTGCTGCATTAAAACGTCACCTGATGTAGGCCGTGCCCGGTGCTTATTTGTTGCTATTTGAAAATACAAATTGCACTAGTCCCGGCCTGCAGTGAGTGTCGCAGGCAACGATATGCTGAGAGAAATGTGATCAACGTTCTTAAGATTCATATATTTATATAATATTACTAAGAAAAATGTAAATGTTAGTTTATTACATTCTTTTGATATATCTAAATATTTGATTATGAAATATATTTATCTGATTATAAAATTTAATTTAAAATTGTTCTCTATTATTTCACATTTTATTTGTGTAAAGAATAAATGTTTTTTAAACATAATTGTTAAACTATAGAACTATGTATAATAATACCATATAATTATATTGTTTCAAATAAAAGCTTTAACAGTTAAACGATTTTCAGACAGTACTGTATTTCTGTGTGAAGTATTACTGGGTAAATGCTGGTAAGTGAATTTTAATGAAAAACTGGAAATCTACATTAAATTAATTGGAGAAGCTATGCATCTCTTTTCTTTGCGTGCACCCGACCAAGTTTAACATGAACGTTAAGCTTAATGCTAACCGCGACACCAGAAACCATGCCCATAATGCGGTGCGGCATTTTGCGTGCTGCTGTTCGTCAAAGTCAGGCACCGTCTTCTCATCTTCTCGTCTGTCTGGCCCTGTAATTATATAATTTAATCAAATTACTTGCATATGTTGCCAAAAAAAAAGGAAACGCCGAAACCTAAAACCCCAAAAAAGATGGAAGCGGAGAAACACTCAAGAGGGAAGAAAGAAAGACTTGCGAAATGGCCAAAATGCGGGCCAACATAAGTGGCAACTGAAATAAAAATAAATGCCAACGAAAGCGGGCTCCTGGCGGCTCCTAAATGCTTTATAGCCGCATTTCTGACAGTGAAATGTGCCTGGGCCGCCTGCGTGTGTGCGTGGCCAAGGTAGAAGGATATTTGCGTACTTTAGCATTCATCATCATTACTCTTCCGTTGCGGTTGCATTTTAAATTTTTAGGCGCAACTTAACTTGACAGGCGGCTTGACAGTTGCAAATTGCAAGCTCACACACCCCGGCTGACGGCCAAAAGCTGGTCGCTATGCACGCCATTATCGTTAGAGAACTCGAAGAGCTTTCATTAATGATATCTGGTAGCAGAGTTAGCATAAATCAATAATGAAAGTATAAAGAGGAATACTAAGAATACTAACTAAGAATTCATATTTGCAATGTGTATTATCAATGGACTCAGAAGTTTGGAAACACTATTGAATAAGCGTTAATTAATTGATTATTCAAATGATTTCATTTTATTTTGAACTGAGAATTTTGATTAAATGTAATATAACGATTAGATGCCTATAAAAACGGGTTCTTAATAAGAAAAAGGAAATTAACTTCGGAATGTTGAAGTTTGTATACCCCTACTATTTGCAAATTAATAATATGATCGAACGACGAGACGCAGTTGGTAACTACTTACCCTGTAGCTGGTAACGTCAGTCCGTGGGTGAAACTAGAAATCCACCCCCGAGTCCGGCTGGTCACACTGAAAGACAAGGCGTATGTATACAAATTGGCGTAGTGTGTGAAAAATCGTATTTGCCAAATAATTATTATTATTGTTGCTGAATTGCACATTGTTGTGTGAAAAAGTTCCTGCTTTACAAACGAGCACAAATCGAGCTTAACCCCGTCTCAACTACATATCCGTCTTGGCCAACACAATCTGCACCCACCGCACACACACCGAAGGCAGTCCAAGATTTCGCACTGTGAGTCACTTGTCCAGATTTCCCCGAGAGCCGTACGTAAAGACAGCAGACGTCGCCGTCGCCGTCGCCGCGCAACCACTTGCTTGGTAATTACTTAAGCCACTTTTTCGAGGCAAGCAGCTAGTCCAGAAATGGCCGCCGTTGAAAACAATGAGCCCCGCACGGAGCTGCAGGAACTGCAGTTCAAGTCCGGCCAAGTGGCGGATGAGTCCCTGGAGAGCACGCGACGGATGCTCAGTCTGATGGACGAGAGCAAGGAGGCGGGCATCCGCACGTTGGTGGCTCTCGACGACCAGGGCGAGCAGCTGGACCGCATCGAGGAGGGCATGGATCGCATCAACGCCGACATGAGGGAGGCGGAGAAGAATCTGAGCGGCATGGAGAAGTGCTGCGGCATCTGTGTGTTGCCCTGGAAGAAGGTGAACATCAAGGATGACGGCGAGAGTGCTTGGAAGGCCAATGACGATGGGAAGATCGTGGCCAGCCAGCCGCAGCGCGTCATTGATGAGCGGGAACGCGGAGGAATGGGCGCTCCGCCGCAATCGGGCTATGTGGCGCGTATTACAAACGATGCCCGCGAGGATGAGATGGACGAGAACCTTGGCCAGGTGAACTCCATGCTAGGAAATTTGCGCAACATGGCGCTGGACATGGGCTCGGAGCTGGAGAACCAGAACAAGCAGGTGGACCGCATCAATGCAAAGGGCGATGCAAACAACATACGTATGGACGGTGTCAACAAGCGCGCCAACAACCTGCTCAAGAGTTAAATTCGCATAAAAGACAGTCTCAAATCCAAATCAAAAACAAAATTAATAGTGAAACACGATAGCCAGGAATCCACGGAATAGCCAGTCAGTCTCCTCCCGCTACCATCAACCAAACAGGAGAGGGTTCGAACCAAAAATGTGTGGGCACAAACAGCAGCAGCAGCTGTTACTGCAGGCTACTGCTTTATTTATACTATATATTATATACAAATACAAGTAGTATACTTGACTCCGGCTCCTGGCGGACAACAAACGTAACGGACGCATCTACATACCTACCAGCGCACCTCACCAGCCGGGAGAACTTGCTACTTTCTACGACTATACTTATACATATATATACTGTTCTAAATACGTGCAAAAGCAAACCACAAATATTAACTACTTACTATTACTCGTGTACAAATAGGGGCGACCCCCTCTCGGATTTGCCGGAAACAATTTTATTATGAGATTTACCAGATGATGGACGTACTCTGTTTTTGGTACAAAACTTTTTGAGCATTTTACCAAACTCTGTGTGGAATCAAAACCCATGTAACTACTGAGATGTATGAATATATTTACAATTTGTATAACCACCGGACACCGAGAACCGATCATGGGTGGTGTCTCATATCGTAGCCAATTCTATGTTTTACATTGTTAAAGTTTCTTTGCTTTAGTCGAGATGCGATGATGCCATTTAACCACCAACAAAAAAGTCCAGCACAGATTCGATTGAATTATTAATGTAACCTAGACTCGCACACGAACCCGGCCTCTTTCTTCGTATATGTATGTCCCAAGTGAATGTAACAGAATGAGTTTAGCTTAGCCTAAGTAAATATTGTTGATTGCAAATAATAATCCCATTTAATTATTAGGAAACGACCGACCTGTTTGTGCGCAAGATATTTCTCGTTATTTATTATATTGTATTACAAAATGTATAGCCAATTAATTAGATAACATTATTTATCGCTTACATTCTTAGCTCTTAACTTGCAATTATTTGAAAATACAAGAATTCACCTTATGGATTTGTGGTTTTATTGCACTTTACAAGAGGATTATTAACTGATTAACTGAGAATTTTTAAGCCACTCGAAAGTAGTTGCTGGTTGCTATGTATCCGGTGAAGTCATCGTCTTCGACGTCGTCACATTCGTTAGCCCGGTCAAACTCAATTTCCGGCGCCGCCTCCACAGGAATGTACACAATGCTGCCTCGGGTCAGAGTAATCTCCTTGGGGCCCTGCTTTGTCAGGAGACGCAAAATGCGCGAGCCTTTCAACACAATCAAGATGGAACCAAAGGCTTGAATTTGCAGCTTGTAACACTTGAGGGAGTGATGGATGTTCACGTGGATCACAGCAAAGTCCGGCACGGGTGGAATGTACACTTGCACCTGTTCGTCGACGTGATACGGAATGAACTCCTTGCGCTCGGGATGCCTGCTCTCAAAAATTACGGAGTCGAGCAGCTGGTCCACATCCTTGTACTTGGGCGTTAAACCGGCACGTATCACATTGTCCGAGCAGGCCATGCACTCCACGCAGTCTCCGTCGAGGTAGGCGTGGATCTCGTTTGCGCCCAGGTAGATGGCCTGACCGGGCTTCAGGCGGACCAGATTGAGGAAAAATAGTGACAACACGCCTACATCGCCGGGAAAGTCCTTGTTTACTTTGTTGAACACGTCCAGCAGATCGTTGGACTTTAACTCTGAAAGCAAGGTCATTTGAGACAGTATTGCGCGGATATTATTTATTTATTGCCTCACCCTTCTGGTAGTTCTTGGCAATGGTCTTGATGCACTGGCTAATAACCGCCTCGTCGGTCTTCATCAGCTTCGCGTAGCACAACTTAACGCTGTCAGCGTTGGGAGCTTGGTGAAGTGTATCCACAGCCTCTGGGCCAATCAGCTGGCTAAGAGGCTGGAACTCGTCAATGTTGTCCCTTATATCGCTGGCCGGCTGGAAGCCAACTAGTGCTAAGAATGGCGTCAGGGCAATGGCCAGCTCCGGCTTATGGTTGGAATCTTTGTAGATCTCCGGGCGCTCCCTGTGTAGCCGCTCCGCCTCGCACTTGTTCGGATGCACCTGGATGCTGAGCGCCTGGTTGATGCTCAGTACCTTAAACAGGTAGGAGAGGTCCTTGTTCAGCACACGGTCCAGTGTCTCCCCGGTGTTCTTCACCACGGATACGCCGCACACATGAGTGCCCATCCACATCTCTGCGTAGGGCTCCTCCTCATTCAGTGTGAAGTCCGGATCGTTGGCCATGGCAAGTTGGGCCACCGCCGAGTTGATGCCTTTGCGGCCCCAGTCATAGTTCTTCACCCATCCAGTCAGTTCCATTTTTTCCTAGAATCCAAAGCAACAACTAGGCTACACAATCGCTTTATAAAATAATTCTGATATCAGTTCGGTTGGGCGCCGTGGTCTGGCAACGCTGCTCAAGGTCAAACTTGCACTTGTGAGGGTCAAAACTAGAAATAGCTTTTCCTCGCTCTACAGCGGGTTGCGGAGATTCAGACGACGGATTTAACTCTTTGAGGGGAATGAAAATGAGTAGTGAGGCTAGAATGGCAAGATAAAGACTAATGGGTGGACCAACGGTCTGGCAGCTTTACGAGACTAGTGTGCCCGCTCGCCAGAAAGTTAATTTTGTGATTTGAAAATGCGCCATTTTCAAATCCGTTTAAATAAAACTTAACTTCTAAAAATTCGAAAAAGAAAGCAGTAATACCACAGTTTCTTAGACGATATCTTAATAAGGACATTCTTTAAAAAACACTTTCATTATTACATATGTAGTGGGGTTTATTATTTTTTTTTACAAACTCTTAAATTAAAAACAGTTTAAATGATGACAATTTTTGCTATTTGGTTTTTACAATCTCGCTATCGTCTATTTTGTCAATCACCTGTTTTAAACAGTCCTTCGTTGATGTCTTTTCCAGATCACATATGCGCGTCAGGTCCATGGTGGCAATCTGCTCAATCATTTCCTTGATCTTCTCCTGCTTAATGATAGACTTCACGGACTGTCTTACCCCTGCACTCCCGCCAGTGACACCCTGGGAGGCCTTTGGAGCCTGCTCAGCTAAATCGTTTTCGATTTGCTTTCCCTTGGCCCGGTAGTGCTGCTCGATGATCTTACGTATTTTCAGCTTGGTAGCTGCTCTCGATTTCTTAGTCGTTTGTCCCATGGCGAGATTCCGAAGCTCCTGGAAGTTTATCTCCTTGGTTGGCGTCCCGACGTTTTCTGGTTCTGGTTCCGGCTCTGCCTCTTGTTCGGATTCAATGTAGTCCAGTTCTAGGGACACCTCCTCCACAGTGGCCACGATGCCATCGTCATCGTCGAAATCCATTTGTAAGCTTTGTTTGCTCTTCGGTTTCTCTCTTTCCTTTGGAGTTTTTTTCACCGATGGGGTTATGGGAGATACTTCGTCCACTTTGGGTTCTGGAGTGGATATCACCTTCTTTTCCTTTACTTTGGGCTTCTCCTCAACTACGGGCACAGCAGTTTTTACATTCTTTTCTTTAACTTTCGATTTTTCTTTGGGTGGCGCTAGCCGCTTCTTTAGTATGCCAATGCAAGGCTTCGTTTTGATTCTCACAGGAAGCAGAGAGTTGTACTGAATACCGATACTGTTAAAGCAGTCAACAAACTCCAAGGTATCAAACTCTTCTTGGAGCGATGACCACAACTCTGTATTCTGCTTATTCTTGGCCTCAATTAAGAGATGGGTAAATCCTTCTAGCTCTGGTTGAGTGTAATTCATTGACTCGTCTTTGCTGTAGTTCCACTCATTGCGGATTTCCATAAACCGAGAAACTCCACTTTGGGCGGCCAAGTTGGCAATGTGAACGGAGACATTCGAAGCTCCAGCTTCCAAGCGATGCAAGCGGGAAAGGGCCGCTCCACCCGGGTAGTTGGTGCCCGATATGATAAGTAAGAACACCGTCATGCCGACATTCAACAGGATGTGAGCTGCAGAGGCTAGTGCCAGAAAGCTATGCCACGTCGACTTGGCGCTGTTCATCCAACTGAAAAGGGTAAAATAAGTACGTTGTCATACCATAAGTAAATAGAGCCCCACTTACATGCGCTGGCAGGCGCAGGCTGCCGTAATATTGAGCACTGGAAAAACATAAATGATAAAGCGCAGCTCCTTGTGGGGCAATATGGAGTACAGCAGCACAAAGGTTAGAGCTGACAGAGCCAATGGTCGAATGCGTGGTTCCAGGGCAATGCCGATAGGCACAAACACCAAGGACGCACCCATAGCCCGGGGCAGAGCCGAGTAGAAGTACCAAAGGAAGGGTGACGTGCCCCAGTTTGAACTCTTATTGAGAATAGTATTGTACCAAAGAACCTCGCCCTCGGGCCACAGCAGGCGGCGCCAAAAGAATGAGTCCACCAGCACGGTGGCCGCCAAAATGCAAAGACCTGCCGGCAGAGCAATCTTCAGCATCCTAATAATAAATAAACAAATAAGTATAAAATAATATGTCAGAGATGGATCACCGCGCACCCGTCAATGGAGAATTTGCGCTGCAGCAAGCTCATCGCCAGTAGAAAACCCAAAAATAGTGCCAACTCGGAACGAAAAACGATGATGGCGACGCCAGAGCAGACGATGAACGGCTTGTGTTGGTCGCGCAGCCAATAGGCAATAGCATAGAGCACTGCAAAGATCTCGAATCAATAAAAAAAAGGCACAGAGACCAAGGCGTAGGACTAATTACCTATTGGTAGGGCAAACATGTTTGGCAATGGTCGAGTCATGTAGAACATGAAATGGAACTGCGTAATGGTAATGGCGGTGAACCACAGCCGCACCTCTACGCCATATATCCTGGTCACGGCTTGTCGCAGATTTGTCCACGCCACAGATATGGCTCCGGCCAGGACAAGGCGCACTAAGTGGAGTACAGATTAATAACTATGAAGTTGCAGAAGTTGGCGAGCTGCCTTTTACCTACATATTGTGCCCAGAACTTATTCACATTCAGTGTCTCGAAGAGCAGCACAAACGGCGCGGATAGCATGGACACCACCAGAGGTCCGATGAAGGTACGAGGCACCACCCCGGGATACTCATGGTGATCGTACTGTGGAGCGAGATATGCAATAAGGGTTTGTCAAAAATATGTAAGGTATTTAAAAAACGCACCTCTGTGAAGTTGTTGCGCAGGTAGAGAATATCGTGCATGGCCTGCAGATTAAAGCTCTCCTCCACCTTCGTGAAGGGTGTGTAGACCAGATGGGCCGCTGCCGTTAGAAACACCAACATGTCCATGGTGATCTGCGGTCTTCGGCGCGTCTTTGTTGGTATTATAGATGCTGGAGCAGCAACTGTTGCATTACATAATGGTCACCGACTTCTATTTATCCTCGGTTGTATTAATATATTTCGTGTAGTAGGTGCAATTGTAGCATCTATATTCCTATCTCAGCCGGCGTTCCACAAGAGTTGTGTTGTGCAAAGAAACCTTTTTGGTTGAAGAACCAACCGTGTGTTCCACCAGCCTGACAATAAGTGCCAATGAGCAAGCATATATATGCTCAGTCGCGAGTAGAATATGTATGGTTCCAAAATAAAATCGAAGTAGATATATAAATAGATCCCTCCACGTCGTCGGAGACCACAACAAGAGCGAAGAACAAGAGAAACAACAACAGGTCCGTGCACAACAGCTGATTGCCATTCTCAGGGCGCCGTCAGACAGGCACTGCGGTAATCGTCACTGTCCAATACTGGTCGAAAGGTGTCAACGATAACTCAACTTCGACTCAACTCTGTTTTAGCTTTCAAAAATTCAAGTCATTCTCCGTTTTTTTTTCTCAGCCGCTCTAGATTCTGTTGGAATATGTCGAAAATGCGCTTGTTAAAGGAGGAAATTGAGTTGTTCCACCAGAAGTCATTGCCAAAATATGACGGACTAAGCCCGGAAGACCTGTATGTGATGTACAAGAAGCTCCAGATGGAGCTGGAGCTTATTCAGGTTCAGGAGGACTACATCAAGGAGGAGCAACGCAATCTCAAGAAAGAGTTTTTACACGCCCAGGAGGAGGTGAAGCGCATCAAGGCCGTACCTTTGGTAATTGGCCAGTTCCTTGAGGCAGTTGACGAGAATAGCGGGATAGTTGCATCTACCACCGGCTCCAATTACTATGTTCGCGTCCTGTCCACCATCGACCGCGAGCTGCTGAAGCCCTCGGCCTCAGTGGCACTCCACAAGCAGAGCAACTGCCTAGTGGATCTAGTGCCGCCGGAGGCAGACAGCACCATTTCAATGCTGTCACCGGACGAAAGGCCCGACGTCACCTACTCGGACATTGGGGGCCTAGACCTGCAGAAGCAAGAGATACGCGAGGCTGTGGAGCTGCCGCTGACCCATGCCCAACTGTACAAGCAGATTGGTAAGTGTACTTGTAGGAAATCCTTTCCCCTCATCAAAGCCCATTTCCAGGTATCGATCCGCCTCGGGGCGTATTGCTCTTTGGTCCACCAGGATGTGGCAAAACGATGTTGGCCAAGGCCGTTGCCCACCACACCACCGCCTCCTTTATTCGTGTCGTTGGGTCCGAGTTTGTCCAAAAATATTTGGGCGAAGGACCACGCATGGTGCGAGATCTTTTTCGCCTTGCCAAGGAAAACGCTCCCTCAGTCATCTTCATCGATGAGATCGACGCGATTGCCACGAAGCGCTTCGACGCTCAGACGGGTGCTGACCGAGAGGTTCAGCGTATCCTGCTAGAGCTGCTTAACCAAATGGATGGGTTCGACGAGACCACCAATATCAAAGTGATCATGGCTACCAACCGTGCTGACACTTTGGATCCGGCTCTACTGCGCCCCGGGCGCATGGATCGCAAGATAGAGTTTCCCTTGCCAGATCGTCGTCAGAAGCGCCTGGTTTTCTCCACAATAACCTCGAAAATGAATCTGGCGGAGGATGTGGACCTGGAGGATCTAATTGCACGTCCAGACAATATCTCAAATGCAGACATCAACGCCATTTGCCAGGAGGCGGGAATGCATGCGGTGCGCGAGAATCGTTATGTGGTCAACTTCAAGGACTTTGAGAAGGGTTACAAGACCAGCGTACGCAAGGATGAGGCACAACACGAGTTCTACAATTAATGTCATGATAAAAGGCACAGTCACATTACACATAGCTTCTTTATTAATTAATTAATTATTAATTAAATGTTCTACAGGCCGCAACTTGAATATCTTTCTAGAAAGAATAAAATAAATCTTTTCTAAAAGGACGCAACTTCAAAACAGATTATCCATGAAATCTAATATTTAAAATTGATAACTACATTAATCGATTAGTCGTTAATCGTCGTCGTTCAGTCGATTCAGATTTCGATTATATTTTCTTTTCCCAACCGAACAGCTGTTTTGTTTTAAACTTGTTTTGCGAATTTTGCCGGCATTTCATTTCGTTTAATCTGGTTTGGTTATTGCTTCTGTGCCTTCAATATGATGCATTTGGAGCGGTATGTGACGAAGATAAAGCCCGCCATCGAGGGATTCATAAAGGAGCCCAACAAAGACAACCTGTCAACGGTGGAGCGCGAAATTGAAGGATTTAACTTTGGCGAAATGCGCATCTACCAGGTGCAAACGCTGGTCCCCTTGGTGCTCAAGCTGGACGAACTGTCTGGGTAAGTGTGACAGCGGAACTAAGCCGCCGAAGAGGAATCATAACAATCATTGCGCTTTATCCCAGGGAGAACCAAGAGCTGCGCACCAGCCTTATGAATTGCCTGAGCAACATTGTATCGCACACTTACCTGGCGGATGACAAGGGCCTGCGTTCCATTCTCGTGGTGGTGCTGCAACAGATTCGCGATCCCAAGGCAGCCGTTATGCGACCTAATCTTTCCGAAGAAATCAAACTGGCGGCAATACAGTGCATATTTGAGTCTTTGCGCCGGTCCACAAGCGATGTGCTAGAGTCGTTCTATGTCAAGGAGACAGCCATGTTGCTGGGACAGATCCTGCTTACGCTCCTAGAGATTATTGAGCGGGAAAAGTATCGAAAATTGGTGCAGTCGGCCCTGCAGTGCCTGCAGGTGGCTTTCTATGTTCACGATGAATCCGATTCAGTGGATGTGGTGCTGCGCAATCAAGTGGCCGATACCATTTTTATATTTCTTCCGAAGGTACTTATTGTACTATTTAAGACATCCTTGAAAGATGACAAGGTTGGCGAAACCATTAAATCGGTGAGCAAAGTCTTGATTTTCTTGTTTATTCCTTTATGATAAGGACTTTCTCTAGATGGCTGTTCAAGCCCTGGGTCGCATCATCTGCATCATGTTCGAGGAAACCACGGACGAGTATATGAAAATGCGCTACGACGTGGATGCCTTTCGAAACCTCTTCAATGGCACCAACGGTCACATAGAGGAGGGCGAGTTCAACTATTTTGGCAACAAAAAGGGCTCCATCGAACAGAATGAGGAGAGACTGCATCAAATGCAAGCGGAGCTGCGTTCGCCCCAATGGGTTTCTGCTACATCCCGACGCCTGCGGCCCATTTTCGTGGAGACGAGTATTTTGAGGGCACACGAAGCCTTGAGACTAAGAAAGAGCTATGCAGAAATGTGCTGCCTGCTTCTTACGAACTGTGCCCACAACCTGCGGAGTAACTTTATTCACATCCTGGAGAGCGTGCTGGCATTGTCGGAGGATGAGGATCTTGAAATAGCCCAGCGCTGCAGAGACACCCTACTTCATTTGCAACAGATGCCTAGCAGTCAGGGCATCTTTGATGAGAATGCCGAGATGCTGCTCGATGCTCACCTGAACAAATGGCCAAGAATCTTGCACCGCTGCGAGGACAACGAACAGTTTGCTGAGTTGCTCTTCTTTAAGGGTTTCTTGCGCAGCGTCAATGCCGAGAAACTCCAACTGCTGCTTCTGGTCCCCAAGAATCTGGAGATGTTCGTTACCTGTCTGTTGACGGCCCTTGACTTGCGCACCAACCGGGAGCTTCTGAACGAGGAGTACTCCCTTCGTCGCATCCGCGAAGGCGACTCCAAAGACTTGGCAGCAGAGCTGTCTAAGCTGACATGGCGCCAGTTCAAGCATCTGGGCTCTGACCGCACTGTAGCGATTCTGTATGACATTGCAGCAATTTTGGGCGCTGAGCCAGCATTAAACCGCTTGATCTTCGACTATTGCCAGGAACTGATTCACCAAAGGTCTACGGCCATGAACGAGGCTGTGTTACTCCTAAATCTAATGGTGACGCGGGAGGAAGTGAAGGCGTCCCGTGAAAGTCGCCTGGTGCTAGCTAGACTTTTGCTGGATCAGCTGCTCCGCGATGAGCACTGGAATTTAGCCCTGCAGCCGGACGCAGCCTGGCGACTCAAAGTGGATAAGCCAACTCACTGGTTTGAGGAACGAACACCGGGAATCTATTCTTCGGCAGTGGAGGTTCGTACTCAGGATTGCGATTCCGATGACGAGCAGTCCGAACAGGTCATCAGTAAACGAGTGAGCATTGCGGACGCCCAGTTCAATGTGCTGCACACCTGCCTGGTGTTGGATGCAGTGGGACACTGTGCCACATTCATTGGTGACACGTTTGACAGGTACATATTCCAGAGTCTGCACAAGGTGCTCCTCAAGGTGGCCAGCAGCAATACTATTGTCCACCTGGCAGCTAGTTTCGCCTTTGTTTCCATGCAGCTCGCCTTAAAATATGCAGAGCCATCGCACTTCATCGAGTGCTCCACGGACTACATCTCTTTCCACCTAAACGCGTTGCTGAAACGACGGTCGACTGAGAGCACCGCTGCCGTGGACATTCTCACCGTTGTGCTGCAGTACAGCAGCCGTGGAAATGTGCCCCACTTGGACAGCTTATTCCATACCATACGCGACGAGTGCTCCAAATCCCACCAGATGGCCAATGTACACTCGTATCTGCGTGTGTTTAATGCATTCCTAAAGCACGTCTCCGAATGGAAGGGTGATGCCGATGCCGAGGTCAATGCTTTCGAGTCGCCAATGCAAGTAGACGATGATGAGAGTGTCCTTACCACATGGACAAATGTACTTAAGAAACCGCAGTTACTAGACGATCCTAATGTCGATGCCAATATGACTGATGTGCCTGTCCAGGATGCCAAGGAAGATGCAGGTGGAGATGATGATACAGTACCGGAACCCACGAAGCCCGTGCTACCGCGTCATGTGGAAATGGTCAAGGACATCCTAAGTCAGGTAATCAAGTTCGTTTCGACCGCTGAGCAACCGCAGCAGATAGCGGCTATAGAATGCTTCTCCAGTGGCTTGCCCCTGCTGGCAGCCTATGAAAACGAATTCCTACCACTGGTTCATCTGGTGTGGCAACCTCTGGTCGAGAAATTCCGCCAAAAGGATGCCCTAGTGCTCAACCGTTGCTTTACTTTACTCCACTTACTGGGCGTACACGCCAAGGACTTTATACTCAAGCGGAGTCTCAGGTATGCTTGCTGTATATTCTGTATTTGCTGTATTTCTTCATAAATTGTATGTCCCGCTTTTTTTTAGCGATGTGATACCACAATTAAAGCAGTTCCTCAAGGCAGCCAGTCTACAGAGCAGCAGAAAGGAAGACAAGCAGCAAGCCAAGACCCAAGAGTACAAGCTACAACTAAAGTTACTCCAGAGCCTAGCTGACTTTATACTGGGACTTCAGATAGAGGGAAAGCATCTTCATGAGCTGATGTCGACGGCTGCGCTCTACCTGGCGCAGGAGCAGCCTCCGGAACTGCAGTCACTGGCCAGACAGTTCTTCCTCGAGCTGGCGGTCTACAACGGTCCCTTTGTCTATGTGACGCTCTTGCAGCGGGCACATCTTAAAGATTACAAGGTAAACGTTAGCCAGATCCTTGAAGCCATGGGTTTTAGCACAGCTGCTAATAGGCCTGAAGCAGAAAAGCTTGACCAATAAAGAACAACAGACGTCGTTTTTATTATGTATTTCACAATTGCTCTAATTCTGGTTCACTCGATGATTAACATTACAGGCTTTAATGCTAGATGTGTGTCTTTTAATGCGCTTTGGGTAGCTTACATACTGTCTGTCATACTGTACGTAAGACGTATATGCAATAGTTTTTGGATTGAAAAAAATCATTGGATTATTTATTATTGAGGTATCTCTAACTTGAATAGTTTTATTAAATATAAACAAGGCAAGGGTTTGTTTGAACAAAACTTGTTTTTATACACAAATGAAGCGTGGTTCGCGAACAAACAAATTTGAAATAGAATTTCCAGTTTGGTAGCCAAAAAAATTAAATGCTATGCATAAACAAACACTGTCTCATTCTTTTTTTTACTTACAAGTGGAACCGCAGATGCTTGGCACCGATAAAACTTAGCATCCGACTTCTAAAGCCACTCTATACAATATAACATATCTTCGATCTGTATCAAATATAGCTGAATTTTTAAAATGATTGCTGTCCTCAAATTTTATCATCCTGTGTTCATCCCGTTCCAGGCCCTTCCTCGCCTCGATTTCGCAATACTTGTACTTAAGTAGTGAAGCTAGCAGCTCGCTGTGTGCATAAAGTCTATTGAGCATCTCCTCCGAATCCTTTGCCGTTGCCTCTTTGATCGTTTTAAGCTGCACAGCTCTGCGGTTGTGGGTTCTTAAGCTGTTGGAAAATTGGTTGTGTTGTGTGTTTTGTGTGTTTAGCTATTGAAGTTATTTAGCAAACTGACTACGCCAGCCAGTTCATTAGGCTGTTGGCATAGGCCATGGGCTTGACGTCAGGATGCGGCTATAAGGATAGAAAGCATTTGTACATAACAGTCTTCGCCATTACATGCTCACACTTACCACTGCCTCAAAGGATTTGTAATTTGGTTTCAAGTTGTTTCCCGTTATGGTAATAAATGCGCCCATATTTCCCATAGTATCACTAAAAAGAAAGCTCTTAGAGTGGAGAATTGATCGTTTGATACTCCTTTCTCTTTGCTTACCAATAGTTGGGAGCTGAGAAGACTGTTATGCATTGACCATTGTGGGCCACTTCATAGCCCATATCCTTGACCTCGTGACTGCGTATAATGTAGTCCAAGTTGTTGTTCTTGCAGAACGCCTCGGTCACGTCCGGACCAAACTGGATGCCAACACCGCGCTTGGATGGTCCGCGTCCCATCCATTGCTGCGGATCGGACCACAGAAGCTCGCACATGAGCCCCTCCTCGGGCGGCTGGCAATTGCGCTCGATTCGGCGGATGTTGTCCAGGGTGACGTTGTCCGAGGAAAAGAGACCGCCGTGCATGACCAGAATCTTCTCATTGATGCAATGACACAGCGGCAGCCAATTGAAGACCTGAGTGAATATATCGGCCATGGCACTGGTGTACTTTGCCGTCACTTCACCGGTGAATCCGTACATTTGGTTCATGTTGATACTCTCATGGTTTCCTTAAGTTTATCCGATCGATTAGTTCGTGAAGATAAGAAATAAAGCATCAGCACTTACCACGTGACAAGAAGAAGTGATTGGGATACAGCAGCTTGAAGCCAAACAACGTGAATATACATTCCACGGAGAAGGAACCTCTGTCCACAAAATCACCATTGAACAGGTACGGATTCTTCTCGGATGGCAGTCCGTTTATCTCGAAGATATTCATCAAGTCGTAAAACTGGCCGTGAATATCGCCGCAAATCGTAAACTTCTCCTCGTCCGGCACGGTGATGTCCACGAGGGGCGGCTGAGCCCGCATATACGCATCGATCTCACAGAGTATCTAAGACAAAAGAAAATTTTAGAGAAAGGACCAAGTTACGCTGGGATAGACCTCACTTTGTATGCAAATTTGCGATGCAACCGCTTCTGGTCCTTGTAGTGACTCATCAAGTCCTTCATAAACTCCAAAGTTACCTTGCCGTCCTCCAGCTGTGGACCCTTGTAGTCATCCTCAATAGCTGAAAGATATATGATCATATTATCTCTTATTCTGGCAAAGTGCAAGCTGTGAGCCACTTACTTATATTCTCCATATCTCTGTACATCTCGGAGAGCGTCTTCTCTGGCTTATCAACAGCAATGGCCCGCTCGAAGGCACGCATTTTGACGATCTTGTTGCATTCCGTGAATTTCAGCTTGGCGTCCTTGTCGTTGGGTCGACACTTGGCCACCTAAGAATAATGTGCATGTGCGTCTTAGGGGTCAATAGTGAGTCATAGAGGTATAGTTACTCACAAATTCAAAGTCGCAAAGTGCCTGCTTGAATTTGCCAAGGGACATATGTGCCGCTGCCCGACGATAGTATCCTTTGAGGTAGGCAGGGTCCGCCTTCACCGCCGAGATGCCGTCCTGCAAAGCGTAGCCGAAACTCTCCTGGCGCAGGTGCGCCAACGATCGGTTGGCATAATATATCGCGCTGTTCGGATGCAGTTCTATGGCTTTGGTGTACATGTCGATGGCTTTTGTGAACTCCTTGGCTATGCATGGGGAGAGGGGGAGGGGAGGCGGTCAGTATTTCTAATTAGGCCCATCGAATGGAAGTGGCCGGAGACTTGTAAATTATCACACAGCGATAGCTTCTGTACCTCCGCTTTAAGGTTAGGGTGAAGGGCCCCTCCGAATCTAGGGTCGTCCCGGAGTGCGCTGGCGCTGACGCCTACACGATGTCCACCTGTCGTGGACGTCACGTTGCAAGTGAAGCGGGGGCGGTACTTACTTTTGAGCAAATCGTTTCCTTGATTCTTGAACTGCTCGGCCGCGGCAAAATCCAGATCCGCTTTCGAACAGGCATTTGTCTCCGCCTCCGGCTCCTTGGGCCCCGTAATCTCTGCAGTGGCGTTACCCTGCTGCTCCTGCTGGCCCTCAGCAGCCTTTTTTATTTCCAGCTCGGACGAAGACATGTTTTTTGTAACAAAATTATTTTCTTAAACTATTTACTGTCTGAAAATGTTCGAGGGTTGGAAAACGACAAACGGAATTAGTAGTGTTGCTCAACACGCGGGTCTATCGGGTTAATCACTTGTTGTAGAAGAGGCGCGATGCGTTTAAAAAGCACGTTTTTCGGTATTTTTTAGCGAAATTGTAAACATTTTTAAAGCTTCCCCCGCAGCTTTGGGTAATCGATAACGGGCTTTGCACTGGTTATCGTAAATCAGATGTTTTGAGATAGGTTTGCAGTAGACCCGGGCTCGTGTCACGGTAGCTCACGTGCGATTGCAAAAATAATTCGCACAAGTAAACACAAAAAAAGAAACTTACTAACTACAGCTTTTCGTGTGCTACCAGAAAAGTATTCCTTATCTAAATTAGAAACATGAAAAAGGCCAAATTGTTTGGGGAAATATTCTACAGCTTGAGTCTAGTTTTGTGATGCGTGCACAGCTTGAAACCAAACTCACGTGTGCATCCCTAGCTTAAACAAAGCAGTTGTGGGAAGAAATAGAAGCGGAAACGGGTTTTGCGTTTGGTAACTGGGAAGCAATCGCTAGCATTCAGCACTTTGGGCAGCAGTCTGGAGTTGCAGCCGCATCAACATCAACGCCAACCTATCCCGAGCCGTGCCAGCGCAGCGCGAAACTGATCGATAAGACAGAAGCCAGAGCCAGCGTGGGGGCGTCACCGTCGTGGGAAAAAAAATCAGCAAAAACATAAACAAACGCCAGCAATATGTCTATGAGCAATCTATCAATAGACGGCGAGTTCCGTTACATTATCCAATGGTTCAATGAGTGGAGCGAGCTGCAGCGGGACGACTTTGTCTACGTTTTGGTAGAATATCTGGCTCGTGGCTGCAGTACAGACGTGGGCGGCGCCGGCGCAGATGGAGGCGGCGGTGTCTATGTGAACGGCCTGGTGAACTCCTTGGCCAGTGCGGCCGTGCAAGACAAGCCCATGAGTTTGTTCCAGTGCCGCGTAAGTACACAGTAGAAAGTTCGGGCGCAGCTCAGCAGCCAAGCTAACGGTTCATTGTCCGCAGATTAAGCTGTTCCGTGAATGGAGCCCCAAATGGCCGATCGAGTTTAAATGCAAGCTGCAGGAGAAGATCAGCGAGATCGACGCAAAAGTGGGAGAGAAGATCATAAATGAGCTGAGGGGGCCTCATGGTGTGCACAATGGCGACGTTGCCGTGCATTTAAATGCAAATGGGGCAACGAGCGACGATGGAGGCAGAGAACATGAACTGGAGCAGCCGGCGGTGGCAATTGAGAAGGCTGAGGTCGCAGCTTTAGCTTCAGCTTCAGTGGTTGTGACAGAGCCAGCTCATGAGGTAGAGGCGGACAATGACAATCGCTTAGCGGCGGTCTTAAGCCAAGAGACACCCGTTGATGATGATGACGACGTGGAAGTAGAACCCCGAACAGAATCTGCTGGCAATACTACTACCGATGTAAATGGCCATTATCCAGCGGCTGCAGTGACAACGATTGCAGTGAATACATCTCCATCGCCATCCCCATCCCCAGCCAATTCCACGACTCCAGCAATCGTCGAACCTGTAGAACAGGTCGAGAATAGCGTTACAGTCACCGTGTCTGCCCCAGCCGCAGAAGTTCCCCCGGTTGCCTAGAGATGCAGCCGAGCCGCTCGTTAAAGACAAACCATCCCAACTTGACATTCCATTTCCACGCGATGCATTTCTAGTTAAGTAATCGAATCTGAGCCCACAACCCTGGGCTCTCGGCCAATAAGACTTTCTCATTCTCTGGCCCTTTATTTCCCATCATCGAATATCTTAAGAGAGCATAAATTGTAAGCACCATTAAACGGGAAGTACGCTCGATCCATTCAACATTTATCCCGTATCCTGTAATGTTTTTTTTGCTTTACTAACTAGCTCTGCTTGGCCCAAAACATGTTTTTGTGTCATCGAGTTGTGGCTAAGGCTGTTCTGGCCGCTGGTCGGTTACTCATAGTGCTCTTGGATCTGTTTGGCTGCTCTTTGGCCCAATCTGTGTTTACGGCCTGATAATTGGTTTTCTCGCGTCGCTCTCTTTCCGTTTGTTATTCGTCGTCGCCGCTGAAATCGAAATCACAAAATCAAGAGCTGGAAGTGGAAGTAAGATATGCATGCGGCTGGTGCGGAGATTGGACCAATTTATTTCAATTTCGCGCTTGGACCGACGACGTTGTGGCCGCGGAGTCCGATTCCCAAATTATCTCAACTGAAATGCTTTGTTCTGAACCACTCGCCGTCACACTGTTATTAAACATCCTGTTGCTCCTGAGAGGTGAGTGAATCAGTATTGCCGGGTAGTCCTATCCCGGAAGAACGAAAGACTGAAGAAGCGAACGTGCCGCGGAGGTAGGGTAATTAAGGAACAACGCCGCTAAGTGGGTCAAGGCCAACTAGAAATTCCCAACAGACCATGCGAAGGGCAATAAACCGCGCGAGCGATTGCGAACGCGAACGCCGCTCCACAAAAGTGAGTGAGTAATTGCCGCGGGCACTTCTGGTTTGCTGGTTTTCTGGTTCGCGATTGCCGTCTTGCCGACATTGACCCTGGCGGCCCGCTTATTTCTTGCTTTGCCATCCAGCCTCTAGTTGGTTTTTCTTGTTTCAGCACATCCCGGTGCCACTGCCTGCCACTGCATCCGCCTGGCCGAGTGCCAGCCCTTCGCACGCCTGTTGCTTCACCATGGCCCCGGAGAGCAGTCCGCCGTGTTCGCCAAGGTTCATTCGGCAAGCTGTGGCTTCCAAGGCCTTGAGCTGCAGGTCTGTTGCCCCACATCTCGCAAGCGCTACCTCGATGATTCATCCTTGGTCAAACCAAGTCGCATGCTGCGCTTCGCACCCCCAGACGACCGCTGGATTTGGGATGACTTTGGTAATAGAAAGTCGAGTAGTCACTCCAATTCGGACTCCCAGTCCCACATTGATTACTTGGAAACGGAAACGAGTCTGCATGATTACTGGGATTTTAAAGAGCAGCGAAACTGCCCTAAGCCATTGGAACCGGAGTTCTTTGACCACCGATTTGATGGTAATCATCACTTTCACTATCGAGTAGAACACGGCAGTAGCGATGGAGCGCGAACTCCGCGACCAAATCCCATGGACAGACCCATTGTGTTTCCCGGAGATCTGCGCTTTTTGCGTCAGGGCGGAGACGAAACAATTGTTGACTCGAGTGAAGGACCACCCCTGGCGCCATTCACCACCACTCCACCTACAACGATTGTTCCAGCTCCAGCTCCCCCCACTACTAAAATCACATCACCAACACCCGATGCTGTGATGACAACGCAAGTTAACCTTCCGGGGTGCGGGATAAGCGTAGAGAGCCGACTGCTGGGAGGAGAACAGGCCGCAGCAGGACAGTACCCATGGCTGGCCAGGATCGCTTATCGCAATCGATGTGAGTGCTCCCATTAGGCGCTTTAAATCCTCAATTTAGAATTTTATTAACAATCCCCAATCAACGCAACACCCGGTCTCCTGTGTGTCTGTGTGTGTGTAAGGAATGTCAGGAAGATCCCTGTTTGAAGCGAACCTGTTCTGTGGGTATCCTAGCCAATCTCGTTGGCCACGATTCCCAACCTCGTGGTGAGATAGACTCCGAAGGCAAAGAGTAGAGCAGCTAGCCCCAGGGCCACGGGTCCTCGATTGTTCGGAGGTGCAGAAAGTCCGCCGAAGCCACCGTCCTTGCCCCCAGAACCCTTTCCATCAGAAGGACTACCCCCTTTTCCCCCAGGTCCGCCCTTGGGACACTTTCCACACTGGGTTCCATCGCAAGGTTTTGGGCCACAGGGCTTTCGCTTCGGGGGAGGAGGGGCAGCATTACCACCGCCGCGAGGAGCGCCAGTACTACTACCGCATCCTCCTCCATTAGATTGGCAAGGGGCTTTACCTGGTGGCGGTGGCGGTGCTTTGCATTTGGCACAGGGACACGCGCACATCTTTTCCTGGGAAAGGCTGAGGAATAAAGAAAGACGTTCTTTTAATGTGTATATTCGTTATTATGTTTACAGCCAGCAGCCGTATTAGCTTCCGCTGCTCCGGATCCCTAATCTCTAGTAGCTACATTATCACCGCCGCCCATTGTGTGGTGAACCTGGTCAGCGAACTAGAACTGTAAGTTTGAACCAGAAAACTAATAGTGTCTTAATCCTAGCTATCTCTTTCAACAGATCCCATGTAAGATTGGGAGGACCGGATGCTTCAAATGCACTAACCATTAGTCAGGTTCTAGTGCATCCCAACTATGATCAGCCCCGATATTCCAATGACATAGCTCTTCTGCGCCTCAACAGCACAGGTAAGTGCTCCTGAATCTGTATACCGTGTCACTATTTTTGGACTTATTCCCTCTATTGCTTCCAGGAGCCATTACGCCTATTTGCTTACCTTTGAACAACTCGACGACCCTAGGAAACAGGTTAATTGGACAAACGGGAGTTGCAGCCGGTTGGAGTACTAGGAATCCGGAAAGTGAGTCTCAAAAAAAATATATATCGTCTATATCTGGTCTGTTGAATTTTTCAACTAACTTTTACTAAACTCAAAGCTTGCTTAGGACATTCATTCCCGGTTATTATAAATTTTATTTGTTTTTCCATCTCTAGGTAGTGGGTCAAGCAATTTCTCCTCCGAGGTGCGCTTCATCCGCTTGCCCATAGTGAACACCACCAGCTGCGCCATAGCCTATGCCAGCCTCAGCGAGAACTTTCAGCAACCGATCGTGATCACGCCGAGACATCTTTGCGCTCAGGGTCAGCCCATGAATGACGTGTGTCGCGGGGATAGTGGCGGTCCCTTTATGGACGACGGCAGCTCTGGTCTATTTGGAATGATGGGACGGCACACACTAATCGGTATCGTGGCTTTCGGACCAACGCTGTGCGGAGTGACCACCATTCCCGGGGTTTACACTCTGGTTAGTAGCTTTACCGATTGGATCGTGCAGACCATCAACGGGGTACCCAATCAATGAGCGGTGGTCCCCTCGGCAACCTAACACAAGTTCATCCAAAGCCTTCAATGCCAAAGTCACAGAGAATACCCAGGAATAATCATTTGGGATTAATAAAATCATATGAATATCATATATATATATGTACTATAATATAAAATCACTGAACTACCATATAGATTATATTATACTGCGTAAAGTAAAGATCTATATCTGATCCCACTATTATTGTTCGTATCTGATTTCGAGAGTCACCCCGAAAAGCTTATGGGACAAAGCTTGTGAGAACACAGTTTCCAAAGCCATCGGCCCAGCTTCAGTCGTGTGCCAAGCTTCGCTTCGGTCACTCCGCTGTCCGCTTTGTGGGAATTCCAATTTAGTCATCACATCTGTATCGTCCATATTATCGTGCCGTTTATTTTGATAACTGCTTCTGCGATCGATCTGTGATACCACATAGTACCGAGACCAGGCTAAAGACAAACCAAATACCCACTGACGACGTCTTAAGAAAGGATTAAGCTTGCGTAACAAAAATGTTTCAACTATCAGTTATCTGCTTCTTTGTGGGATTTTTGGCGAAATCATCGGCGGGCCGTAAGTAAATCAAATTGAAGACTTTGGCTTTGGGACTCCCACAAGATTCACATCTTCTGGGGATGACGAAGTTATTTGTTTTGCCGCGGGCCTTCTAAAACCTGTTTTATTGCTTTTATAACTAATAACCAAAACCAAATGGTTAGCTTAATGAATGAAAGCGGTTACTTACATGCGTCTTTAATACTTTTAACGTCCAGAGTTCTATTTCCCCAATGAGGCGGCTCAGGTGCCAAACTATGGGCGCTGCGTCACGCCCAACCGGGAGCGGGCACTGTGCATCCACCTGGAGGATTGTAAATACCTTTATGGCATTTTGACGACCAGCCCCCTCAGAGACACAGACCGCCTGTACCTTAGCCGCAGCCAGTGCGGCTATACGAATGGTAAAGTGCTGATTTGCTGCCCGGATCGCTATAGGGACAGCTCACCGGTCACAGCAATGCCGACTAGGCCCAATATCACCAGCACCAGCCTTCTCCCGCTGCCCGGTCAGTGCGGTAATATACTCTCGAACCGGATTTACGGTGGCGTAAAGACCAAGATTGACGAGTTCCCTTGGATGGCTCTGATCGAGTACACGAAAGGTAAGGGCATTGGTAATCAATGGAAACGTTTATAAGCTCACCCATAATTTATTCCACCATGCAGCTGAGGGGAAGAAAGGTCATCACTGCGGCGGCTCCTTGATCAGCACCCGGTACGTGGTGACCGCCTCTCATTGTGTCAATGGAAAATCACTGCCCACCGATTGGCGGCTGACGGGAGTACGTCTTGGAGAATGGGACACCTCCACTGATCCAGACTGCGAGGTGGATGTGCGTGGCATGAAAGACTGCGCGCCCCCGCATCTGGATGTGCCCGTGGAACGCACTGTGCCACATCCCGCCTACATTCCAGGCTCCAAGAACCAAGTCAACGATATCGCACTATTGCGTCTCGGCAAACAGATTGAATACACCGACTTTGTTCGTCCGATCTGCCTGCCACTGGATGCGAACCTGCGAGCAGCTACATTTGATGGTATCACCATGGACGTTGCTGGCTGGGGCAAGACAGAGCAGCAGTCTGCCAGCCCCTTAAAGCTCAAAGCGGCGGTCGAGGGCTTTCGCTTGGATGAGTGCCAGGGCGTCTACAGTGGCCAGCAGATTCTACTGGAGGAGACTCAGATGTGCGCAGGCGGAAAGGAGGGCGTTGACTCCTGTCGCGGAGACTCCGGTGGCCCGCTTATTGGGCTGGACACTAACAAGGTGAACACGTACTACTTTTTAGCAGGCGTTGTCTCCTTTGGACCAACACCATGCGGCTTGGCCGGTTGGCCGGGTGTCTACACTCTAGTGGGCAAGTATGTTGACTGGATCCAGAACACTATCGAACCTTGAGTGTAGTGAGGATTGTAAATTGAGTTTTTATTGTAAATAAATTGGACCTACAAATCTGTTTTTCAATTATTTGTTAGAGTTTGAGTTGTATTTGCGTTGCAAATACAGAATCCCAGTGATAAACGGTTTCAGCAAATTACTGACGTGCGTTTATTTGCAAAACTGGTTAAAAATATTGTTCGAGTTGATGGAATAAAGTTCTTGAAGCTTTTGTTCAGTTTATCTTTTCGTAACATGAAAAATCATATTAATACGTTGAATCATCGTCTTCCTCAGGCTTCCAGTAGCCAAACAGAGAAACCGTGGCATTGCCTGCAAGATGGAAACAAATTTAGATAGCCTTAAATTTCCAGGAACTCGAGGTTACCTTCTGTTTTGAACACAATCTCTTCGCCCTTGCTAAAGTTGAAGTTCAGCAATGCCTGAGGAATCACTGGCGACACCGTCGCCACAATGAACAAGTAATCCTCGATCATAAGGTAAATCTTAGCAATTTCACCGGAGTCGATGGCGACACCCGAAATGTGCAGAGATTTCGGAGTGCAACAAATGTACTCGGTCCCAGGCGTCATGTTTAAACCTAGGCAGCAAAATGTTAATAAATTAGATGTTTTTAAACCGTGCAGACCCACGGGAGTCCACTTACCAAAAAACTCTGGCATCTTGCGAAAATATTGACTGTTGAATTCTGCAAATAAAAAAATTTGTAAATCCCAATACGAAAACTTATGCATAAAACGCACTGTTGCGTAAACTCTACACACCAATACGACCACAATTCTTTTTCAATAATGGCGTATCCGGGACGCTCAACGGTTGAATAATGACACCCGGAAACAAGCTTTTCAGTCTGGCGGCTCAGTTAGAAAACAATCGATAAATAAAGCATCGATTATATCGATGAATTAAAAAAATGTTCATTACATTTTTATTTTAGTTTTAGTTTTATTATTATTGAATTGAGAAACATAATGGTAATTTTTTAGAAAAATTAACCGCATTAACGACTAAATACTGAAAATATCGGCGAGCCAGCAAAGGCAATTGTTGAAGTAATGACATCTGGCAGCTCTTGAAGCAGGCGTGCAGTCTGGGAACTCCGACGGTGGTAAAAATGTTGAAGAATATCTACGTAACGCCGTTAAATTTGCTTAAATCAGCCACCAGCCTGCAGCAACAAGTGCGAGTAAGTGCTATTCACGATCTGAGAAGCGATCCCCATTCATCACATTCTGATTCCAGACCACGTTCGTTCTCAAGCGAAAATATGACCCGCCGCTGCACAAAACCAACGAGAAGCCGCGACGGATGAGAGCCAAATACTTCATCTACGAGCTCGTAGAAGATACATTGGTCAAGAAGCGGCCAAACATGGAGGCGGTGCTAAAGACCTTTGTGGAGGGTGTTGGTGACAAGGGGGATGTGGTGTCCATGAAGCCGCATTTTGTGTACAACAAACTGCTGCTTCCAGGCCTTGCCGACTACAATACACCAGAGAACGTGGCGAAGTACGCCAAAACTGAGGAAGAGAAGTCGGCGGTGAAGCATAGTTCGGCGTACGCCCAGCGCACGGTCAATATGTTAGAGTCCATTGTCCTGGCGGTGGTGATGAATAAGGATGAGCCGTGGGTGCTGGAGCCATGGCACATCAAGGCCTCTTTGCGCAAGGCCGGCTTCCACTGTCGCGAGGAGTGCATAACTTTACCCAAGGAGCGCATCGAAGGTCCCGATCTGAAGAAGGAGAACAAGGATTTCTACTGCACCGTGACCATTAATAACCTAGAGCAGGCCCGGCTTAAGTGCCGTTTGCACCACTGGAGCACAGATCCCAGTGAACGACTCCCCTATGTGCTGGAGCATTGGAAGCAGGTGTCGGAACCACTGCTAGAGGTCAACTTCCCCGGGAAGTCTGTAGAGAATAAGAAATAAACTTGGTAATGTGTGAACAGCGCGCAAAACAAAGTGTTTATTTTAACATTTTATCAAGTTTTACATAGAAAAGTTGTACTTAAAGGCTACTTTTTGAGTCTATATATATGATGTGGGTTTAATTGGTTAGTGCACTGCCTTCAGCTCCACCTCAAAAACAAGTGTCGAATTGGGTGGGATGGTCGGAGGAGATCCGCGTGCTCCGTAGGCCATGTGCGCCGGGCAGGTAATGCGACGTTTGCCGCCAACCTTCATGCCGGCAACGCCAACATCCCAGCCCTTGATCACCTCGCCACCACCCAAAGCGAACTTGAAGCCCTTGCCCTTGAGCAGGCTGTCGAAAGTCTTGTTGTTCGACTGCAGGCGGCCGATGTAGTAAACCGAGACTCGTTTTCCCGGCTTGGCCTCGTCTCCCTTGCCAGTAACGACATCGAACACTTTTACACCGCCGGTAATAGTGCGCTCGGCTGCAGACTGCTGTTGCTTGGTCTGATCCTTTCCTTTGGGCTGCTCTTTCTTAGCCTCGGGCTTGGTCTTCTGGTTCTGAGGGGTCTTTGCCTCCTTCTCCTTCTTAGCGACGCCATTCTGCTCCTTGACACCTTTCTTGGTATTGGCCTCGGGTGATAGCTTAGCCACCTTGGCCTTGGGCTGCTCTACCTCCTCTTCGTCATCGGAGTCAGAGTCTTCTTCTTCACCAGACTCGTCCTCATCATCATCGTCATCGTCCTCATCTCCATTTTCTAGGAGCGACTCGTACTCCTCAATAAGGCGACTGTCATCATCGTCTTCTTCCTCCTCCTCACCATCTTCATCATCATCGTCCTCCTCGTCCTCGTCCTCCTCTTGAGCTCCTGCCTTCTTTCCTTTCTTCTTCTGCTTGGCTGAGTCCTTGATCAAGTTCTCAATGGTGTAGTCTTCGTCATCTTCATCTTCGGAATCGACGTCGTGCAAGTAGCCTAACAAAGATACCGTAGCATCCCCTGCAAAGCAAATAATCATGATATATGTAACTCTGAGCCGGGGAATCCGAATTTATTAAGTTCCAAAGAACTCGAACTCACCTTCCGTATTAAAAGTTATCTGGTCGCCCTTGCTGAAGTTCAGGTCTAGCGGTGCCTGGGGAATGGCTTTCGACACTGTGGCCACAATGAACTTCTCAGTCTCGTTTGTAACGTAAAGTTTGGCACTCTCGCCCTCGTCGATGGCGACGCCAGAGATGTGGAAGGACTTCACAATGGTCTGGGAGTACTTGCGCCTCGGCTTCATATGCAAACCTAAACGGCGGGAATATTCGTATGAATTACATTACTCTTAATGGCGCCACCGTCCACGCTGCCGGCACCGCCACAAGACTAAGCACGTGGCTCGAACAAGAACCGCCCGAACCGAGGAGTTCCCCAGCATTCAACGAGTGCGTTTACTAATATAGTAATCTAAATGCTATCGCTTACCCCAAAACATGGACATCTTGCAAGGATATGGACTTCTTTTCACGGAAATGCAAAAAAAAGGAGAGTTTAAAATTTAAACTTTAAGAAGTGACGCCGACAGAAGACCGTTGCTGAGCTGTCTAAGAATACCACGATAGAGCTGCGAAACTATCGATGTCACTATAGCGTTATCGATAAGGAGTTGATCTGTCGTTTTTTTCTTAACATTATTATTTTTATAATACTAAAATAGACAAAAATAGCTAAACATTTTTTATTATTATCATTAACAATCTAAACAAACGTCATTTTTTAACTTAGCAATGAAATTGTATATTCATCATCATTATAGTTAATATTATTATAATAAGAGATATTCTTTAAGAGATATTTATTCGTCAAGTAAGATGTCCAAACTGTTCTCCTTATTTAATTTGTTCTTGATATTTATTTTCCAACTTGTTGCATTCCGTAACTCAAAAGTATTCATTATGAATATCTACCACATTTAATTGAAAAATCAAATGTATATTATACCTTATGTACAAGTAGAACCTAATGTTTATTTCTATTCTTTATAGATTTTGTACTAATTAAACACAAATTTTTAGCACAACCACCAATCATATTTTAAATCAGAAGCACTGTGACGGCAGCCTTATATTGGGTAAATACCTTAAAAATTCAATGGGCATCCATTGTAGGGCTTATAACTTCGATTTACGAACGCATGCGCATATGCACGGTATATAGGCTTACTAGGGGAAGATTATTGAATATTTAGTGAACATTTCAATTGGTTTTAACCGTCAGATTTCGAGAAAATCGAATACTGGCTAATACTGGCTTCATATCGATAGGGGCGCCCCCACACCCTATCGATGAATAGCCCGCCAGAAAATATTCCTATTGAGCATGTAAACAATTGTATGAAATATGTATTCTTCATGAATGGAATTAATATTCCAAGCATTTTGGTAGATGTTTCATCTAAATCCGTTCAGCCGTTTAAGAGAAAACATCACTTTTTCATTTAGTTCCATAAATGTTCCTTCGAAGAATAAAAATACCTGGCAGCACTGTTTGCCTTAAATTAAGTCAATTTGATTTAATCTTTATTAAAAAAAACTTATGGAAAATGAAGATCGTACCATTAACGGGATCGCAATTCTGAACATTTTGATATATGTTTCATCAAAATCCGTTTAGTCGTTCCCGACTTTTTAATTTATTTCCATTTTTATGCCAGCGAAGAATAAATATATCCGGCAGCCCTGCCTGCCTAAAAACATGTAAATTTGATTTAAGCTTTATGGTTAAACCTATGCAAAACGAAGACTGTCCTATAGACGGCATCGTAGTTCTGAACATTTTGATATATGTTTCATCAAAATCCGTTCAGTCGTTAATGAGAAATCCCGACTTTTTATTTATTGCAGTTTGGTACCAGGGGTGCATAGTCATGCCTCCTTAGTATATAAATTAGTAATTCAAATGTTAATTTCTCCAAAACGACTGAACGGATTTCGATAAAACACCTACCAAATTGCTTAGAATAACGATATCCTTTATTGGACAGACTATTAAATGTTATTTCGAAAATTTGTTTCTCAAATCTAGTGCTTCAATGCCCTTGCTTTGGAATATGATTTCAGGTCAAAAATTTGCAACGCTGTGAATAAATTATTTCCGACCCTATAAACTATATATATTCTTGATCCTCATCAACAGCCGAGTCTATATAGCCATGTCCATCTGTCTGTCTCTTCAATTATAAGCAAACTAGACCCTCATATTTAAAGCTATCTAAATAAAACTTTGCAGTTAGTCTTCTATATACTCTCATTAGTGTATAATGGATTAAAATGTTCAGAACTACAGTGCCGTTTATTCCATTTGCATACATACGTCCTACCATTAAGTTTAAACACATTATTTTATTTAATATTCTTCGTCGAACATACACACATTCATACATACATACATTTACGGCAATAAATGAAAAAGTCGGGATTTCTCATTAACGACTGAACGGATTTTGATGAAACATATATCAAAATGTTCAGAACTGCGATGCCGTCTTTAGGACAGTCTTCCTTTTGCATAGGTTTAACCATAGAGTTTAAATCAAGTTTTCTTGTTTTTAGGCAGGCAGGGCTGCCGGATATATTTATTCTTCGCTGGCACATAAATGGAAATAAATGAAAAAGTCGGGATTTCTCATTAACGACTGAACGGATTTTGACGAAACGTGGATCAAAATGTTCAGAATTGCGATCCTGTTAATGGTACGATCTTCAGTTTGCATAAGATTTATAATAAAGTATAAATCAAATTGACTTAATTTAAGGCAGTCAGTGCTGCCAGATATATTTATTCTTTGTAGGAACATTTATGAAAATAAATGCAAAAGTGGGGTTTGCTCATGAACGACTGAACGGATTTTGATAAAACAACTACCAAAATGCTTGGAATGTCAATTCCATTCATGGGGCATCCATATTTTATACAATTGTTTACATGGTCAATGGGAATATTTTCTGGCGGGCTATTCATCGAAAGGGTGTGGGAGGCGCCCCTATCGATATGAAGCCAGAGCTTGTGAATGAGATCGGAAAAAGAAACCGCTAATTCAAAAAATCTGTGTGTTAAATTTAATAGATATTTAATTCGAAATTGTAGAATATTTTTCCCTATCGTTTGAGATACCAAGCAAATTGATTTAAGGTCTTAAGATTTTTGTAATAGTTTGCGTCTATTCCGCCGTGATATATACTGAAATAATCTAAAAAGAATGAAATAAGTAATTTTCCCTGTTAAGATGAAAATCCCATCAAATTGTTTTGAATGGCTTTCCCATTTATTGGGCAGTCACTTTTTTAATGTTTTATTCAACAATTTGCTATTTTTATTTAATTTAGAATTTATCTTAACATGGTTCCATGGTCTGGTTCAGCGAGTGGTTCTCTGCTGGTCCCTGTCTGGTTCTATTTTCATAGTTCGCGCCTTAGCTATCAGCCCAAATACACCATCCACTGTTATTCGATTTTCTCGAAATCTGACGGTTAAAACCAATTGAAATGTTCACTAAATATTCAATAATCTTCCCCTAGTAAGCCTATATACCGTGCATAACGTGTTCGTAATTCGAAGTTATAAGCCTTAAAATTTTGGATGCCTTTTTTCTCGAGGTTAGATCACTGTTATGCGATTTTCTCAAAAACTGACGGTTTGAAGAAATTGAAACTTGGTAGGGTTTAACACCAATAAATAAATAATAATTCATTTTTTAACATTTAGAATTTTTATTTTATTTGAAGTAGTGCCTTATTTACGAAAGAAATTTAAAATTAAAGATCCCCTCCCTTTTCCATTTTTCCACCGTTCCATTTCGATGCTAATTTGACGGACATAAGAACTTATCGGTGCATCCGCCCGATAGAGGTGGAAAAACAACGATGCATCGATATTTTGGGTGAAGAACATCGAAACATCGATGTCTCCATACATCGATGTTCTTGCACCTCTATGTTTGTGTATTTGTGGCAGCGATAGGCGAAAAAATCATCTTTTTCGGGGATTTGGAGCCCCGCCTTGTTAAATTGCATTTAATTCGAGTCTCCGGGGGCATGATAAAAAGTGCAGCATGACGGAGAAAATTACGCTAGCGGACGCGCTGTCCAATGTGGAGGTGCTGGACGAGCTGTCGCTGCCGGATGAGCAGCCGTGCATAGAGGCCCAGCCCTGTTCCATTATCTACAAGGCAAACTTCGACACTAACTTTGAGGACCGCAATGGATTTGTCACCGGAATCGCCAAGTACATTGAGGAGGCAACCACTCACGCAAATTTGGTAAGATAGTTGGACGTGCCTTATTCATTTAACCAACTTACTCACACCCCTTCCTACTTCCGCCCCGCAGAATGTTTTGCTGGACGAGGGGCAGAAGCATGCAGTTATGCTGTACACCTGGCGCTGCTGCTCGCGTGCTATTCCGCAGCCCAAGTCCAACGAACAGCCGAATCGTGTAGAGATCTACGAAAAGACGGTGGAGGTCTTGGCACCGGAGGTAAACAAGCTGCTGAACTTCATGTACTTCCAGCGCAAGGCAATTGAAGCTTTCTCAGGCGAGGTAAAACGTCTGTGCCACGCCGAAAAGCGCAAGGATTTCGTCTCCGAGGCGTACTTGCTGACGCTGGGCAAGTTCATTAATATGTTTGCCGTCCTGGACGAGCTAAAGAACATGAAGTCGAGTGTGAAGAACGACTATTCCACGTATCGACGTGCGGCACAGTTCCTCAAGGTGATGTCCGACTCGCACACCCTGCAGGAGTCCCAAAATCTCTCCATGTTCCTGGCCACACAGAACAAAATTCGTGACACGGTCAAGGACACGCTTGAGAAGATCGTAGGCTATGAAGATCTGCTCTCGGACGTGGTCAACATTTGCGTACACATGTTCGAGACAAAAATGTACTTGACACCGGAGGAGAAGCATATGTTGGTAAAGGTTATGGGCTTCGGCCTCTTTCTCATGGACAGTGATGCCTGTAACATCAACAAGCTAGACCAGAAGAAGAAGATCCGCTTGGATCGTATTGACCGCATCTTCAAAAACCTGGAGGTGGTGCCGCTCTTCGGCGACATGCAGATCGCCCCCTTCAATTATATAAAGCGCAGCAAGCACTTCGACTCCAGCAAGTGGCCGCTCTCTAGCTCGAATGCCATTAGTCCCCAGGCAGATTTAATGGTGCATCTGCCCCAGATACGCGAAGACCACGTTAAGTATATATCAGAACTGGCTCGATACACAAACGAGGTGACCACCACCGTGAAGGAAAATCCCTCTGACGCCGAGAACCGAATCACCTCTGACCTCGCCCTGCGTGGCTTGCAACTGCTATCGGAGTGGACCAGCGTGGTCACGGAGCTGTACTCTTGGAAGTTACTGCACCCCACCGACCATCACCAGAACAAGGAGTGTCCTGTGGAGGCCGAGGAATATGAGCGGGCCACGCGCTACAACTATACATCGGAGGAGAAGTTCGCCCTCATTGAAGTGATCGCCATGATCAAGGGCCTACAGGTGCTGATGGCGCGCATCGAAACCGTGCTGTGTGAGGCCATCCGTCGAAACATCTACTCCGAGCTGCAGGACTTTGTGCAACTTTCGCTGCGTGAACCGCTACGAAAGGCGGTGAAGAACAAGAAGGATTTGATCCGGAGCATCATTATGTCAGTTCGCGAGACGTCGGCCGACTGGCAGAAGGGCTACGAGCCCATCGACGACCCAGTGTCGAAAGGAAAGAAGGATCCCGACGGTGGTTTCCGCATACAGGTACCGCGCCTCAACGTAGGACCCTCTTCTACGCAGCTTTATATGGTGCGCACTATGCTGGAGTCGCTGATTGCCGATAAGAGCGGAGGCAAGCGTACGCTCCGCAAGGATATCGATGGCAATTGCCTGATGCAGATCGACACATTTCACAAGACCTCCTTCTACTGGAGCTATCTACTCAACTTCAGCGACACGCTGCAAAAGTGCTGCGATCTCTCTCAGCTATGGTACCGTGAATTTTACTTGGAGATGACAATGGGTCGCAAGGTTAATAAGTGCTTAGTGCGACACCAGCACAACGAGGAATGCAAGGATCTGATCACCATGGAGAAGCGCATTCAGTTCCCCATAGAGATGTCCATGCCTTGGATCCTCACCGATCACATTCTGCAGACAAAGGAGCCCTCGATGATGGAGTAAGTAATACAAGAACAGCTTGACTTTTCCAAGCCCTACTTACAATTCAACACTGTAATTTCGCAGATTTGTTTTGTATCCCTTGGATCTTTACAACGACTCGGCGCACTACGCCCTTACTGTCTTCCGCAAGCAGTTCCTCTATGATGAAGTGGAGGCCGAGGTCAATCTGTGCTTCGACCAGTTTGTCTACAAGCTGAGCGAACAGATATTTGCCCATTACAAGCAGTTGGCGGGTAGCATTTTTCTCGACAAGCGATTCCGATTGGAGTGCGAAGTGCTCGGCTTCAACTTTCAGTCATATCCACGAAACAATCGCTATGAGACCCTTTTAAAACAACGACATGTGCAATTGTTAGGTAATCAAGCATTTCTATAGATTTAACTCTTTATTAAACTATTTTATTTATCTTATTGTTTTTAGGTCGTTCTATTGACCTTAACAAGCTGGTAACCCAACGCATAAACGCCAACATGCACAAGAGTATAGAGCTGGCCATCAGCCGTTTCGAAGGCAACGATATAACTGGCATTGTGGTGAGTAAATTCCGAGCGCAAACAAGGGGGAGGAAGGACGAGCCTCACATGTTGCATTTTTAGGAACTGGAGGGCCTGTTGGAGGCGAATCGCATTTGCCACAAGCTACTGAGCAAGTACTTGGCCTTGGACAACTTTGATGGCATGGTCAAGGAGGCTAATCACAATGTTCTAGCACCGTATGGCCGCATTACGCTGCACGTCTTTGTGGAGTTGAACTATGATTTTCTCGTCAATTATTGTTACAATGCAGCCACAAATCGGTGAGTTCACTAAATAATTAGGTTTCCCATTAATTACAATCTACTTTTTCAATTAGTTTCATTCGCACCAAAGTAAATCTTTCGTCGTCCCAGGCCATTCAGAGGGAGAAGCCTCCGCAAATGTCACATTACTATCTTTGGGGCTCCAAACAGCTGAATGCCGCGTACTCCACCCAGTATGGCCAATACACTGGTTTCGTTGGCTCGCCGCATTTCCATGCAATGTGCCGCCTGCTCGGCTACCAGGGCATTGCCGTTGTTATGGACATTATACTCAAGGACATTGTTAAACCCTTGATCCAGGGTTCATTGCTGCAGTTTACCAAGACACTGATGATTGCCATGCCAAAGTCCTGCAAGCTTCCCCGTTGCGAGTACGGATCCCCGGGCGTGTTAAGCTACTACCAAGCCCACCTTACAGACATCGTGCAATATCCGGATGCCAAGACTGAGCTGTTCCAGTCTTTCAGGGAGTTTGGCAACAGTATCATATTTTGTTTGCTGATCGAACAGGCGCTCTCTCAAGAGGAGGTGTGTGATCTGTTGCACGCGGCGCTCTTCCAGAACATCTTCCCCAGGCCATTCTGCAAGGGTATGTAAATAGAATATATATTTCAAAGGAATTTTGTGAATTTTTATTTCTTCAGAAAACGAGAAACCTGAGGCCAAACAAAAGCGTCTTGAAGCTCAGTTCGCCAACCTGCAAATCGTGTCCAATGTGGAAAAAATTGGCACTGCTAAGGTACGATGTTAATGAATTCAGTTATTGAAATGATTCTACCGAATCTTGATAACCTACAGCAAGCCATGATCGCTCGCGAGGGGGACTTGCTGACACGTGAACGCCTGTGCTGCGGCTTGAGCATCTTCGAGGTGATACTAAATCGCGTTAAAAGCTATTTGGATGATCCAGTGTGGTGTGGTCCGCCACCCGCCAACGGGATTATCCACGTGGACGAGTGCTCTGAGTTTCATCGATTGTGGTCAGCCCTGCAGTTCGTCTATTGCATTCCAGTGAGAGGAACGGAATACACCATTGAGGAGCTCTTCGGTGAAGGTCTTAACTGGGCGGGCTGCGTCATGATTGTACTGCTCGGTCAGCAAAGGCGTTTCGAGGCTCTTGACTTTTGCTACCACATTCTCCGGGTACAGCGCGTCGATGGCAAGGATGAAGACGTCAAGGGCATTGTAAGTGTCACTTCCTAAGAGATTAAAGCTTAGCTAAAGTTAAAATTTATTTGCAGCAACTCAAGCGAATGGTGGATCGCATTCGTCGATTCCAAGTATTAAACTCACAAATCTTCTCCATTCTTAACAAGTATCTGAAGGGTGGCGACGGCGAGGGCTCAAATGTGGAGCATGTGCGGTGCTTTCCACCGCCGCAGCATCCGTCGGTCATATCGTCGTCGTCGTCCCACTATCAGGATCCACAGAGGTTGCGCCAGAGCATGAACAATTGAAAGCCCTTACGACGATCGGTAATATGCATTTAAGCGAAATAGGTTACAAAAACCGCAATTAATCGTAACTACAATTTCTCGCTAGGGGATTTGTCGTCGTAATTTAGAAACCGAAAGAGCCCAAAGTCCTGGCTATGCCGCTCCCAAATTGACAATTTGTTTAGGTGTCCGAGGGCAGTTTTCGGGATTATTTAAATTCGATTTTATTGGAAATGTTTTTCATTCGTACAGTACGTAAATTGTATTATTCAAGCAATTATATATATATATATATATATATAGATATAGTATTGAACCCCATGGCATTCAATTCGCTACTCGGTACGTTATCCCAAATACTCTATAGTAAGATCGCTAAGACATTGTGTTTGGCCTCTCTTTATTTCTTCGCTACAAACTAGATACGTTCTTGTTTTGCTCCCCCGATTTGAGAATCAAATTAGCCAAAGAATTGACAGACAGCACGGCGAAATAAAAACGAATTGGCTTTAAATACAATCAAAGTATTACAAAATAGATGCAGCAATTATAATGAAAGATATTATAACAGCCAACATTCAGACACTTATACACAATTAATACAATGAACATTATCGAATAAAATTTTCATACGTATTTCTAACAAACCCAAGAACGCGGCAGGTATTATTTTGGTGATTTACATAAACCTCTTTTTGGATTTGAAATCGTCTGGAATCAAACTACTATCAAACTATCTATGAACCGATAAAGCCCAAAGCCGACGTGGCTGATGAAAAGTAACTACATACACTCTGTTGGCATTGAACTTTAACTTTAAGGGTATCTGTATCAAACATTAATTTACTTTCTGTCGTCTGTAGATCAACCGATTTATGTATCTTCTCATACTCTGCTACTTTGATTGGATGTTTGGGAATGGATTTATCTAAGAGCTACACATCTACTGACGCCTTGCCCACCCCGTTGGTCTTAATTCCTGTCTTCTTCCGTGGATCTGTGTATGTGTGCAGGACTGAGACGTTGTCCGCATAGTTCCGCGGTAGTTCAAACTTTGCATTGTCCGCACCCAGGTAGCATGCTCCGTAAGCACTGCTCTTGGTGATGCTGACCAACTTGAGGTTAAAGTCGATAGGCGTCTTGGAGAGCTCCGCGATGAATGTCTCCTGCAGCAGGTTCCAGCTGGACCACACCGAGCCCACGCACACCACGCTCAAGTCACCGGACTTGACCAGATCCTTGTGAACATTTGGCAGCAGGGACACAATCATACGTGCCAGATGCACACCAGCCTCGCGAAACAATCCGCGTGCCAGTTCATCACCATTCTCTGCATTCTGGGCGAGCTTTTTGCACAGATTGGCGAAAAAGGGCTTGTCGAACTTGGCGTAGCAATGAGACAGCATATCGTACCGGGTTTCAATACTGAAGTGCTCCTTGATCAGGGCCCAGGTCTTCTCAACGGGGGCCGGCGATTTCTCGAAGTTGTCCATGTGATCAAAAACAACCTTTACCGCACGATACGAGATGAACCAAGCTGCGGAGTGGAAGGGTTACGATCAATCAACAACAACAGTGGCAATGAGTCAGTGGCAATCAACGCTATCAGACAATCCTAATCGCAGATGCAGCCGTTAATCGCGACATTGGCATGGCATTAAACAACCATTAGCTGATAAGGCTAAGGCTTGTGTGAATTCGCGCTCCCTACTCACCACTGCCCTCGTCACCGAGGAAGTTCCCCCAACCGCCGCAGTTCGACGTAGAGCCATCGGGATTGCGCAGCAGGCAGTTTGACCCCGTGCCCGAGATGAGGACCATGCCGCCGATGGGGGATGCTGTGAACATGCTGCCCATGGTGTCACTGGAAACGGCGTAGTTCTCGGCTAGATCTGGAAATGTGGTTCGTAGCTCCTGCTCCAGTTCTCGGTTTGTGGCCTCCTGTTGGGACAAACATGTTCAAACAAACCGTTGGATAGTAAGGGGTTATAGTAAGTCTTTACCTGCTCGCAGCCGCTGAGGCTTAGACCCAAGCTTGTGAGCGGCGTGTCCTTGGGTATGCCTGCCTCCTCCTTGGCCCTTTCCACCATGTCGGTGATACGACGGGCGCACTCCGGGATGCCGATGCCCCAGTGGTTGGTGCCCAAGCCGCTTGTAGAGCCCACCGCCTGACCGCTCTCATCGCAGATAACCAGCCTGGAGTGCGTGGCTCCCCTAAAATCGAGTAACAAGGAACGTTATTCCTGAATATATTTCCGGATTCTCTTTATTATTACACAATAGGTGAGAGGGCCGTGACCGCGGACAATAAATAATGCGATGGAATCAAATTGAAGCGAATTAACCGATCCCCGCTGCAAATTGGAATTGAAGAGGCGCACAATTGACGAATTTATTTAAAGAAAACGTGTCACACGCACAAAATTGGATTCGACAGATAATAGACGGGTCATGTCGCAGGTCCCAATTAACCACAGGCCAAATGCGGGCATAGAATATAATAAATGGGCCAAACTTAGAATCGTATCCCAAATTTGAAAAAAAAAAACGGTAAATAGGGGCCTGCATTGCCGTTACATTGCAGCTGCTGATGGATGGATAAGTCAAGATAAGTGACGTGACGAAAGTGCAGCACTTATTAGGCTCAATTAAGCTAATCATTGGGCAGCATACATATGCAAAATGGGCACAACAAAAGGCATTTGTTATCGCCGCCTTAACTATTTTTAACCATCGTCCAATTTACTGCGGTCGTAAAAAAAACTCTGCATCAAATTCAAACCGAGTACGTTTTTCCTCGACGTATTGGGCGTCAGCGAGTTGGCAGCACCGAAAGCCAATCTCCCTATCTTGCTTGCCACCAACCTGCCAACTCGTTGCAGTGGGTTATCAAACAGCCGGGCGAAATTATTAACGAAAATTGTACGCGGAAGCATTTAATGATTTCGTCGATACAGTGACTAGACCTGCACCCCGCGATCGCCGGCTTTCGATCTATAAGTTAAGTTAATTGAAATGAAATTGCTGACAAATGTCCGGAGGCTGCGGCCGCTGCTGGCGCTGCGCCGCCAAAGGTCGCATGACGCGAAAACTGCGGTAGCGGAGGAGGCGCCAAGGCAACCGGTTCCAACCAGTGCCCAGCTCGACGAGCTGGAGCGGAATGTGGAGCTCCGTCAGCACCGAAACAATATGCCGCTGATACGCTCCCTCGTCAAGCAGGTGAAGGACGGCGATCCGGACACTCTGAGCAAGCTTCACTCAGAGCTGCAGCAGCTGCCTAATGCCACGCATCCGCGGCTGCAGGACTACGGTGTGGAGCCGAGGGAGCTGGCACAGTACATGCACAGGGAATTGCCGCCGCAGTCCAACCTTAAAGAGTTCTCCGAGCTGGCCCGCTCTCTCAATCTCTACAGGATGGATCATCTGGGCAACTACACAGGCCACAAGAGCTATTACCTCACCGGCCAACTGGCCATGCTGGAGCAGGCCATTATACAGTACGCACTCCAAGCGGTCATGGACCATGGTTTCAAGCTAATCTCTGTACCGGACATTTTGCCGCGAGAAGTGATCGAGTCCTGCGGCATGCGCACGGAGGGCGAGCGCACCCAGGTGTACAAGCTGGACACCGGGGAGTGCCTTTCAGGCACATCGGAAATGGCGCTGGCTGGCTTTTTTGCGGGCAAGGAGCTGTCAGAGAAGCAGCTTCCCCTTAAAGTGACTGCCGTGAGTCGCTGCTATCGCGCCGAAACGTCTGGACTGCAAGAGGAGAAAGGCATCTATCGGGTGCATCAGTTCACTAAGGTGGAGATGTTTGCTATCTGCACGGCCGAGCAGTCGGAAGCCGAGCTGGAGGAGTTTAAGAACATCGAATTGGATCTCTTTAGGCGCCTGGGCCTCAACTTCCGGCTGCTGGACATGCCGCCGTGCGAGTTGGGAGCTCCGGCGTACCAGAAGTACGACATCGAGGCTTGGATGCCGGGCCGCCAAATGTGGGGCGAGATTTCCAGCTGCAGCAACTGCACTGATTATCAGGCAAAGCGGCTGGGCATCCGGTACCGTCGCTCTAGCGACGGACAGGTCCTGTATGCCCACACCATTAACGGCACAGCGACTGCTATTCCCCGATTGCTGATAGCCTTACTGGAGTCGTACCAGCAGGGCGAAAACATTGAGATTCCCGATGTGTTGAGGCCTTTCATGGACGGACAGGAGCTAATCACACGGAACAAACGGATACCCGAGACCAAGCTGGTCAAGTTCATCAAGGCCCAAACCTAGCATTTTTATACTGAACTCTTGACTGTTATGATTAAAGCGCGCGGAATATTTTGAAGCACACTCCCCAAAGGCCTTATCGTCTCTATCTGCCAGATCCATTGGATAACGCATTGCGCTTAATCACACTCATTAATCAACGCTATTGTTATTAAATTACAAAAAAGTGGTCGGTGTTGTGGTGGTAGTTCTACGTACCCTTCGACTCCGCCGAAATACTTCATCCTGATTGTGAGCTATCTAACTGGCGGCCGAATCTAATCCCAACCGGAATGTGGCTCTGTGGTACGATCGAGGCGATTCCTGCAAGACAAAAACAAGTGCAATTAAGCAATAAACAGTTGCTGGATTAATTTAAGCAATCAACTGGTTGTTAGCACTTGGGTGCAACCTTATCATGTATCACATAACTCCCACCAAACATTTGTCAACCTGTGTATTGTTGTTGTGACTAGGTAAAAACCGCTGAGCCAGGTAAAAATGGCATTAAAGAACGGCCAGAACAGCAGTGACCAAGTGGTGCATGCGCTCGAGGAGTGCAAGCACTGCTGGTTTCTCTAGAGGTAACACTGTAACCAAGCTCTCGTTCGTCGCAAAGTGAGAGTGAAAAGCGTGCAAACTAGTTTATAATGTATCCCGCTCACTTTTGCTTACGTTACACACTCATAGCGCAATTCTGCCATAATGTTAATATTGTTTTGATTTGATTGCCATTCCCCGAACCGCCTGCTTTCCCCCACGCCACACGCCCACACTGAGCACAAAAAACTCATCGTAACTGATTAGAGGCGACATCAGGAACTATGGCCAAGATATAATACGACGACTAACCACCAACTCTTACCCGGCAGAAATGATCTAATCGAGCTGCAAGCGATCCAAGCGCTACGAGTCCCAAACACGAAATGTTGTGTTTTTTAGGGGACATACTCTTATTTAAAGCCAAGCGCTCATTGATAATTTGTATACCCTTGCAAAGACTATGAAGAATTTTGCAACGCTGTAAAGAATACGTATACGACCCCATAAGGGTCCTAAATTTAACTTAAAACCTTCGGAGTAGTCTTCTTTTATATTGCAGCTATATAAGATAACTCAGATAAGACGACCATAGCTAATATAATGATTTCAAAATTTAATTCAATAATTCAATTTTAGAAAAAATGTTACTACTGTACAGCTGACATAGGAACTGCACACTGCAAGGGTATACAAACTTCGACTTTCCCTAGTCATGCTTCTCGTTTTATTTTTCTTTATTGTGAGCACAAGCCAGTGGTGTTAAATCGCATCACACAGTGCTGGTAAACACCGGTGTTGATGGCGGCAAATTTAAAACCGCAGCAATCAAATTTTCATCATTTATGTTTATTAAAACGTTACAATTTAATTCTATTACACTTTTGCTTATAAACGAAAGAAACAAATCATTGTCAATATTGGTACACTCATCATATTTTATACATCGGTTTCATTTCAAACTTCTATCAAACAACAAAACGCAAACACCAAAGGTACACAACTTACTTAAAAGGGCGTAGTACAAATCATATAAAAATGTGAAAAAATGTGGTTGTTGTTGACAAGCAATCGATATAAAATTCAGTTGTCTCTCAGTTTGGAGGGCGCTCGAAGTGGGCCGCACTTTTTTTTAGCTTTTCTCATTATGTACAAAAAGAAAATGTCTTAAATGTAGTCGAAGTTTGTTGTTGAATGTGTGCGAATGATAGTGTTGGTGGGACGGGCCGGGCAATTGTGATCCCTATGAGTAGGCCAGGGGAGGAGGGTATTGCGGAGGTCCCTTTATTGAAATTTGTCAAGTTACTATACGTGCCGGCGTTGTGCTGTTGATGCTGCTGCTGCTCCTGTTGTTGTCCCATTTTATGGTAAAATCCTAACTAACATTTCTCGGAAAGAGTAAAACACGGTAAAAGTCAATTGTTTCAAGTGTTTCGTACGAGGAGCGGTAGATTTCTGCCCTCCCTACCACTTCTTCTTGTGCTCGTCCATGGAGACGCCACCAGGGCCCAAGGACACGATCATGAGCAGACCACCAATAACCGAGAGCGTCTGCAAACAAGAAAGAATGATGTAGCCATGATGTACATTGAACCATCAGTATCAACCTACCTGGAAGAAGTCGTATTTTAAGAAATCCCTGAGTGGCTTGTAGGACGGAATGGTCCACCAGGCATTGTGGTACAGGTTCAGCACCGTCAGCAAGGCTACCAGTATGAGGGCCGACAGCTTCGTCTTGTAGCCGAGAACGACGAGCACCATCAGAATGGAGCCAATGATATCTTGGATGACCTGCCACACGCTCAGCTCGAAACGGATTAGGGTAATGAACATGAAGGCCAGCAGTATGCGGCCAGCCAGCTGCATGAAGTTCTTGGGCTTGTTGTCGCCCATCGATGGCACGCCGGCGAACAGGCTGCGTCCCTCGATCCTGGCCTCGGCCAAGACGAGAAGCAGTGCGCCGATTAGAGCGAAGTTACGGAGCAAGAACTGAAAGTCCCATAGAATGGAGTAGGCTATTGTCTGCAAAAGCAAAATATAAAGAAGTCAATATACAGAAGCCTTGGATAGAAGATGATTTCAATTCTGCCTCACCTGTAACACGACGATGAAGAAGAGCAGTCCCACTGCGATGTCAACCTTAAATCTAGCCATAACCATTCCGCATCCGCCCAACTGTCCGAGGAGATTGACCAGCACGAAGACGGTTGCCAGGAACTTGCCGCAGCCCCAGCTCATGTCCATGTACTCTCGTTGCTCGTTCCACTGAAAGTACATGCGAAGGCCGTCCTCAAAGAAGGTGGCGATGAGGCAGAGGCGGGCCACCGTCGGCAGCACATTCTTGCCGCGCTTGATAACCTGCAAGAGAGCGGAGTAGAGTAGATAGGAGTTGATAGCCAAGTTAGGTGCGATCAGGATGGACTGATAGGCGATAAGGGCCGACACACGGTGATAACGAATAGTTGAGCGTGGCTTTCGTGTAGTCAATGACTGTGACGTGTCTCTCGGCGCTCTATCTCCCGATCGCTATCTGCCAGCTAACGGGTTTTGACTACGCTCTCCGTGTAATTTGAATATTATAAATACCGAGCACGCACACCATCACGCGCGTCAGTGGCTGTCTTAAACCGCCGCCGACTTTCTCGACCACTATATTACGGAACGCGACCTGGTCGCTGGCGTCCAACTGTCCCTCACTCTCTCGCAGCACTTTCACTTGCGGAGGAGACAGCAGTTCTCCTCTCTCAGCCTCTCTATTTCGCACACACACGCAGGCAGAGACGCACGGCTGTGTGAGTTTTGCCTGCAGTAGACGCAACAATTGACAACTGGAGTCGGGAGTGGGATAAAGGGTACTCCCAATAGGGAGCTAATCACAGCACGAACTCGCACCTAGGCTCTAGTGGCTAGCGGGCGCTATTATAATGCACCCCAGCACCGCGAACTTTGCCGCGTTTGGGTGACGTTGGCAGTTTTCCGAGCGGACAGCTGCCAGAGGCTCGCATTAAACGCAAAGTCTGGACAATGCTAGGGCGGTGGGGAGCGTTTTTGTGGTCCTTTGGGGATGCCATAGGCATAGAATTGCCAAAAAATATTACCTGTTCCGCCACATCCTCTGTCTTTGCGATATATTCGTTGGGTATGCTCATGTTGGCAGTTTCAGCTGCTGGCTCTGTTTTCGCAGGTTATTCCACTCGGTTCGATTGCTGGCAGCTGCGGAGACACTTTGGCAATTAAATGAGACCTTCAGGGCGTCGTGGAGCTCTCCAAAGTATATTCAAATTACCAAAAAATCATGAATTAAAACCAGGAACTTAAAAACACACACGGCACGAGCACTATCGATACTACCGATGTTTGTAATAGGGCTGGGGAAATATCGATAGTGAACCTATTAGATTATTTAGATATTTTGAGAGGGAGAATTCGATAGTATCGATAGCATAAGCAATTTCGAATAAATATTTCATATTTAATATTTTTAATGGAAATATTTTTTCTGTTAGTGTGAAAAACAAAATATAAGAATGATAAAATAAATTAAATGAGAACAAAACAAGAGATCAACTTTCTAACAAAACAGGACAATTTAACTCAAACAAGAGTTTTGTTGTAAAAATATGATCATGGCTGCATTATTTGCTTTTAGGGAAGCGTTGCGGTTAGGTATTATTAGCCCAGCTTTCGGTGAGCATACGCTTAGAAACGATTTAATATTATTATTATTATTTTTCTTTTTTTACCTGTGCTGATGTCAGTATTGTGAAATATGTATAGAGCCATCGATAGTAGAAAAACCTATCGATAGTGGCTCAGAAACGTAAATTCGATATCTCGATAGTGCAGATCATCGACAGCTTCCCAGCTCTGTATAGTACTGTCACTCTTTTGGGCTAGAAAAATAAAATAAATCAAAGAAAACTGTATTAAAAAGTTGGAAAAGATGTCCGCCATGGCAACGAAACAGAAAAGAGAGAAAGATGCATCCGCAGGCGGCGTAGTCACCAAGCAGAAGCAGCCGAAAATCAAAGCCAAGAGGCAATCGGACGCCGGTTACGGTTCCGGAGAGTGGGATGTGGACTCCTACAGAACGGAATACGAAAGCGAAGAGCACTGGGACCTGCGGCGCAGCTTTATGCTGGCTCACAAGGATAACTTTGACGAGGATCGCCTCGTGTGCTTAGCCCAGACTTTTGTCAACATGGAGTTCATGGGTTGCAAGTACCCCAGCGAGACCATGCATCAGGTGGCCGAAATGTCCAAGGAGATTGCGGAGGAATTCCGGAGAAAACGTGCTTTGCGTCTAAAGCGCACCTTTGTCTCGGCCTCAGACGCGGCGGAGCAGCGCGCTAAAGGTAGACGGAAGAATAATTAGTAGCGTAGAGAACGGGAGCAAATCACTTATATTACTAGTAACTATTCGAGCTAGAGACCAAAGCCTGCCTAATGCATAATTCCAACAACTAGGACGCAGGGGTTCAGCCGCAAATCAGCCACGCGCGGCGGATTCCCCAAGGGATAGCTCGAACAGATTCAACCGAGAACGCCTGTGCTTTGGCGGAGGCGAGCCAATCGATCTCTTCCAGGGCCTGCGCTTCGGCCCCCTCATACTGTACTTGGCTGGCGGGCGCAGCTGCCTGCGCAACTCCTGCACCGTCAACAACATAAAATATGAGGAGCGCGCCAGCCTAGAGCATCCGCCCACCGACACGACAAAGTATGCCGAAATACTGGTCAACGACGAGGTGATAGCTTCTGGCCAGGGCGAGAATCTTAAGGTGGCCAAGATGGCAGCGTTCAAGCAAGCATTGCTCCTCCTACAGTCTCACTGCTACAGCATAAAGGTAAAGGAGATAGTAGCTCGACCTGGTCTGAGGTTGTACAATCTAAACTTTTTCCTTCACATTCTTCAGCTGAATGCTACCCGCGAGACCATCAAGGTGGAGAAGAGCAAGAACGGCGTAAACATTAACGTCACCAAGAAGTCGGCAGACAGCATAGGCGATCCAAAATTGGATGCCAGCAACAAGGGTTACCACATGATGCGAATGATGGGCTGGACGGGCGGTGGCCTGGGACGCCAGAAGCAGGGCCGCGAAGAGCCAGTAGGGTAGGTGTTTAGCATGGTTTTATTTAGGAGAAGACTAACAAATATCATATATTACCTTAGATATTTACTAAAGAGCAATCGCAATGGACTGGGCTCAATTAATCCTCAGGGCAATCTCGGGGACTACCGCAAGCTGATTGAGAACTATGTGAACTCGGACGACATGCGCGACATGCAGTTTGAGCCGACGTTTTCGAAGGAGGAACGCGCTGCTTTTCACCAGTAAGCACTCGCCACTGATCATAAATAAGGTCTGTTAATCATTGGTTTCCTTGCAGAATGGCCAGCAGACTGGGCTTGCGCTCCAGCAGCTATGGCACTGGAGAGTCCCGACGGCTGTTGATCACCAAAAAGGTCAGCTACAGTATAATACTCACGGAAATCCTGTGCCGCCGGAATCCCAAGTTTTGCGAACGTTACTTTGTACAGGTGCCCATGCAAAAGGCTCACCTGTTTCCCGGACATGTAGCTGGATTGGAGTTGGAAAATATATGCGAATAGACGGAAGGAAAGGTCAACAGCTCATAGTACTCGTATATAAAGATTTTCTTAAACGTTATTAGTTTTAAGCTGAACATATGCTATAGAAAAAATAACAGTGTATTTGTTTACGTTTCACGCTGAATGGCAGGGAAGATGGTGGCTGTGGGGCAAGAAGAAGAAGAACCACTGCAGTTGCAGTTTCCTAATTTCCTCATGGTATTTGGACTGAAACGATGAGCAAATGCGCGCGGTGCTGCTGCGAGACAACAGGAGAGAACCGCATGGTTACCGACAGCTGCGGCCACGCCAAGTGTCGCCTCTGTCTGGTAGCGGATGTGTCCGATTGCTTGGAGTGCCGCGTTGCAAATCAGGAGAGTGCGGCCCCCGCCGCCCAACTGGATGCCAAGCCAAGGACAGCCGCGGACAAGTGCATTTTAGTAACGGATCAGGGCTATCACTGTACTGTGTGCAACAAGGACTTCCGTAGCCGTACCCAGCAGTACTACCACCTAGCTTGCGGCAACGATCAGCTCAAGAAGTTTAGCTGTAATGAGTGCAGCCGCGTAAGTTAGACTATAGTCGAAGCCAGATGCACACCCGCTTAATGATTCCCTCTTCCCACAGAGGTTTGCTACCCGTTCCCACTTGCAGTACCACCTTAGCAGCCATGAAAAACAAACGAAGCACTCCTGCAGCGTCTGCAACAAGCGGTTTAAGCAGCAAGTCGTATTGAACCGCCACATGCGCACCCACAGCACCGAGCTTCATGTGTGTCCGCAATGTCCCAAGGAGTTTCGACGGGAGAGCTCTCTGAAAAGTCATTTGGCCGCGCACTCTGATCTCGGCCTGCCCTATAATTGCGAGCTATGCTCCAAGCAGTTCCAGAGTAAGGCCAATCTGAAACAACACTGTCGAAAGCATGACAAGAACAGTTTGCGACACAAGTGCAAGGTCTGCCAGAAGTCCTTCCTGCGCCAGTCCACGCTCCGCCTGCATATAAAACGTCATTCGAATCGCGAGCGTCTCTCCTGTCCCCTGTGTGGAAAAAGCTACAACGATGCGGACGCCCTGGCCCGCCACCAGAAGCAACACATAACTGGTGGCGAGCGATACCGATGCGTTCAGTGCGAGATCACAGTAAACCGAAAGGATAATATGCTCCGACACTTGCGCTCCATGCATCCAGGGGTTGCATTTGAGAATTGTGTAGAAATCGTTACACCCAATCCTAATCCCCAGGAGCCTGCACTGGTGGAGCAGAGACCGGTGGAGAGTCTGAGGTACAACAGCGTGATCAAGAGCGTTGGAAACGTCGAGCCAGTGATGCTACCACAGTCGCCGCATCCTGAAGTGCCGTTGGAAAAACCAGCACCCAACCCAGTGCCAATGTCGCTACCAGTTGCTATGCCTGAGAAGAACGTCCAGCTGTATCGCAAGATCATCCTGGACCTGGACAACGAGGAGTACTCCGAGATGAGCCTTGACGAGGGAGATGAAACCGCCACTGCACAGAACGCTCAGGATCTCGGTCTGCAGCAGAGCCAACCGCGTTGCCCGGGCCACGGGAGCTCCAAATTTAGCGAGATGCACTGGCGCAAGAATTTCAAAGCCTCATACGAAAAGGGGCGCACAAATTGATAGCATGCCAGCGCTGTCTATCATCCCTGCCCTGCATCACAGGGCCGCTGATTTATTAACGATAAGTCAAGTATTGCGAACCGAAGCGAGGCGAAACCGTCTTGTTGGCCGCTCGCCATATTTCCGCGTGCCGACGTCAGTGCCAAGTTCGTCGGCCATCGGAAGCAGCGATAGTGTGTCACCAATCAGTATTCAATATGTGCGACGAGCGGTCAGAAGTTGAGACTCTGCGTGAGATATATTACCTAACCCATGGTATCATGGCGGGCACCAGTTGGCGAAAGTTGTTGGCGTTGGGAGACTCCCTGGAGCAGCAGCTAAAGCGCAAACTTCTCTGGGTGTGGCCCTCGGCGGTAGACTTGGATTACTTTAATCAACTATTGTCCATGCATGACATCCGGAATGTCTTGAGCGTTGGCTGCGGCACCGGGCTCCTGGAATGGCTGATAACAGCAGCTGGTGGAAAGAAAGCATCTTTGTTCGGTTTGGAAGTGGATCGGAACTGGTGGCAGAGCAAGTACTCGGTGCGCAGCTTCATACCTCTGAATTATGCGGAAAATTCCACCCAACTGAACGCAGATTTCCTCAATAGCTGCTGCGATAACGCCCCTCCTTGCGCCCTGCTTTTCTGTTACTTTAACAATCGACGCGCTTTCTTGGACTATCTTGAGGTATTTCGAGGCAGGTGGATAATATTGATTGGCCCGCAGCCAGCCTTGGGTATTCACACCGATCCCAATCCCATTCAGCCCCAACTACCCGGCAACCAGTGGACAATTCGAGAACGCCTCAACTGGACTGATCGAAATGTTGTAGCGTTCTACGAGAAGATTAGTGTTTAGTAACTATAATATAATTGTAGTAATAAAACATTGCCTTATTTCCCTATTTAGTTCCTATTTACTTCTATGTGAAATTTGCAGGCCGGTATGCTCTGCACCTCCGCGGTGACGGTACTGTTGATGCCTAGATTGCTCAGGGCTCCTCGCACCAAACCGCAGGTGAAAGCCACGAATTTAGGCGCGTGCTCCAGCTGCTTGGTGCCCGGCGAGATGCGCGTGAGGAACCGGAACGCCTTGTCCTGCACCACATACATGCCGTGGTTGTTCGTTCTCAAGTTGTCCACCTGCTTCTTGTAGATAAGAGTCCAGAAATCGGTGCATATGAACTTCATCGTCTCTAGTTCGTCCTTAAAGCGCGACACCTCGCGCGTGAGCCGCTCAATCAGCCGGTATCCGGTGGTGAAGCCTATATACTCCAAAGTGGCCAGGTCATGCTCCTGGAATGTCCAATCACTCATAGTAACGAGTTTCCTATTTCCCTTGCTACATACCTTGTTGCTGCCCAGGCAGTAGTTGACAATCTCCGCGTGTAGGAAGTCGAAAAGGATCTCTTCGGACATTTTGTTGTTGCTTAAGTATTATATTTAACACAAAATTCCTCTGATTTGTTTTGAACTTAAGAGAACAGCTGTTTCCAACGTCGACGCGTGAATAGCATAAGTTTGGTATTTTATGCGAATTCCTCTCATGGTCTGGCATACCATCGAGATGTGGGGGTTGCCAGACTTTTCGGTCTCGATAGTAAAATATCAATAGTTTCATCGATTTAGTGGGCTAAAGATGGCACAGTTGCGATAGACACCGATAACGGAAAACGTAAGAATAAAGAAAACAACTTGTAGTTTTTATCTTTATCTGTCAACAAATAAACGGTGAGTAAACATTTGTAATTAGCACGCAAGGCAGCGGGCAAATCTCAGTATAGCCGGGGCCAGCAAGTGGCTCACACTGAGTTTGCCATGCCCCAGTTCTTTAAGCTTCCCAAGCTGCGAACAAAGCGTCGTCGCCGCTCATCCGCCGTTTCCGCCTCTGTTTTCATGACCCCGGCGCCCCTGCAGATGAACTATGACGGACTCCTCTCCAAGTTGACCGACGACAAACTGATGATCTTCGATACCGGCGAGGGTGCGATTGTGGAGGGCAGCCGAATGGGGACGGGTCTCCAGGATGTGGACCCGCTTTCGTTGCCCATTGTGGAGGATGGCGCTGTTGAGGAGGAGCAGGCGGCCCCCATACAGACGATGCCGCGCACCTTGTTTGCTGTGCCACGCGCCCCCTCGCCTTCTCCCGTGACTACATCAAGTGCGAATTTGAACCTCAAGTCGGAAAGTGCTGCGCCAGCGACACCGCAGCGAAAAATATCGACGTCATCGCGATTTATGAATGCCTTTAGTCAGCTATATGGTGGAAGTAGCGGTAGCGGCGCGAGCTGTGGTCACGTGGAGCAGCACAGCGATGACCCTGGTGACCTGGCGGCCAATCGGACGCCTACGAAGGGAATGGAGTCCAAGCTGGTGGCCATGTGGCACAATGTCAAGTACGGCTGGAGTGGCAAAATGCGCCAGACGAGCTTCTCTAAGGAGCAGCCGGTGTGGCTGCTAGGGCGGTGCTATCATCGCCGCTTCACGCCGCCTGTAAGCATGGAGAACTCTACTACGGAGCTGCCCAGTGGTGCGGACTCGTCGCCTGACAACGCCACATCGGCGTTTGACAGCATACAGGCCACATCATCGACGTCTGCATCCCTGTATCCCGCCCTGAATCCTCAGCAGATCGATGAGATCGTGGTGCCCCAGGAGCTGGGCATGGACGCGGCTGAGAACCAGGTGGGCGAACAGCCCTGGGAGGAGGGTATCGAGGGCTTTCGACGTGACTTCTACAGCCGCATATGGATGACCTATCGGCGGGAGTTTCCCATAATGAATGGCTCCAACTACACCTCGGACTGCGGCTGGGGGTGCATGTTGCGGAGTGGACAGATGCTGCTGGCTCAAGGACTTATCTGTCACTTCCTAGGACGCAGTAAGTTATTCATGGATGATGTCATGAGGATGTTAAGTCATTTCTGTATTTCTTAGGCTGGCGATACGACTCAGAATCACAGCTGCACTCTACCTACGAGGATAATATGCATAAGAAAATCGTGAAATGGTTTGGGGATAGCTCCTCGAAGAGTAGTCCCTTCTCCATCCACGCCCTGGTTCGGCTTGGGGAGCATTTGGGCAAAAAGCCAGGCGATTGGTACGGCCCCGCCTCAGTTTCCTATTTGTTAAAGTGAGTTCACATCCTTATCAGAGATCAGAAATCTTTATTACGGGTATTCTATATTTATCCTAACCCACAGACACGCCTGTGAGCATGCAGCCCAGGAAAATGCCGACTTTGACAATATTAGCGTTTACGTAGCCAAGGACTGCACCAGTGAGTACAAGCGAAGGAATCCCCCCTCAGCAACCTTTGAATTTAATCAGATAACTCAGTGACAACATGATACAAACATGAGTAATGGTAGCAGGCTTGTTGCCTGAGCCCATTACTCATGGTCACAGTCTTATTTGATAACGACGATTTTGTCTGATAACCGTGCTTCCGTATTACAGTTTATATGCAAGATATTGAAGATCAGTGCAGTATTCCCGAGCCGGCGCCGAAACCCCATGTGCCTTGGCAGCAAGCGAAGCGCTCGCAGGCGGAAGGGCCCACTCCTGAACAGCAGCAACAACACTGGAAGAGCCTCATCGTACTCATACCCTTACGACTGGGCAGCGACAAACTGAATCCGGCGTATGCCCACTGCCTGAAGTTGCTACTGAGCACGGAGCATTGCCTGGGCATCATTGGCGGCAAGCCGAAACACTCCTTGTACTTTGTGGGTTTCCAGGAGGACAGGCTCATTCATCTGGATCCGCACTATTGCCAGGAGATGGTCGATGTGAACCAGGAGAACTTTTCGCTGCAGACGTTCCACTGCAAATCGCCGCGAAAGCTTAAGTCGAGCAAAATGGACCCAAGCTGTTGCATTGGCTTCTACTGCGCCACAAAGATGGATTTCGATAACTTTATGGAGAGCGTCCAACTGGTATGCTAAGCACACGTTCCACATGTGTTAACTGTTAATAACTCTGAAATCATTTGCAGTATCTGCATCCCATGCGGTGCGCCTCGGGGGCAACTCACACACAACAACCACAGGTGGCGCCGCAGGCAGCCCAACAACAGCCCGAGCAACTGGAGACAAACTATCCGCTGTTTACATTCTCCCGAGGTCGTTGCATGGACTATGAGCGGGACGAGATGAGTGATTCTCTCTACAAGCCGCTAATAAAGCAGGTGGCTGCATTGGCACAAGAGTTGGGCGCTCAGCTATCACCCTCCGCGCAGCATGGCTACGACAATGACCAAGATGATAGCGAAAGCGAGGAGTTTGTGCTACTGTAGATCGTTCGTTACCACCATAACCACGTTGCTGTACTAGCTGTGTTATTTGCTCATTATTATTTGCCGTTGCTCGCCTACTCGCCCCAAAAACCCAACAGACGCGACCCGTATCTCAAACACAAAGACTTTGTTGTACCTTTACGCCTACGCATATATGTAGTACATAGTGGCATGTATCTTGAATATTTACCGACGTCTCCGCGTTAATTCCTCTCTCTTTTGTTTGACTCGTAGTCTCGCATTCTGCCAAAGTGTTTCTGCTTTTCCGCGTGTCAGCAGCCTGAGCGGTTTATACATATGTGTTATATAAAACTTACGTAATCTGCGGTATTATTATTTTAAAACATGAATCTTTAATGGAATTGAATAATCATTTTACACGGGTGCAACCATTGCGCCGCTGTTCTCTAAAGTATTTCATGTAGTCCTTACGTTCTAGAACTTAGCTAAATTATTTAAGTCGTCTCGTAATTGTTCGATCATTAATTAGTTTTAAATTAATTGTATATATATATATATATACCTTCGTAAATTAATAAATAAATTAACTATCCTAAATTTAAGTTATTATAAGTATATTTAAAGTTATATATAGGAAATACTGGGATTTGGATATGAGTTAAGCTATTTTCAGTGATACCAATAAGTACATAGATTATTGGTTATTGCGACTAGTGACTGAACACACAACCTTAGATTCTGGCGCAGATCAGGATTATTCCATCTCACGGAATGTAGGCCTGGATATTACAAGAAGTCTTTTTTTACACCTATAAATTATATTTTTAATGGTGTGAACCTCTTAGACAATTAACTTCCAATTGGTTCATAATTCGGACGAGTTGCGGTGGGACTGAGAAGCAATCGCTTACCTTTCGATGGCAACCTTTGCCTCCCTTTCCAGGCGTTTTAGAAGCTTGTTGAGATTCTCTCGCGCTGTCGTTGCTCTACCTGAATTAATGCTTATCGCCATTCGATACGCCTCGATGGCCTCCTGGCTCTTGTCCCAGCGGTGATAGAGCACTCCGAGATTCGTGTGGTACAGCATATTGTGGGGTTCCAGCTCAATGACCCGCTTGTAAATCCTCTCCGCTTCAACGTAGTGCTTCATCTTGCCCAGAACATTGGCCCGAATGAACATTATGCTGACTTCGTTAGGCAAGTGCAGGAGAGCTTGATTCGAGAGGCGTAGGGCGTCGTCGTAGAGTCCACGGTTGTCCAGCATGGTGAGGATATTGGCCCAGGCTTTAGGCTGCCGGGGATTTAGCCCCACTGCGTGCTGCCAATGATGCAGGGCCTCGGCGTAGAGCTTCTGTTCCAGGTAGAGATTCCCCATATTGTAGTAGCAGACGGCGAAGTTGGCCCTATGCTTCAGCGCCTTCTCGTAGCTGACCAGGGCCTGGGCGTATTTCTTCTGAGCGGATTGCACAATGCCCAGATTCATCCAGGCCGCCGGAAAAGCTGGGTAGACCTGCAGAGCCAGTCTGATGTACTCCTCGGCGGTTGCCAGCTGACCATGCTCCCTATACAGGTTACCAAGGTTCATCAGAGCAGACTCGTAGCCGGGATACAACTCAATAGCCTTGTGATAGTGCTGAAACGCCTTGGTATTGTTTCCTGTATCGGTGGCCAATCGAGCGATGTTGTAATGCACCTTGGCGTTGTCCGGACACACTTCCAAGCCAGACTTGAACAACTGCTCCTCGTTTAGCCAGTCGGTGGCCCGTTGCCGAGTCCGAAGCATCATCACGCTGAGGAGAACCATTAGGAGAACCTGCAGGCAAAGACGCCAATAAGGTCGGCCCGAACTGCTATCATACCAGTAAAGGAACCCATAGATAGACACTAGGCAGAAGCCGATGGATGGAACATACAGAGTCCGCTCTGCGATCACAAATCCAACACTGATAATCCCCGAAGCCGGTAGGAACGGTACTACCATCAGACCCAAAGCTAGCATCATGCCGGGCAGGCGGCGGAAGTTCTTCAGAGCCACCAGCACTATGGAGTAGAATCCGATAACGCCCTGCAGCCGCAGGTCCCAAATGCTAGTCACCAGCTTTACACAGCCCAGAGCCCAGTCGTAGCACAGCCAGTGGGGGCAGAGCATCAGCCAGATGTTCATGACCAGCAGGAACTGCTGGGACAGTCCTCGAGTCAATATGTGCTCGTTGTAGGCGACCGGGTTGTCCACTTCCTTAAACTTTGGCGGCTCAAAGTTCTGCCACCACAGGCGGGTAGTTAGCAAAGCCGAAGTCCCCACCAAGTAGAAGACGTAGCTCACCCGGGAGCGCACGAGGTTCCATTGATCCCGGTACGATAGCAGGTAGTAGCCATTTTGAAAGTAATCCAGCAGCACACACGACATCGGAATGGTGACTGCAGACTCCTTAAAGAGTATTCCCACGGCGGTGAGAATCAAGACGAGGCCAACGGCGTGGGAGCTGTGTTTTCCGGTGTTGGCCACGGTCAGCAGTAGGCAGAGCAGGTGAATCATTCCGAACATAAGCTCCGCGCGCCCCACAACTCCGGATACCGCTTCCGTGTGGATCGGGTGGGCAGCAAACAGCGCCGCCGAAATAGTGGCCCATCGCTCTGTATTAATCTCCGTCACATACAGCGATCGCACTAGTCGCCACATAAGCAGCGTGTTTACGCAGTGCAGAAGGAGGTTGAGGAACTTCATGTGAGCTGCGCTCAGGCCCAGCAAAGCATATTCGCAGTGGAACATCAGGGTGGTCAGCGGCCGGAACGACTTGTGCGAGTCTGAGCTGACCAGGGAGGCGCCCCAGAAGTCGTGCGTGAAAATTGCCGTCCAATTGGTGGGCAGTACGCTGACATCCCGGTTCTTGACGATGGCCACGGTGTCGTCGAAGACAAACGTAGCCCCCCGGAGGCCGCCGCAGCCGTAGCACACCAGACATATCAGAACCAGGATCGACTGGCAGACAATGCTCTGCAGCCCGGCCTTGGGAACGGAGCCCAGCACCATTTTATCCACTACTTCTACGTTTAATGCACTGCTTTAATTCAGAACTCCGACACCGAAGATTTTTATAAACTTTTGTTGTGATTCTGTACCCCTCCTCCGAGACAATCAAATAATCGATTCAAAATATCGATTCCAATTCTATCGATAATCTAATCGATAGTCCATACTATTGTCAAATAGGTAGGCCGCCGCTCGCGCTGCTATTGCTATTGCGCAACAGGTGAGAACAAAACACAAAGACCAGCAGACAGACAGCCGCTCAACATGGTAAGTAATGCAAATTGCGTGCAAATGAAGGCGCATAGCTAACCGAGACATGCTTTCCCGCCAGCAAAGCCCAATTCAAAGGTTGGTCTACACACTCGGTCATCGCACCTACAGCCAGTTGCCGCTGATCGGCGGAGCAGCAATATCAACAAAGAACCCCCCCGTCATGGCCTTCTCCGCGCGCCTCTCCTCCTCCTCCGTGCTGGCCACGGAGTCTTCTAACAAGGGAATGATCATCCTAAACCGCCCCAAGGCTCTGAATGCCATCAATCTGGAGATGGTGCGCAAGATCTACAAGCATCTGAAAAAGTGCGAGAAGTCCAAGTCGCTGTTGATAATCAAGGGCACGGGCGAGAAGGCCTTCTGCGCCGGCGGTGATGTGCGCGCCCTCGTCGAGGCGGGCCCCACCGACGAGTCTAAGAGTTTCTTTCGGGAGGAGTACAGCACCAACGCCCTGATCGGCAACTACAAGATTCCCTACATTGCTATCATCGACGGCATCACCATGGGCGGCGGCGTCGGCCTGAGTGTGCATGGAAAGTATCGTGTGGCCACAGACAGAACGCTGTTCGCCATGCCGGAGACGGCTATCGGCTTGTTCCCAGACGTGGGCGGTTCATACTTCCTGCCGCGTCTGCAGGGAAAGCTAGGCCTATATTTGGGACTTACAGGATACCGTCTGCGTGGTGGGGATGTCTTTTTCTCGGGAATTGCCACGCACTACTGCGAGAGCAGCAAGATCCCAGATCTGGAGACGGCACTGCTCAACTGCCCCGATGCGGATGACGTGCCCGAGTTGTTGCAGAAGTACCATTCCACGCCGGAGAAGCCGTTCTCGCTGCAGCCGGTGCTGGAGCAGATCAACAAGAACTTTTCGGCGGACTCCGTCGAGGGCATATTTGAGAATCTGAAGAACGACGGAAGCGAGTGGGCAAACAAGACGATTGAGGTGAGTGAAATACGCGGTTTACGGTGATAAGAACACAATCAGATGTTAATTGACTGAACCAATCAACGTTTGGCGCGCTTTTAGCACCCAAATATTTGGATCGGTTTCCAGCCAATTAACGCTGCCTTGGTTGTGGCACGATTTCGCACAACTGGCACACGTAAATAATCAGCCAATTCCTGCCTGTTTGTCTATTTTAGACGCTCTGCAAATCGTCACCCACCTCGCTGAAGGTCACGTTCCGCCAGCTGGAGCTCGGCTCGCAGCTGTCGCTGGCCCAGTGCCTGATTATGGAGTATCGGCTAGCGGTGCGCCATTTGGAGCGCAGCGACTTCAAGGAAGGAGTCCGCGCCCTGCTGATCGACAAGGACCAGAAGCCCAAGTGGCAGCCCACCCACCTGGCCGAGGTCACTGAGGATCAGGTGCAATGGTTCTTCCGAAAGCTGCCGGACACCGAGGAGCTAAAACTGTAATGTAGCAGTGCCGAGTTTTGTTTTGTTTGGTTCGATAGCCTGCCTTTTTCGTTCTTGCTCCGTTATGACGCTCATTTTCTATATACACATAACCCTACACCTATGTATATAAAAATCTTCGCAAGCTTGAGTTCTTTTTTGCATGGTTCCTTGCCTGCCGTGTTGCAATATTCGTTATCCGTTATCCGTATAGTGGCCACAGACACGCACTGTCGCTAAATATCTGCAATCTCTTCTCTGTTTCATTCCAACAGCGAGTAATTCCAGAGGAAACGCCCGTGTTTATCAATAACGATTGTGAAAATCAATGCATTTATATATGATATACGTATATCCCTATATATTATATATTATATACAATTCGTAGTCCTAATTCAATCACTAATTGTGCCTAAAGAATCGTAAGAAGTCGATATTTAACAAGAATAAACTGAAGTGTATATGTTTAATAACTGTTCTTTCGTTGATAGCGTCTAGGAAGATCTGGTGTCCTTAAGCTTAATACTGTCTTCCACCATATCGGTTAGCTCGGACAGTTTTTCAATTTGCGACGCCTGGAAGTTGAGCTTGGCAAGCTCCTGCCTCCAGGAAGTAACGTCCACACGCAACTGGACGCGAATCTTATCGTCGTCAGACATCACAGCTGAGCTTCCCTGCGACGGCGGTGCTGCTGATCCGCCACTTTTCACGTTCCGTAGCCGGCGCAATGATTCCTCGGTTTTCTGAACGGAGGTGAGAACGTCACTCACCACATTGAAGTACCTGCGGGAGTCAAAGAAATATTTGTTTAAAAATCTCTATGTGCGGCTATTTATTCAACTTACGCCTTTGTTATGTGACTGGCAACCTCGGAAAGGATCTGCTCTACCACCAGAGTGCCGAGCTGGGACTCGTGTTGCTGCGTGAACGCCTTAAGCGGACGAAGCATTTGTTCCACATAGCCCGAGCACCGGGAGGGAACTTCTCGATTTGTCTTGCGATACAGGCGTGGCAAGTCGTTTACCTGGCGCACATTCTCCGTCTCGCACTCGCCGATCAGCAACTCTACCAAGGTTTTTTGAATGCTTGACAAATGCGCTCCCAGAGCGTCACCCAAGGCGGCCATGGATTTGCCTAGGACATCGTTGAACATTTTCGAGCGCTGATCAGCGGGCACGGATTGGATAACTAACTGCTGGAGCTCAGGCAAATATGCGTCTAGTTTGCGTATGTCCGAGTGCAGGGCAATTAGTAACTGATGCCTAGTGAAGGACTTTGCGAAGCTGCTGCCTTTGGACACGGCTATGGCATCGGTGATCCAGCGGGACAAACGAAGAACAATCTGGACGTTCAGCTTGTAGAATTTGGGAAATACCTCGGGCAGATAAACACCCTCGGCCCAACACTTTTGCATGGCTTCCTTGGCGGCATTGAATGTTGTAAGTTTGTAAGCCTCTTCATCGTTATTCGTCGTCTTCAATGTATCACTCTGCAGCACTGGCTCCAGCTTGGCCTCGAATTGACCAGCAATTTCCTGTAACAATATTTAATGAAATGGAATAGTGTGCTTCGTATAGCTTATTTTCATACCTGAAAGCATATTTGGAAATAAACCGGTAGATTCCAGCGGGCCTCAAAGCTCTTTGTCTGCTTGTGCTGGCGGTACAGGGCAACAGACTGCTCTCCACTGCTGGCTAAAACCTCCTCTATTTTGCCGAGAAAGTCGCGGGTGCACTTGTACTTGACATAGAACACCTCGGAGTTGCCGGGCGCGAAGATAGAGTTCATGTGCAGCTCGAGGCGTGTCTCTACATCGGCCCAATAGCTGTTCACTACAAAGTTAAATCCTGGAAATTTATCGGAGTAGAGCGTCAGGCGGAGCAAGTCGGTCATGTGCAACGAAATAAAGTTGAGAATCTTGCTGTAAATGCCTGCGAGGCCCTGGGGCGAGTTCTGCAGATGTTGCTCCCCAATGACGCCGCTCATGTAGGGCGCAACAACATCCTCCCGAAAAGCGCTTTCCGCCTGTCCACATGCGTTCAAAGTGATATAAATGCGCAGACAACGCTCCAGGTGCTCCGGGGTCGAGTTGCGAGCCTGACCCAAGGCATCGCTGAAGAAACGGCGCAGATGCTGATGCAGCTGCTCCTCAAGTTGCCGGATCTTCGCCCGCTGCTCGGAACTTAGGTGCTTGGAGCAGTGCTTCTCATGAAATTTCAGCTGAATCAGGTCTAGCGCAGCGCGTTCTAGATCAACTGCTTGAACAGGCTGATCTTCGCTAAGTGTTCGATTGATAAGGTCCTGCATCTTAGTGATTGTCTCGTAGACCTTCTTCAGGCTTTGCAGGCTTCGCTTAAACTCCCGCAATCGACGCTTCTCCTCCAACTGGGCTTTTAGCTCCGCAACATTCTCGTCAATCAGGTCGTGGATGCTCTTGATGTCGCTGCGAAACTGCTCCAGTGGCCGCTGGATGGTCTCGATGGACTGGTCTAGGCCCACCAAGTTGGCGCTCAAATTAACGAAGTCCGCGTAATCCTCGTTGATAAGATCAATCATAGCTGCCCGAAGACCCTTTAAGTACAGCCCCAAATTGTCTCGCAATTGCTCCAGACTGGGGGCATTCCGATTTTTGTGCAGAAACTCGTCCACCGAGAAGTTTGCCTATTTGGAGATGCGTATTTACTAACGAAATCAGAGGATTGCCGGGATTGATTACTTACCTTCATAAACTCATTCTTGTCGAAGCACAACTTCTCCGCGGTGCTGGTGGCGCCGGCGGGCAGGTGAACCGGCTTCGTGGCTGGATCATGCATGGCCGTCGTATCGAATTTGATTAATTCCAGCCAAAAGTGAAAGAAATTCCAATTTTATTTCTGCCACGAACAATAAACAGTGCTGGAGCAGTGTGACCAGCTATTGAAAGTGCATAAATGTGGGAAAGAACGCACCACGGCCCGGCTAAAGAGTTTATCGACTTGTCGGTTATCGAATATTTTCTCGTGAAAGTCTGAACTTGGGCACACTGCCGGTAAAATTTTGTTTTAAAACAATTCTGAACCAAACACTTTAAAATCGGTCAATAACAGCGTATCGATTAGATTTAAAGTCGTAAAACTCACAAGGATCCCGAATCTCTCATTATGCCGAAAAATGGTAGCGGTGGCAACCGAAATAGTGCTCCAAGGAAGCGTCAGCCGGCAGTGCAACTAGATGAGGAGAATCCCATTGTGCAGGCTTTTCGGAATTACTCCGCCGAACTGACCATAAAGCACGACCGCCACGAGCGCATTGTCAAGCTGAGCCGCGACATTACTATAGAGTCCAAGCGCATCATATTCCTTCTGCACTCAATCGACTCGCGCAAGCAGAACAAGGAGAAAGTCCTCGAGGAGGCACGCCAGCGCCTGGCCAAACTGATTGAGGTGAACTTTCGGGCCGTCGCGTTGGAGTTGCGAGACCAGGACGTCTATCAGTTCCGTGGCGCCTACTCCCCAGGCCTCCAGGAGTTCATCGAGGCCTACACCTACATGGAGTATCTGTGCAGCGAGGATAGCGCAACTGAGAACAAATGCGTCTCTGACTGGCAAGCGTTGCAGGCGGTTATGCAGTATATAGAGGAAACCGGCAAAGCAAAGAGCGAGGACCCCGGCGTTCCGGAAGTGGAAGTGTTGGACGAGCCGGTGGTTGAGGAAGTGCCTAAGAAGTTCCAATTCTTCGTAGACCCGACCGAGTATGTTTTGGGACTGTCCGATTTGACCGGCGAGCTAATGCGCCGCTGTATAAACTCATTGGGCAGCGGCGACACTGACACCTGCTTGGAGACCTGCAAGACCTTGCAGCAGTTTTACACAGGGTAAGTAGGCTAAATTTGAATTTAGACTTGGTAAAAATTTTACTCTCTTCTCAGGTACATTAGTCTCAACTGCCCGAGAGCCCGCGAACTGTGGCGCAAGATCACCACCATGCGCCAGAGCGTTCTCAAAGCGGAAAACGTTTGCTACAATGTGAAAGTGCGTGGTGGCGAAGCTGCCAAATGGGGAGCTACTTTTGACCAAAAGCCATCCGAGGAGGTGGACGAGGGTTTTTACTAACAAAACAAAATGTAATATAAGCTTACAACAATGGAATATACATATATATTTTAAGGAAGTAACTTCATACACGGAAAGGATAAGTAACACTGAAAATTGTGGTAGTAGATGATACGCTGCTAGTCATAGTCATCTGTGTGTATGCGCTGGCTATCGAACTCCAGCTCATCTTCTTCATCTTCATCAATGTCTGCGCCTGGACGATAGTCCGCATCGTCATCATTGTCGCCTCCAAATGGGTCACTGTCCTCGTCTTCCGTCCCAAAGTCGTCCTCATCAGCGGGTCTGCTGTTGCCGTTCTGCCGTTGGGCTCGTCGTTGGCGCAGACGATTGCGTATATTCTGCGCTGAATTGACTGGAGCGACTTTTAGCCAACCTGAAGCAAGCCGTGCAAGCGAGGCGTCCTACTTACAATCTGCGGGGTGGGAATGTTGCTGGAAGTGAACTGGATTGCGGCGATAGCAGGCGTTGCCAAAGGGACAAGCAGGTGTTCCGAGTGGCGGCTCGGGAAAATTTGGTCGGCGATAGTCCGCGTCACCCGGATGAGCTTCAGCACTTCGATGTGCCGGATTGCGCCTTTGGATGAATGAAAGAAATGTAAAATCTCCAACATGATGTGTTGAGAAACAAGATAGTGGGTTACCTGTAGCATCGGATGCCGAAGCGACAAGACGGCCGAAGACTGCTGGACGACACGGTTGACTCGTCGGAGACTTGTCCATTGGAATTAGTTGGTTCAATTTTAACCACCGCTGCTACAGGTGGTTCTACTTTTACCTGAACGTTTTCAGGATCCCTGCTGGACGCCGCACTAGGAGCAGGCTCTGGCTCTGCCTCTGCATCCCCATCTACCGGTTCGGTTTTTACTTCCACTGGATTATCGTCAGTCCTTTCGGTTTTAATGGAAACCCCAGGCTCTGACTTCTCTGGTTTCAAGCGTTTGTTTTGGTTGATTTCTTCAAAAGCGTCTTGTTGGGGTGACTTTCGTTTGGACGCTTGGTCTTCATCCGAACCATTAGCCTCCGCCCTTACGGGTTCATTTCGATCGGGGTTTTCTGTCTCCGCAATGGCACTCATTTTGAATTATATTATTAATACGAACAGGAATGTGCGCGTCTTCTTTGTTGAAAATTTTGTTTATTTCACAAGAACTAAAGATGGAAAACCAACGATTTTTCGATCGATGCTATCGTTTTCTTATTTTTTTATCGGCTCATTTGGCGTTACCATATATGTAAGTTATGTGTACTTTTCGTTAATTTTCCACACCTGAAGCTATTTATTGGTTAAAAACAAACTTGCTATAGATGCGAAGCCCTGCTGGAAAATGTGGAAAAGAACAACATTCCATAGAAAGCAACGAATCTTCTAAAAATAAAATAAACTCTTGAACGCAAAGAACTGCCACACTTTGCATAGGTTTAAAGTCACAGAGCGCCACTTTCAAATAGCAGAGGGGTGTAGTTTCGGTAGTCGTTATAATTTGTACAATTTTAAATACATATAGAATGCATATATGTAACAAGCAAAATGCGAATACTTTGTATAAATATAGGATTCCCGTGTACATATGCGTCGTGAGTAACTTCTTAGTTTGTATGTGTATATGTAATTGCTTGTGGCGCAGAGCCGGGTGCTCCAGGATCGGAGCCTTGCTCTTGGCACCATGAATATGTATTTATGTCTATATAACTATACGAGTACGTAGTTAGTGGGTGCAGCCTGATCTGCGGGCAAGGCCCTAGCTGGCTGCCAGTTCGTCGCATGGCACATTCGTGATACTGACTGAGTCATGTCGGATCCAGGAGTGAATCTGTGCGGGGGGCTGGGCATTGCATTGAGGGTAGAACAAGCGATATGATTGAGAGGGAAATATCTTTAGCGGGATATGTGGCAAGCTCGCCCGCTTTGCGCCCGAGCATCAGCAACTCCCAAAATGCCGTCATGCGCGTTCTTACACATCCTATAGGGTCGTCTCAGGAACATGGGTATGTCCGTTCTCCAATCGCTGATCAATGATCTTCTGCTCCAACTTTTTTACGCGTAGTTGGTACTTGCGCTTGTTGTGCTCCAGCATTTGTCCCAAATTACTGAAAAAATTAAGAATTGTCTTAGAGTTAGTATGGAAACACTAATAATTCAGATGCTTACTGGTTTGACTTCTGCAGCTCACGAACGTTCTGCTGAAGCTGCTCGTATTTCTCGTCGGAAGCCTTCTGTGTGGCCGTAACTTTGACGAGAAGTGTCTGGATGCGACTCTTAAGCTCCGTTTCGCGGGTCAGAGCCTCTACTAACTGCTGTTCGGTGAGGGCCGCGTGCTCCGCCTCCGAGTAGGAGACCCGGTTACTGGCCTGCAGTTGCTTAAGGGCTTCATGAAGGATGCTCACCCGCTCGTTGGCGTTCTGTCGCTCCTGCTCGGCCTCTTCCATTTTATTCTTAAGCTGGAGGTTTGCATCCCGGAGTTCTAGCAGCTCCTGCATAATTACCGCCGTCTCAAGATCGATGGACGATTTCTTGTCATCGTCGCGGAGCTCGTGCTCCTTTTCTAAGGCCAGCCGCTTCTTTTCGTACACATCACTGAAAGGGGACTCGAGGCTGACAATGGTGTGTTGAACGCTCGAGCGTCGTCCCTTTAGTTTAGAGACATGATATCGCAGGCGGTTGTCGTCGTCGGTGCACCAGAAATGTCCAGTCTTAGGGGCATCCTCGGTGCTTAGATTAATATTGTGCTGCCACGGTCCGAGACTGTTCTCGCACACGTTCTTCTCGCTGTCGAGTCGGGCTAAAAGATGCCTGGCCACCGCCTCCACAGAACGTCGGCTCTCCTCCGCCTCTGAAGCTGATTTCTCCCCAAGGAGTGCCAACCTAAAGAATACAATTTAGTCAGAGGAAATATATTTCTGGGTGAACTCTTACTTGCTCTCTAGCAATGCCAGCATCACATCGTAGGCCTCGATGGCTCGATCACTGCAATTAAGCGCCAGCTGTAAGGCCACCGCATTAGACTCATATTTTCCACAGAGCAAATACAGGTGCTCGGTGTGCTCTTTGCACTCGTCCAGGGTCAGCGCCAGCATGGTGTTGCGCATCTCCAAATGCTCAACTCTTCGCTGCAGTTTCTCCAACTCCCTACTTACTTGCAATGGTTCCATGAAGCTCTCCATGAACAGGTTCTGCTCCTTGAGTTCACAAACCAGATGCTCCACCAGATTAATGTGCTGAAAAGGAGTAGCTTGGCTTAAATGTGTTCCTCGTTTACTAGGTAGGTTTAGCTCACCTCATTGTTCAAGGATGTGTACTGGTCCTGCGACGCATCATCTTCGGCGGGTTCCATTTTGCTGGCGCAGCGCAACTTCACCCTCTCTGCCATTTTCGGTACGGCGGGTACTCTCTTTTGAGGGCTGGTCAAGGAGACGCAAGCTGAAAAACCATGTGCTTGCAGTTATTATGGACAGTCTTGGACATTTTGAGCTTGATTCACCATTCAGATCGTTGAGGCGCTGACCGCACTCATTGACCTCCGATTCGCAACCAAAAAAGGCCACCTTGGTTTGCTCCTCCACGACGCCAGCATCCTTCGTGGCAATCTCGGACTGCAGTAGGGCGATCTGAGCTCTCAAATGCAACACTTCCTCCTGCAACGCCTCCACCTGACCCTTATGGCTGAATTCCTGCTGTGGTTTAATTCCCCCAAATTGATCCATGCTGGCGGCACTGCAGGCGCCTTCGATATCCTCTAGGGGTTCCGTCTGGCACTCTGCATCGGGATTGGTGAGGTTGAGCTCCGAGTTGTACACTGAACCCTCCTGATAACTCAGCTCTGGAAAGTGGAAAACAGAATCGGGATTATTAAAGATATTGTGGATATTAGCAAGCTTCACTCACCACTGCCTTCGGGTTCCTGTTCCTCCACAATGATATGTTCCTGCCTGCTGCGCAGTTTTTTGCTCAGCTCCGCAATGACGCAGTGCATCTCGGTAATGCGGCACTCGTGCGCCTGACTAACCACCTCCAGTCGCTTGTTACATATGTCCCGATCCGCATTGCTCTCCTTTAGGCTTCGTTCGGCCTGCTGCAGGCGCTGCGTTAGGTCTCTTACCCGGTTCTCCAGCTGCTGCACCGACAGTTGCTCAACCTAGAAGAGATACAAGAAGATGCAAGATTTCGTGAGGCTTCTATTTTGTTATATTTGAAGTCATCACGTTTATGGGTCTCCTGGCCAGCGGCTGAGCCATCAGCGTGTACTCCCAACTGCGTCGCTTGTCGCTGGGCATTGATGGAGGTGTGTCACTACAGCACAGGCAGCTTAGGCTGCGCGGAAGCAGTTGCTCCGCAATCATGGTCCAGTGGAAAATTTTGACTGGCGATTACGTCGTCATCCGAGCACAATGCATCCGCTTGCCCCGCCACCGTCGCCGCTGCTGCAGCTTGACCCTCGGCCTCCGACACGCAGCTGCGCACTCGGCGCCACACGGAAGCTTAAACCCGCCACAAACACTCCACGGGGAGAATAATATGGATTTTATGTCGCCAACAAAAGTATTCCCTTTGATTTCGAAAGAATCGGGACATACAATAATCTTTTAAATCATAATATTGGCATGTTGCCTAGTTAATTGATGAAATATTATAACGTCATGTACTAATTTTAGAAAATTTATTTTTTTAGATTGTACGAATAATTATTTCTCTAAGTGCATGTTCCCATCACTCACTTTGTTGACAATGTCCAGCGTGGAGCAGCTGGATATGTTGTTGTCGCTCTCCGTGGTTGTAGTGTCGCGCTGTGTATGTTCTGGCGAGGACTCCAGCTCAAAGGATCCCACCAAGTGGCGGGCATTGGGCCCTGCTCCCCGCGGCGAAATGCTGCCGAAAACATACTCGAAATCCTCACCAGCCACGCTGCCGGAATGCTGCTTCCCTTGGAGGCAGCTAGAGTCGCGTTGCTTGCCACCACGTCGAGGCACGTCGGTGGCTATCTTGGCCACCCGCGCCACCTGCACATCATTGGACATTTTGGCGATGGGTCGGAGGCGGGGCTATCTCTTCCAGACTAGAATCGGCTTTGTGCGGGCCGCTTTGCAATGGCTTTTGATTGGTGCTCCATTTTCACACTGGGTGGCACTTGGTTTAACTCTACATGGCACTGTATAGACGCGTCTTAAGGCATTTTTAATTCAGAAACTGCAAACTTGTTATTGGTCAATGTTTATTTCTTATCAGAAAATGTATACCAAGAACGGTGTTGGAAAAAGCGAAAGGAGTGGCCGAGCAGCAGCACTTTACAACACTCTGCCAATTATTTGGTGTAAAAGGCGCGCAATTTAAAAAATCTAGATTTTATAATATATTCAATTAATTTTTTATTGTACGCCGTTGTGGTAATATACATACAAGTTATCATTTTGTCAACACTGCGATATGGATCCATGGTTTCTCTGGAAATCATAATGAACATTGAAATAGCTATGAAGTTTCTGTTTTACGGAATAGCCGCCACATTTTCGGCCCGTATCGTCACCATAGCCTCGTAGTCGCGCATGTCGAGCTCGTGAAGGGCCTTTTGGACCAGAGTGGCCAGGTGCGGAGGCAGGTCCTTCAGATCCTCCATCCGTTCCCTGGCCACTGCACTCGAAATGCGTGGGGTTCCATTGCAACGGCTGCCGATGCCACAGTTTCCTGAATCCGTGGTGGCCGATGACGACTTGTGGAAGTCGTCTGGTCTCACATCCACTCCGTAAACTGACGAGTCAATGGACTCTGCTGAGAGCGAGGACATTCCGTCGTCGGACTGTAGAATCTCAGGAGCCACCTTGTGCGGGTCACGATTCGGTGGATCCGGCGTCAGGGTGCCACCTTCGTTATCCGGGGGAATGGACGGAGTGCTGCTGATGTCGGCGTCATCAACCATAGCGGCGCAGTAGCCGTTGAGGAGCAGCTGCGAGGGCGCATAGCCGTACTCTTCGTCTATTTCTTGGCTCTCATCAGCGCCTGCGTTATCCTCAGCTCCCAAAAGAAGCTGTTGCCAGCGCTGTTCCAGCTCCGTCATCTTGCCAGCCAGTATTCTGAGTGAGATAAGGAGTGAATATTAAATGTATATATATTGCAAGTTTATCGAACTTGTTGGTCTTCTTCTGGTGCGTCAATGCCAGATTCTTGTCGTTCAGGTTATCCAGTAGGGCCAGACACAAGGACTTCAGGTCATTTAAACTCTCAGTTTTTTGAGGAAGATCAATGCCGCTCTCAAGGATGGTTTTCACTGAGAAAAGGCAGGTATAAAACATAGTCAAGGACGTTTCTATAGAATACTCACCTTGTCGGGGACTTAGTATGGTTTCATCATTTGTGCTGCCTCCGCCAAGCTTCACGATGCTCTTCTTCCGTTTTCCATCTAAAATGGACTAGATAACAAGGTTACAGAGATTTTAAGCGTAAAAAAAGGTACACATAAATACTACTTTCTATCTTTCAATATACTTTTAAGTTAAGATACCATTTTGGATACAATTAAGAGGGAAATCAAAGGTTGTACCTTGTACTTGGAAATACTCTGTTTGGTCAGTTCCAGTTCCCCTTCTTGTATCTTTACACGCTCGTGCAGGTACTTGTTCTCCAGCAAAACCCCATCGATGTCAAGAAGCTGCAATGTTAAAAAAAAAATAAGTACATACATTCTCTTTATGTGATAAGTAACTCACCCTCGGATGGGTTTTCTTGGCCTTGAGGGCCACGAAGAGTTCATGATTGAGCCGGTGAGCCTTGCACTTGTAGGCATCCCGTTCCGTTATAAGCTCCTCCTTTTCGTCGATTACCGCCTTGAGGTCGAAGGCCAGTTGAGCGTTCCGTTTCTTAAGCCCCTCCAGGTGGCAGATGAAATTTGCACGTTCGCGGCGCCACTGCAGCTCCTCCTTGTTTCGGGCGGCATTTTCGCTGGCCATCGCCTGTACTCGGGACTTGTTGCTCGCCTCCGTTTCGCGCAGGAGCTCCATGTCGCCCTGGAGCTCGTTGAGCCTCTGCCTCAAAGCCTCTACTTCAGTGCTCAGCTTAAGATTTTGTTCGCGCGTTTCATGGAGAAGAGCGGCCAGGCTTGAGTTTTCACTGAGGGCTCCGCATCCGCCCACGGCCAGAAGTTCACTGTTACTCTTGAGGGCGGAATAGCGCAGCTGCAGGGTCTCTGCCATCAGCTTGTACTGGTCCCGTTCTACGCGGAATTGCTCCAACTCCTGTCGCAGGATCCGCAGGGCTTCCACCTTGCTCTGCAGCTTTCTGTGAACGGCGGATGTCTGCAAGGGTGGCGTAGCTTAGTCTCGTCCCATAAGGGCGGAGGACCACTCACCTCCACGGTAAACGTGGCCATATGCTGTCCGAACCCGTGGTGGTGGCTCGCCACATCGTCCAAGTCCATGCCGAAAGTTTCCATTCGTTTTCCGTATGCAAAGTTTTTTATATTTACAGTGAATGGAAATCGGGGTTGTCAGTTTGGGGAACTGGTTGTATCACAATTCCCCCGCATCTAAGGACTTCATTTTGGCCAAACACAAAATACTATTGAATCAATTTTCCTTGCGTCTGCGCGGTGAGCCCCAGAACTTATGCTACATATGTTCGCACTCCGATTGGTAGTATCGATAAATTCACGATAAAAAATTTTAAATTATTCAAAATGTTGATGCATACTTGATTTGCTTCGATCTAGATAGGTTAAAAAATGAAAGTCAAGTAGTTCATGACTAAAATATGTGTTATTTATTTATATTTCGGCTATGTCTGGTGATATTTTAATTAGAGAAGAAATTTCTATTTATGTAAATAGGGATTGGCCAGTATAGACTTGACAATTTGCTGATCGCCACGCGTTGTCTTTCCCTGATTTCAGATTTTCTGGTAAATCCGACAAAAGCTCCTCCTGTCGATCGAACATGGCTGTCAGCGCATGCTTGCAAACTCTTTTAACCTTTTTAATTGTGTTTTTCTTCATTTCCAAATTTTCAATCATTTTCACAATACAATATACTGAAATAATCAGTAGTTTTATAAGAAAATGGTCTTCGATGCAAGGGGGAACCTTTACCTTTATCAATTAGAGCCTGGTGTTGACTGATCTCGAAAGACGATTGCCGATCCTGTCCCCACAGCAACATTTTCGCCTTCCAGTAGGGCTTCTCCTGCACCGCTGTTTTTGCCAACCCATCATTTGTCAAGGATTCACAACGTGTCCAACTTATCTCCTGAATGTTGGTCACCTTGCAATTCCTACGCAGATGACTAAGACTTTCAACGAGTTCCTGGTTCATCTGAACATCATCCTCCAGTGGAACCACTTCACTCCCAAACTCAACTTTTTTATCAAGGGAATCTTCTAGCAGTCGCTTCATGCGTTGCTCGTTTTCCTTTAGCCTGGTTATTACGCTTTGATTGGTGGCTACCAGTTTCTTGATGTCTCTAATCTGGACATTCAGCTTAAGACTGTAGCGCTTTATCTTGTGCAATACATTTTCCACGTTGTCCAAGTGCTGATTAAACGTATTGATCCCCAGAGATGATAGTTCCGCCTCTTTTCTTTCAACAATCATGACTGTAAGGTGGTGATGTCTGGACCGAAATCAAATTTTTTATTAATTTTGTTTGGAATTTTTGGAATAGGACTACTTAAAGTGGTAAGAAAGGCTAGAAACTACATATACTGTCAGAGTCAAGAAATAAAAGTGTGGCTCAGGTGTAGATTAGAATCGTCAGCGGCAGCTCATGGCGTTTGCGATAGTTACCATCTTGCGGACAACGTTTGCATTAGTACCGTAGTACGGATCAATGTCCTGCTTGCCCATGGTCACATCGCACTCCATCCGGCTGGTTGTGGGGGCCACGTAATCCTCGCCGGCAGTGTCCATAGCAGAGGCATGAAACTCCATGCAGCGGCTGACCGTGAGGATCTCCTCCAGGTTGGACACTTTGATGCCGGCTCCGGGCATAACTATGAAGTCCCTATGGTGCTTTGCTATCAGCTGCGCCAGGTTGTCAAGACCTTCGGCTGCCGAAGGCCGGAATCCGCTGCTTAACAGCCGCTTGAAACCCAGCTCCCGCAACAGTTGGACGTTCTCCTGCATTCGCTTCTGGTCGGTGAGGTCGAAGGCCCTATGGAAGGTCACCGGCAGGCCTTCTGACTGCAGCATTACATGCCGGCACTGGTCCACGTTGATGGTGCGATCGGGATTAAGTGATCCAAACACAAAGCCGTCGGCGCCGTTCTGCCGCAGCAGATCCATGTCCGTCAGCACGGCACACATTTCTTCATCGCTGTAGACGAAGTCGGTCCCACGGCGCGGCCTCAGCATGCAATAAACGGGCAGGGCGATGGACTCCTTGAGGGTCTTCAGGGTGCCCACGGAGGGAGTCAAGCCGCCTTCGCTCAGGGCCGAGCAGAGCTCGATGCGGGAAGCTCCGCCGGCAACAGCGGCGAAAGCGGATGGTATGGAGTCCACACAGACCTCCAGCTTGATATCGTGGCTGGACATTCCGCTTATCAGTGATAAACCAATTGGTAAACAAAAATAAACAAAATGTTGTTGCGCTCTTCTAGTGGTGGCACTTTACAGTCAGCTGTTCCGATACTTCGATAACCATTTGTTGCCCATTTGTCAGGATTTTATTTTATTTTATTTGGGAATACCTACAATTAAATATTAAATTCAGCTTAAAAATATTTTTAAATGTCATAAAGTTTCTTAAAAATATAGTTGAAATAATAAATTAATACCTCCATTGCCAACGCATCTTGCTAGTGTGACCAGGTGATTATTTCAAATCAACCCGTTTCTAGTATTTAAGTCTAATTTTCATAACTAGGTCTGTCCACTCTGGCGTTGAGATTTGTGATGTGCTGGTTTTGTTGTGAACACAATTTTTTAATTTTTTAATTTGATTTGCGAGGCTTGTGCGAGTGCGTGTCGAGGCAGCGAAGAATCGGACGGAAGGCGGAAGTGGACGTGTAAGTGCAGCATGCGCCAGGCGATCTAGGCAACGGCAGTAGAACAGCAACGTTGCAGCCAGACCGAGCGCATTCGGAGTTACCTAGAAATGACCATGGGCGAGCCAACCTCGTCTCTTGTTCTGCCCGTCATACTGCGGCCTATTTTTTCACAGGTAAGTGCAAGTGCCCAGGTAGGCTGGCCGCAGCCCGAGACCGAGCGCGAGCCCTTTAGCTCCGCCAGATTTCGTGGCTGTTGCGTAAACCCAAATGCCAACGTACAAACTTTTGGAATTGCTTATTGCAGCTCGAGCGACGCGACGTCGGCGCTGCCCAGTCTCTGCGCTCGGCCATTCTCAAGTCTGAGCAGAACAATCCGGGCTTCTGCTACGACCTCGTAGCCACGATCGTGCGGCGGGCCGATCTAAATGTCAACTTAAATGAGGCCGTGCTCCGGTTGCAGGGCAACATTACGGAAGCGGACCGTAAGTAGCGGCGACGACGCCAACGCAGCAGCATATTGCTCTGCATTGTTCGATTGTGTTTCTTAGCTCTCACCTTTTCCCTTTACTCGGCAGTAAATGAATACCGCTTGACGCGCACCGAGGAGCCTTTTCAGGAGCTCAACCGCAAGTCCGTGGCCCTCAAGGTGATCCTCAGCCGCATCCCCGACGAGATAAACGACAGGAAGACTTTCCTCGAGACTATTAAGTAAGTCCAACTTTAAAGTGGAGGTAGTTTTTATAACTGGCACTGGGATAGCTGTTTTTTCTTTATCTGTTTTATACCTTTTTCTGGGTATAATTTAATTCAGAAGCCCGTAACGCTCTAAAAAGCAGTCATTTCCGACCCTATAAACCATATATATTCTTGATCAGCATCAACAGCCGATTCGATGTAGGCTAGTACCTTTTCAAAAGCTTTTCAAAATTATAAAAATTTTATAATGCGTTACATCGATATAATTGTCAAAAATTGACAAAAATTTTAATTATTTTAAATTTTAAATTTAGTACGCAGATTTATTAACCTAACAAAACCTAACATAGGAACGCTTTCTGAATTAAAATTAATGCTTTTTTAGATAAGTTATGAGATTTTTTTACTTTGGTTTGTCGAAAAACTTGATAAATATAGATTCGAAAAATGCGAATATTTTAAGCTTAGTTATGATCGATTTCCAATACATTTCTACAATTCAATTACAAACTGCAAGAGTTTATACAACTTGTCTTCACAAAGTTTGTAGTATATCTTTATATATCTTTATGATGAAGGCTTTTAGCATTAAAAATTGGCTACTTATATTTAATTTGTAAAAAATAAACATAACAGTTCGCTTGTACTCAATATTAGTGTACATTTATATTCCCATTGTAACTCATTTCTTCGTTGAGTTTTAAAAGCCTGTTTAAGGTTAAGGTATTTACTAAAATGTATAAACCGTTTGCAGGGAAATCGCCAGCGCCATAAAAAAACTGCTCGATGTGGTCAACGAGATTGGTTCGTTCATACCGGGCGTTACAGGCAAGCAGGCTGTGGAGCAGCGGAAGAAGGAGTTTGTCAAATATTCCAAGAAGTTCAGCACAACGCTGAAGGAGTACTTCAAAGAAGGACAGTGAGTACCTACATTTACTATTTACTATTTACATTGGGTGTTATCTCACGATATGAGTCGACGCCCGTGATAGCCGGTTTCTTTAATCGGCTCATATCTGGTTTCTTATCGTTTTGGGCCAAGCGTAGCGCATGATGTCATGTTATTGGCGTTCCGGGCATTGTTTGGTTTATCATTTTGCGCCGGAGAATTAATTCGTAGGCGGGGGGGCGGTGGCTATTTTAAATTGTAAAACGCACAAAATTGCCTTCGATTTTTGAGTCCCTCATTATTTTTGACCTTTTCGGTTATTTTCAACGGTGACTTCTATAAATAATTGACCATGTTTTCAGCAAGCAAACCGAAGTAATCCATCGACTAATCGATTTCTATTTAATTTGCCTCTATTTTCAGACCGAATGCAGTATTCATAAGTGCACTTTTTCTAATACGGCAAACGAATCAAATAATGCTGACAGTTAAGAGTAAATGCGAGTAGGAAATTAAACCTTTTAATTATGGCAAAATTAGTGGCATTTTAATTTTATGTTTAAATAACCATTTAACCACAAACACACCACACACAACACAAATCGGAGAAAACCAAGAGAGAACATACACTTCAATAACGAAAATCGCCCGAGAAAAACGCCCAAGTTGTTTGAACGTAAATGAAAAATCTGTTGTAACTACATAAATAAATAGGCCTAATGTACATCGTATATATATTACAGATAATCGGACACTAAATTGAGAAAAGCCCAAAATATTGTAATTAATTATTGAGCAACTATTGAAAAAGAGAGACGATGCGTGTGCGAGTGTTTCTTTTTGTTTACAATTTATTGTAAATAATTCATTCTTTTTCTGTTAATAACACAACATCGGCTAGTTTGTTTTTGTTTAGGAGAAAGCGACTACGAATAAAATTAAAATTAGTGAAAACAAAACGAGAGAAACAGGAAATATATATGTATGTATGTACTACGGGGAGAACAAAAACAAAAAAAGAGAAAAACAAAAGGGGGAAATCGCGAGACACTTGAATTTTTAACTGTTTTTAATTGTTAGAGTTTGAAATTAAAAAAAAGAACTATACATAATAATCATTTACTTAATGATATGTTCGATCTGAAAATGCGGAAGCGAAAGACATTAGTAGCCGACAGCACTATCAACAGGATGGATAAAGAAATTATTTTATTTAAAAAATGTTACATGAAAAACAAATGCAAAACAAAAAAAAAAGAGCAACAACAAACTCATAATGTAGTCATAGCGAAAACAAAAACGACAAATAAATGTATTTATATTCCAAACTGAACAAATTGTTTTGCATTATTTCGATTTACTCCGAAATGCGTCTTTTGGCGTGTTTTATTACCATTATATTTATTTTGTTTTCTTATTTGAGTGTACAGATCACAGAGTGAAGCGATCAAAAAGCCTGTAACCGGAAAATCCATTGATCGACCACCATTAACGGAAGAAGTCCAATAAAAGCCGACCTTATCATGGGTCAATATGCATACGTGCGACTTTCAAACCCAAAAGTAAGACTAAATAATCTAAAAAGTAGGCAATATTTTTAAACTGACTCTTCTGTATATTCTATACTCGGGATAAACTATTTTATTTAATTTATCAACAAATTAATTGGTGCATTCCCAATTCCTTAACCTGGCTGGGTATAAATAAATCACTGCATACTTTAAGGCCCGTTTGAGAATAAATCCTTGGGGATTCCTTTGACAACCTATGTATTAACAGAAATGGCCACTGTTAACCACCCCAACAGCAGCAGCAACGACAGTGATAGTAACGGTAAGCGCTAACAGCGTACAGAGCAGAGCAGCGACAACTTGTACACTTTCAACCCCAAAAAAAGCTTGGTAAAGCGGGAGAAAATTGCCCGATTTTCAGTGTCATTTGGCAGAAGAAAAATCGATTCCCCGCACTCTGGGCACTGCTGGCACTGGCACTGGGCACTGGGCCACTCTGGCACACTGAGCACGGAGCAGGCAGGCAGTTGGGCAGAAATCAGAGTACAAACCAGCCGAGCAGCGCGACCGAGATGACCCACTTTTTGGTTTTCGCACTGAAAGCCAACTGCTACCCACAAAAAGTGGCCATCTAGGCATAGTTTTTTCTATATTAGTAGCTGCCAAAACGGAGATCGCGCTGTGCTATTAGTTTAATCGCATTTTCGGATATTATGTACAACTCGTAGCCTAGTGTAAACTCTATGCATTTATGTGAATTTCCCAGCGCAAACGTGGAAGAGGAAAACAGGCGACCTGAAAAAGCAGCATTACCAGCAGCAGCAGCAAGCAAGAAGCAGAAGCACAAGCAGCAAAAAAGGTTCGCATCCCGTTGTTAACCCCTCAAAATAAATAAAATGAAATACAAGTGCTTAAATGTGTTAAAACCGAAAAGAAAATAACGAAAAACAAACGAAAATTAAACCAAAATCGACATACCAAAGAAAAAGTGTACGAATCGGGTGGCAGAAACTTTTTTCGCACTGCTCCCGAAAAAAGAATCGTTATGCGAGCGAGCAGCGAGCTAACGAAAATTTCGCTCTACACCAAATGTTTTTGCTGTGCGTGAAAATTTTCATTTAGCTCGATGAAACCGATGATGAAAATCGCGAGTGCAGTGAAAAGGCCAAGTGCTTTTGAGTGCGGAAAATAGTCGCATTCCGGAAAATGGTGGGGCTGTGAAAAGTAAAAGTGTAAGAAAAAAAGAGCAGGCAGCGTAAAATTACACTCTCCAATACACGCACGCACACAGGGACATGTACACTCATACATACATATATGTAAATGTACAATCATACAATATGCAAATGGGAGTAATCGCTCATGAAACCAGTGCAATCGAAACGTTGAATGAAAACGAAAAATGGTGTTTAAAATATATATATATTCGGCTTGTATAGAAAACATACGAAAAGCTAAGTAAATCAAGTCAAAGTGCAGCTTAGTGAAAAACGGCGCGCACACACACATACACACCCACACAAAGAGGCAGAGAGAGCGGGAGCGAGAGATAGAGAGAAAGGCACAGAGCGAAAGGCAAGTAAGTAGATGTAAATGGCCAGCGAAACTGGAGCAGAGCACCACTACCAATACAAATGCCATAACGGCAGGAGCAGAAGCATGTGTCCCATGTGTGTGTATGTGAACGTTTCATATTCATAAGCTTCCAGCAGCAGCAGCAGAGCTAGAAGAAGAGGCAGGAGCGGCCGGAGCAGTAACGGCAAACGAAAAGTCCCACTTTCGGCTCTGGGGGCGGTTTTGACACTTGCCTCAGCCTGCGCAACAACAGTGTTAAAGTTGTTTGCTGCTGCGTGCGTAACACGGATATGTATTACATACACACTCCCGCAGCTTACCTTCCTCTTCTCCGGCCGCTCCGGAGTAGGTGTAGGTGTGAATGTTACCCGTAAACTTGGGCCCCCTCCCCTCGAGTATCAGTAATTTCCCCTCCACTGCCACTGATTGAATCCCGTTGACGTTTCATTGCGACCCATTGTTGTTGTTCCCCCCTCCACGCACTGTGTTTATATTTATGGGCGCTGCTCTGTTTCCGCTGCAATGATCTGAAGTCACGCGCCGGAAGCCAGGAATATAACGGGTACTCACTCAACAAAACGACGATCGATAACAAGAAAGGAAGCTATTTACTTACAAGTTTGGCTGCTTAGTTAGGAATTTGTTGATACTGATCGTTTCTTGAATAGGTTCTTATATGTAAAACAATAAAGATATATAAATAATCACTTTTATATAGAAATGAATATATAATTCCCTTATCGGCATTTCAAAGTCGCTAATAAAAATAAACTTTAACTTGTTTCTGTTTTAAAATGTTTCATAAAATGGTTTAATGAAACCCTAGTCAAACTTTAAATAGATTTAAAGATAAATTAAACAATTTTTAATAAGAATTCAAATGCTAGATGTAAATATTAAATAAAAAGCGATTTATAAGCCATTATCACATTACCTCTATTCCCTTTGTACTGTGATTCTTTTTATATCGCATTTATTTATATTTATGTATTTATTGGACATAGCGTTTAGCAATGATCTAAAGTCACGCGTTCAGGGCCATTAAAACCTAACCTAACCCAATCGATAGCAATAATGTCGCGTATTCAGCCATATGCAAATATTTTGTTTTCCGGAAATGATTTAGTTGCAAAAAGCCTAATAATATTTACTTACCATTCGTTTAACCTAATGGTAGTTGCTATAGTTAACGAAAGCAAAGCTTAACATGTACGGGACCACGTGTCGTATACGTGATTTGTAAAAACTTACTCCAAAACTATGAGTTACATACATTTTCTTCTCTTGAATTCTTCTCTTGTTGTTTTTAACCATTAAATTCCAAACTTTGGGATAAAAATATTAGGAAAATAAATAAGTTCTTCTAAGGGAAAAGAAAAACCAATACAATTTAGTTTCAGTTTCGCGCAGGATTAATCGTTGTCGTTTGGCCAATTTTGACATGTGGCAATCATTCAATAATTTATAAGCGCTGGGCTGCCAGCCAAGCTGTGACCATGGTTGACTGGCCGCATGAGATTTCCGCAGGCGGGGAATCCCCATTTCACCGCCATTCGCCATCACCATGCCCCCATAACTATGCTACGCTTTTTCTACAGTATTTTGTGCGCCAGAAGCGACGAAATTCGTGTGCCCCTGTCTGTGTGAGTGTGTGTGTCGCTATAACTATAAATAGGCGAGATAGTTTTTGTGCTCGTGTTCTGGTTCCGCTTTTTCCTTGGCTCTGCGATTGAGGTCAAACCATCAGCAGGATAATGAACTTTTCCAACATCTTAAATGTAATTGCTTGACTTTAAAAAGTTTCAGCTTGGGTTTCCAGGGCGCGTTTTGTTTTTAGAACTCGAGGTTCGAGCACTTGAACTATTTATGCATGTAATTGTTGGCAATGGGCTTCCTCGGCTGTAATTGCCGCAATTAGAGGCACTTAATGGTAATGTACTTGTGCCGAGTGTATGAGCATTCAATTAATTGAGCGTCAACTCATTAGGCCATTACGTTGCAATGGGCTTTTAAATTATTCCTGATCTTTGCCGCGAAGTACGCAGTTCGTTTCGAACTGGCACTATTTTTTTCATTTGCACATAATTTGTGAAGTCCCTATGCTAATTAATTGCGTTTCCCAGCCAGCTTGTCAGTCAACATTGGACACCAGGTTGGAAAATGCAATTTTGCAGTTTTAACTTTTCTTCTCTAGTATTTTTTCGCTTCTCAGGCAACTTAATTTTGGAGTAAATCAAAGTTGGAGCGACAAAAAAGTAAAAAGTTTTTAAATTAGTTTGTCGTAGTTTATTTTCCCACCAAAAGTTGGCAGAACTCTGTCGCACTGTCTACTCTCATTTCTTTTTAGCTTATTTTAACCACCGAAAGTTACTGAATATTGTTTTAATTACCACTTTTTTTACATATTTCACTTTGTTGGATGACACTTGTATATATTGAAATTCGGTTACGCATACGCCACGTTGTGCGGAAATAAAGATATCGAGGTGACGCCCCTCCCCTCACCAGCTCCCTGTTAGATAACGTGGCTTCGGTCGGAATGAATGGGAATTTTCCATTTAATTTACTCCGATGGCCGCAACGACTTTGGCCAAAATGTGGGTTAATAGAGTGTAAAGCAGCGCCAGGCCGCAACCCAGTTTCTGGTGGTTCCATGGGCCTGGTGGGCCTCCTGAGAGGCTGGTTGCCTGGTGCACAGTCTACGGCTCAGGCTAATCTGCACTTTAAGAACTCATTAAAATTTCAAGCCGCCACACAGCGAAGACAGACGTCAATGTGTCCTCTTGCCAGAAGTACGCACTGAGACTGTGTTAAATGTTTAATTGTTAATACGAAGGATTCATATCTTGTATATACTAAAAGAAAGAAATTACACTTGTTAATTTAGAAAATGGTAGCTTTTTATATATGTACCATTAGTTTATAAACTATGTAGGGCGAATACAGTAAAATTATACTTTTGCTTGAAATATTTTTGTTTTAAGTAATACTTTAAAGCAAATTTATGCCGTATACTGATCATTTAAAACAAATTTCGTATATAATCACACATTGTTGGTTTTAATTAGGAAATGTCTGTAAAAATATACCTAATGATCTCAATTAAAGGACATTTAAATCATAAAATGTCTTTGGTTTTGGCATATTAATGGTTTGCCAAAGGAGACCTTCGACCGAAGTGTAATTAATTAATGGTTGCTATAACATTTTTCCACTGTGTTTGAGAGGCTGACAAACAAGTCGCCCGTGACGTAGGCTACTTTCGCTGTATGCGTGCATGTCTTAGGGGTATGTATGCATGTATGCGGGTGCGGAATGTGAGTGTGTGGGTGTGTGTGTGGAGATAAATGGTGCCAAGCACTGCTCAAGCCCCCGAAAGTGTGCGGCAAGCAGTGCGGCGCTGAAAATAGTCACCGACAGGCACAGACAGACACTTGCGATGGTTGGGCAACGGAGGGTTAAGCCAGGACAGGACAGAACAGGATAGGATAGGATGAGGAGTAACGGGACAGGGAGCGGGAGCGGCAAGTGGCTATGGCTGCTGTTGTGTTTAAAGACAAACAAGGAAATGACAGCGGCCGGATAGCAATCTAAGGCAACTGCCGGACAAAGGACACAGCGAGTATAAGAAAAGCGCTGCCACACACGTGCACTGGGGGAAAATTTTTAAAGAAGATCATGGAATCGTATTGGAAAATACAAATTAAGTACGAAATTGTTTACTCTTAAGCTACTAAAAATGTAAATTAACATGTCCAGTCAACGTTTTTAAAAGGTTTTCTAATTTAACCTTATTTGCCTTACAGTGTCTGTTATAATATTATTTGACCTTTGGTTTATTTACCGGCAAATAAGAAAACCAAGTTAAATTTCCTTAAATTAGAACGAGAGTTAACTAAATTCCACCTTATATCGATAGAGAGAGAGTACATGTGTGTGAATATCTTACAATCTAACAAATAAGTCTTTTGAAGATTCAGGGAGCAATATCTGCAGTTTTATAAGTCTTCTGAATCTTCCATTATACACAAATTGAAGCTTATGTTATTAAAGTCTTAAAGTTATCCTTGTGCTTCGTTTTCTGTGTACTTTCACAACTCAGTCAAACAACAAAGGCCTTTCGCCCACATCTACTTCAATTGCGAAATGCTTGCAATGCGCTTCATCATAATTAAAAAATCCTGCGGCCCACATGTACACCCACACACGCACACCCACACGCGCACACACAGCAAACATCCGTTGGCAAAGATTAACAGCAAAGCTTTACAGTGCCAGAGTCTGTTAAGTGCCGGAAGCATTTGCGCATGCGCCAATTTCAGAGTTCTCTCGCAACTCTCTGTAGCTTTCTCTCGCTTTCTCTGCAAAGGGAAATTTTCTCCCTGATTTTCTCTCAGACCACCCTATAACCGACTCTCTCGCACAGTTCCGGACTGCTGTCTCTGTCGCCCATATAAAAGCTAGAGTGGAGCTATTAACAGCAGCACAGTAACAGTAACAGAGTAGTAGGGCGAACGTGCTTAGTGTTTTTATTGTACTTGTTGTTGTTGTTGTTGCAGTTGTAACCCTCACACACACACATACACACGCACTGTGCATAACAGCAACTAGTGGCTGTGCTTTTGCCATCGCCTTTCGCCTTTCTCACTTCGCATTTCCCATTTTCCATTTCCCACTCGCATTCACAGCCTAGCCGAGCTGCACTGCAGTTGTGTCAGTGAGTACTTAACATTTACGATTTACATATAAAGTGTAGTATAGAGCAATGGGCAATAAGTGAAACGGCAAGAAATCGCGCAATTAATGAGTTAATTACCCTGATTACTGCCTGGCTACCTGGAAACACGCAGTGAAAGTGGTTTAACTTGTTGAGGAATAACATTAGATTTTATAGAATTACATGTCGTGCAGTTACAATAGTTATTTCTTATGTATACGTTATAACTTATTTAATGGTGGATTATATGTGTTTTAGAGTATTCTACTTTATATATTAAAAAGTTGTATTTAATTGGAAATTCCTTAACTATACTACATAGTTCAAAAGCTCAAAGGTCTCTATAGATTTAAAGTTATTTAGTGCTAATAGTTGTTCAGAAAATAATATAACAGTTAACATAACTTGGATTTGTTTAAATCTTGACACTCTAACAAGGTCACTTTCTGGTTATTAAAACCATTTACAATGTACTCACTCGCCTCTTTGAAGTTTCCAATAAAAATTGTGCAGTGGGAAGGACCGGAAGGGCGTTTTGCAAAATGCCAAAGACTTCCGTTTGGCTCCGGCCAGATGTTGTCATGCAATCGCCCATCCAGGGGCGGGTCTTTACCACAACAGCAAGGCAATATCAGCAGCATCAGGAGCAGCAGTAGCAGCATCAGCAGCAGTGGCAGCATCATCATTGGCGCAGGATAAACGCTGTCATAGCTTTTAAATGTCAATGGTCCACATAAGCACTGGCATGGACAGCCCATCGAGTGGGTGGTGCTGGAGTAGGCGGTGCTGTGGGTGGTGCAGTGGGTGCTGAGCGAGCTTTGATGTATTAATAAGCATTTATCGATGCAGCGCAGGCTCCGGTAAATTGATTTCAAGTTTGGTATATCCAGCATTAAACTTTCGTTTTTGGGGGAAGAAAGTGCAGAAGGGAAACGGGAGGCTCAAGATTGCACTAAAACAATATCGATGCGTATTTGTACATATATGTATCTATTATGAGTGTGCATCTGTTTTTGCCGCCGTCTAGACATACAGGCGCCTTCCCTTGTCTCTGCGTATGAGTAATGTGACGGTGGCGTATGCGTAATGCTTAGTTTATTTTGAAGCGTGTAAGAGTAAACATTTATTTAAATTAAATACTGCTCTAGGGCAATTACTAGATGACAGTTTAACAACATAGATTAAATAATTAAACTGCTGCCATAGCTGTAAGCAATAAGCTGACACAAAGAGAGATTGCACAGCTTCTGCAGCAAGAGACATGCAGCAGTCTGACCAATCTCAGCCTCGTTGATTGTGCATGGACATGGGATAAATACGGTCAGGCTGGCAATTAACCCAAAGTTCAAAGTTCACCACACCGCACTGACCCCCTCGAGCGACACGTGCGTGCCGTGCCACTCGTGGCCAGAAGACCCGACAGCTGACCTATTTCCACAGTCGCCAGGCCCATGAATAAATAAGAGAGAGGCCCGAACGGAGTGCGAGGATAATAAAAGCAATAACTATTTTTAGGAGCCAAGCGGAGTTGGCTCGCCTTGAGGCCAACTCAAATTGTCGATGATTTATATTGCAAGCCCCCATCTGATGTGCGATTATCCCTTTTGTCTCCCTCCATTGCAGTCGTCCGAGGGGCAGCCACCACAGCATGCCGTACGAGTCGATGCACCATCATCAGTCGGCGGCCGCTGCCGTGGCCGCTGGCAGCGCCCCCAACGGAATGCTGGACTCCCTCAGTCTGCAGCTGCGCGATGCGGAGATGCGGCGCACAGAGATCGAGCGGGCGCATCAGGTAATTGCATATTTTCTTACATTTCCTAAACATATTTTCAAGCGGAAATATATACAATTTTCACTATTGTAAATTCTCCTTCCAAGGAAACTCTGGCACAAATACGCAATCTAAGCGGAAGCGCACGTCCCGATGCCGAGGCGGTGGAGAATCTGCAGTCGAGAGCCCGGGAACTGGAGAAGAAGGTAGGTGACATCCATTTGGAGTTATTATTCCTGCCGACATCCTGTTAATCCTTGCCTCGCCTTTAGGTTGCGCTGGAGAATGTGCGCTGCGAGGAGCTGCAAATCGAACTGACCTCGGCATTGAAAGCCAAGGCTGCGCGCTCGGTGTCTTCTGGTGGCCATTCTGGAATGGCCACCAGTGGTGCATCCGGTGCCAGCGCAACAATTCCCACATCGGCCAGCGGCTCCACCGTCACTTGGGCACCGACAATCAGTCACCAGGACCAAGGCTCCGAGATTGATATCATAATGGCAAAGATAGAGCAGGTAAGCTGGAATAATTTTAGTTTCCACAAAGAAGTTATTAACAAACTATAAAGAAAACATAAACATCATGGGTGCAAAACTTTATAAAGCAATTAAATAGAGTAAAAAGGTCTTAAAACAGCAAAAATGTCCCAGCAAATAGTCAATATTATCTATGTAGATAAATTGTGTTAAATACTTTTAGTACATATTCGAAAAGTTATATTTCGGGTTGGCAATACATAGGAATCCACTTGGATAGCTAAGGCGGAAATGGATCGCCATCCCGAAATATAACCTTTTCGAATTGTATCACAACATGTTATTGAAGTTGCGGGACTAGTGTTGTAGGATCAGTGTTGCAGGATCAAGCCCTGTTTGATCTTCCTTCTCGGCCTGACTGGACGATGGCTTCGTGAAGCTCTCGGTCAGAGCCTCATCGATAAGGCGATTAACCTCCAGCTGGCTCACCTCAGAGGACCTAGAGCAGTTGTCGGAATCACCTTCGTCGTTAGCTATAGTCGAGAGGCAAGATATGAAGCTTTCCAAGCTGTCCAGGCTGCTTGCCCCGGAGGCGTCTGGGTCGGTAGACATGCTCATCTCGAACTGGGTGCTGCTCTCGCTGGAGCCGAGGGATCCCTGGCGAAACAGCGGGTCCCCACAATTGATCTGAAGCTGCCGGCGCATCTGGTCATTCTCCTCGGACAGCTGGCGGATGAGCTGCTGGTTGTCGTCAGAGGCACGATCCTCCATGTCAACCATCAGTTTCATCACATCCGCCATCTGCTCGATGCGCTCGTTCTGATTTTGAACGATATCGGCCAGGCCGGCCATATAGCGCTCCCTTAACTGGTAGCTGTCGGTGAACATGTCGCCTTCGCAATGCTCCCGGTACTTGGCCATAATATGCTCAATGCCGTTGCGGAACTCTTCGGCAGTGGCCTTCAGCTCGGCATTGTCGCGCAACAAATGCATCTGCACCTCGTCGGTGTTGTGCTCCGACAGGTGTTTCATCAGGTTATCGTCACGAAAATCACAGCAGCTCATCATGTCCTCGTTTGCACTCTTAGCCTCCTCCAGTAGCGCATCCGCCTTGTCCATGAGATCCTCTAGACTGCAGGCCAAGCCCTTGGCCTTACGGATCAGCCTGCCCTCGGGTCCGGTTCTCAAAAGGTTATTCATTTTCACAAAAACGGTCAAGAGCGTTTGGGAGCGCTTACGTTGAATTTAGAGCTTTTTCTAGAGAACAAAATAATGCCTGGGCAGCTTGAGATACGAACCGGGCACAAATAATGAAAAAGGGAAAATCTACAACCATTTTGACAGATTTTTCAATTGACAGGAAGATTGAAATTTTCGAATCAGTTAAGATTCTTGATAAGGTATAGTCTTTAAACTAATGAGAGCTTGCTTGCATTAAATATGTTTATGTAAAGCTTATTATATTTTTAAATGTTTATATATAACTTGATAAACTTACGTTATTAAGATGCTTTGGTGTTCGAATTCCATTGATTAATGACTTTCCTTGTGCCTTGCAGGATAATCGCGTGCTGGCCGAGTTGGAGCAGCCCCGCACCTCGGCCAGCGCCAGCATGTCAGCGTTGCCGCCCAGTTCCATGTTGAGCACGGTAAATAGCGAATTTAGAACCATATCAAAGAGTGGTGAGTACCTCGGAAGCTGTGCCGGAGAGTTCCAGTCACGGACGGAGCATGAACGGATCTCGCTTTCAGAACTCGAAGAAGAACTGAACCGTTACAAACGGGCTGTGCTAGGAGGCAGCGGTGGCGGCGGCGGCGGAGGCGCCATGTCGGCCATGTCCTCCGGCTACTCAAGCCTGCCACAATCGCTGACCTCCACGATGGCCAATGGCGGGGCCAGCACCAGCTTGAGCGGCGCCAGCGTTGGCTCGCAGAGCGTGGCCGCCGCTGCTGCTGTTGCCGCCGCCGCCGCTGCCGCTGGTGGAGGAGTAAGCGGTGGCGGCGGACATGGCGCACACGGAGGGCATGGCGGGCACGGCGGACATAGCGGACATCATGGGGGCATGGCGGCCACCTCACATCCATATCGGCCCTGGTGCCCAACTCAATCAGCGGCATATCCTCGAGCCTGAGCAGCCATGCCATCCAATCACTGCAATACGGCGCCGGGCAGACGTCCGTGGAGAAGCTGCTGAGCGGAACGAGTGGAATCACTGGCATTCCACCCCTGCCGGTAAATATTCACACGATGAAGACAATGCCGACGGCATTAAGTCAGGTAAACCAACTATTTTCAATCGCAATGAACTACCAACAACAGCGGCTGGGGTCCACGCCACGCCACAGCCATTACAATAGCTTTGCAGCTTTGCATAATGTATATTACGATTGCAATTACTATTAGGATTACGATCCGTTTACTTACTGTACTATATATATAGTGTCCATGGCGATCATCTGCTTTCGTTCGCTGATCGCTGGCCGCATTGCGTTCTGTTGTAGTCTCATTACTGATGAAAATAAGCATTAACACTCACACACACCACGTACAGAATAATAACACCCACCGAATCACACACATACACCCATTTCAGAGACTAGATCGTTGTGAATACTTGTATCTGATTACCAGTTGCCAATTGCCTGCTGACATTGAAGTTGCATTATTTATATCGCTTTCGCAGCATGCCTCATTGAAACATCCATCACATTATCCTTTTAATCACCAGTACTTTCATATATAGACATCGAGAACAGCCTTATAATCTTCTTAATGTACATATCATCTTTAAATATATCATTAGTTATTAGAATTATTTCACTCAGTGAATATTTGTTAAGCTTTTAAAAGAATTTACCCCTGATTTGGGAGATTATATTAACTTTTAAATAACATTAATATATAAACAATTTAACAAAAAAGTTCAGCTAATATTTATCTGAGTGCACACACACGGAATATACAGACAAAACAATAAACTATTGTTCACTTCAGAAAATAGGTGAACATGTTCACTACAATTGTTCAATTATATTCAGTTACTAAATTTTATACTCTTACCAGGGTATTATAATTTTAGTCAAAAGCTTGAAACTAAGTGAAGGACTCATTTCCGACACTATTAATCATATATATTCTTGATCAGCATCAACAGGCCAATCTTTCTAGGTATCTCCGACAGCAAAAAAAATTTTCAAAATATTTAAATTTAAAAAAAAGAGGAAATTTACATCGTTAAAATTTTCAAAAATTGACACAAATTTCAATTTCTTACATTTTATATTGAGTATGCAGATTTATTAACATTATAAAAACTAACATAGGAAAGCTTTCCGAATTGATATTAATGCTTTTTTGGCTGAGCTATGTGATTTTTAAACTTTGATTAGTCGAATAAATTGTCATAAAATAGTAGCAAATAGTAAATATGAATTCAACAAATGCGAATGATTTAAGCTGAGTTGTGGGAATATACAAACTTTGGCTTCCCGAAGTTACTTTTTATTCTTGTTTTTAAATAATACAGGCCACAAATGACCAAGAGATCAAGTAAAAATGTTAATGAATCTATTGAATCAATTGAGAAACTGAGCAATTGAACAACTGAGTGAGCAACTGACCCAAGTTCGACAATAACTAAAAAGATATTGCTATTTATCCATTACTAATACCTATCATACATACTTGTACATCGTTTGAAAGAGTTGTGTTTTTGAAGGCTGTTTCGTTACTTGTTGATTGACGTTTTTGATGGTGATTGATGGATTGGATGCCACCCACAAATCACACATAATTCCGCTTGGAAACGGCTTCCGATCATTGCAGAATCTCATGCTCAACACGTTCAGTTCGATTCAGTTCAGATCATGCGTAGACCATAGATCATTTTAAAGACGTTCTCTAGATGCGATTGATGCTCGCAGCAGCCGAATAAAAACGTGTATCTGTGATCTCTCTTTCCGTTTTATGTGCTCTTTCTCTGTCTTCCCTTTCTTCCTCTCTCTCTCTCTTAATCGACGATGACTCACTTCCTTTCACACCAATTGTGATTGACGCAATCTATATAATGTCAATCAATCGTTGTTATCGATCTATATGTATGTCTGCATCCGTATCCGTGTGTGTGTCTGATCCCGTGTTTGTGTATTTACACCTGTACAAAAACCAACAACAACCACAATAAACACACCTGTAAATTAAAAAAATATATATATTATCGAAAAAAAAAAACAATGAAAATTCCAAATTGAACACACAAACCACACACACACGTCGAACCAAAATCCAATATCGAAATGAATTCGAATCGAAATCGAAATCGAAACGAGAAGCGCGGAACAATACAACTGTACAATTTGCAGAGCACAACCATGCCCCTCCTGTCACTCAACTCGCATAACCTGCCGCCCGCCGGCTCGAGCACCTACTCGGCCCTGGGCGCCGGCGGCTCCTCGCTAACGCATCCCTCGATGGCCAATCTGGGCCTGTTGGACACCGGCACTCTACTGGGTGCCACCGGTCTGACCGGCTTGGGAGCCGGACCTGGTGCCGGTGGCATAACGGGCGCCACCTCGCTATATGGCCTGAGCGGCGGAGCGGCCGGCGCATTGGGCAGCTCCTATGGACCGCCGCCCTTCCTGGATGTCGCCTCCAGTGCATCGTATCCATTTACGGCGGCCGCCTTGCGACAGGCTTCGAAGATGAAGATGCTGGACGAGATTGACATACCGCTGACGCGTTACAACCGCAGCTCGCCCTGCTCACCGATCCCGCCCAGCAATTGGGGATTGGACGAATTCACCGACGGCCTCAGCGTGTCGATGATGCACAATCGCGGCGGTCTGGCACTGGGTGCCCTCGATCTCGACAGTAAGTAGATGATTTAGCCAGAGATAACCCCTTGACGACATACTAAACCCTCCATTTTGATCCATCCAGCCCGCAATCATGGCTTGAACGGAGCCAGCGAACCACAGGTGGACATGCTGGATATACCGGGAAAGGGCCGCTGCTGTGTGTTCATAGCCCGCTTTCCCTATGATCCTCCAGAGTAAGTTTGTTTTTTTATTTATATTTTCGAAAGTTGTTCTGTTTAAACAATAATCTTTCGGATAACAAACACTTAATTCATTCATCAATTATTGCCAGGCAAACATATATTCATTCATTTCTACATTTAAAAACAAGTCATAAGATCATGAGTTCTGAGTTTTATAAAATTAATTATTTCTTTTTTGAGTTAAAGATATAATTAATTTACTAAATTATTTAATTATTATTTAATATATAAGAAAGAGCGCGCCTAGAAGTATACAGAGATTTTCTATACCCGAGTTCGGTTGGTCAACTTGTCGTATACGCGATATTCGCATGATAAAGAAGATAGTTCTTATTTAGGAAGTAATACACATAGGGGAAATATATGTTATAGATGTACATTTTTATAGCCTTGCAGGGTATTATTAGTTTAGTCAGAAGCTTGTAACGCAGTGAGGAGTCATTTCCGACCCTATAAATCATTTATAGTATTGATCAGCATTAAAAACTGAATCGATCTAGCAATGTCCGGTCAAAAAATAAACTTTCGAAATTTTTTCAAATTTTTCAACATTTATACATTTTATAAGGGGTTACAAAGGTATACATTTTCAACATTTCGAATTTAGTTTCTGTTTTCCTTCCTTGATATGTTTGATATACGTGTCGTATACGCAATATATGTGTATTATCTAGGAAGTATATACATTCTAGAAAATATATGTACTGTAGGAAGTACATTTTTATGTTTTCACATATAATAATGAATGGACATGTTATGTTATATGTTATTAAGATGACTCTGAAAGATCAACGTGTCATATACGTAATTTTAATGATTTTTAATATTAACGAATAAATAACTATTAAATTTCCACTTTTCAAATGCGCTACCCAATGATTGTAGGATCCTCATACTCGTCACACATTTCGTATACACCAATTTACACCATTTGTTAATTTTCAGAGCTCATAATAAAATCCTTTCAATGCCTTGCAGGGAGGCTGAGGGCGAGCTCTCCCTGTGCGCCGGCGACTACCTGCTGGTGTGGACTAGCGGAGAGCCTCAGGGCGGCTACTTGGACGCCGAGCTGCTGGACGGACGGCGCGGCCTGGTGCCCGCCTCTTTTGTCCAGCGATTAGTGGGTGAGTGCCTCAGACCTCATGTGTCAATCTTTACCAGACTCCATGCTAATTGCTTCTCCCCCTAATTGCGCCGTATTTGCTAGGCGACGACCTGCTGGAGTTCCACCAGGCGGTGCTGTCGACGCTGCGCGATGCCGAGGACGGGTCGATGCAGTGCGACACCACGTCGCTGCCCTCCTTGCCGCCGCACAACCCATTGCTCACACACACCCACGAGGACCTGGCACGTTTGAGTGAGACGCACACCGATCTGGAGCACGACCAGGACGACATCAGCGACAACGGTAACTATGCTAGCCATGTGGCCACTTTTCATGTTTAATCTTTTGGTTTTTGTGGCGATCCTCGAACGCGTCGCCGTGCATGGCATGAATGTGAGCAAATATATATGTATTATCCACACAATGTAGAGACTTAGACCCGCCCCCCGTTCGTGTTCGGCTTAGTGTGCTAGTGCTAGTGCTAGATGCACAGCATCCAGATCCGCTTTTTAGGGATATGCTCAGCTGGCTAATGACACACTTCTTGCTCCTCCCCGCAGTTCCAGCACCCAAGCACTTGACGCTGGAACGGCAGCTGAACAAGAGCGTGCTCATTGGCTGGTCGCCGCCGGAGCCAGTGGGCTACAACCTCATCGACAGCTACCACGTCTACGTGGACGGCGTGCTCAAGGTCACCGTGAAGGCCAACGAACGCACACGCGCACTTATCGAGGGCGTGGATTCCACGCGGGTGAGATGCGTCTCCAATGCACCAGAGAAATGTCCATTTTATAATCAAGAAAAGAAGCCCCAAGATTGCCAAGATCACCTGGCTGGGAATGAAACATCTTTGAACAAGGTTACTGTATCTTGTTTCAAGATGATTTATTCGAATTTCCATTACACGTTCCATATCTTCTTACGTTTTTGCATGTTAAACTCAAGTATTATATGTCACACTGTTAAAGTATATCCACTTTTTATGGGTTTTATCTATAACAATACACTTGAAATACTTTTTAACTATCCTAAACAGAATACTTCAATTCTTTCTATTAATAGTCATATAATCATTATTTTTGGACCTTAAATCGTAAAGATTTAATCACTTTAATTGGGTACTTCCAAAATTAAATAAAAGACTATAAATCCCCTTTTAACTTCCTAGTGAAACCCAATGGAATGAGCCCCCAAAGTATGTCATCTCTACTGATGACACCTGGAATAAGCCTGTAACATAAACTTCTATATATTATAATTTTCTTTTAACGAAAAGAAATCAACTAAATGATCTTCAAAATGTTGAGATTACGAATAAATTAAAAACGACTCAAGACATGCAAAATTTAAGAGGAGAACATCTGAATACATTTCATTCATAATTCGGCAAACTTATTCTTGATTTAAACAGACGATTTCTCTCTAGAAAAATAATACTTTTTATGATAAACTAACCAATTTTTTCATTAATTTCCTATAGCCGCATCGCATTAGCGTGCGGAGCGTGACTCAGAATCGGCAGACCTCGAGGGATGCCGCCTGCACCATGATCATTGGGCGGGACACCTCGCATTTGGGCCCCTCGGCGGTGCGCGCCTCGCACATAACGTGTTCCTCGGCAGTCATCTCGTGGCTGCCGGCCAACTCCAACCACCAGCACGTGGTGTGTGTGAACAATGTGGAGGTGCGCACCGTCAAGCCGGGCATGTATAGGCACACGATCACGGGCTTGGCGCCGAGCACCCAATACCGGGTGACAGTACGCGCCAAGCACCTGCGGGCCGTCGGCCAGCATGCGGCCAACGTGGGACAGACGCCGGGCAGGCCCGGTCAGGAGGAGGCGCCGGGAGCTTACGCCGATTTCCGTACACTCACCAAGGGTCTGCCCGATCCGCCGCAGGAGATCCAGCTGGAGGCCGGGCCGCAGGATGGCACCATTCTGGTGACATGGCAGCCGGTTAACCGGCCCACCTCAACGGGGCCAGTAACCGGCTATGCTGTGTACGCCGATGGCAAGAAGGTCACCGATATCAACTCGCCCACCGGTGACCATGCCCTCATCGACATCGGCAAGCTGGGCGTTTTCAATCCGCGCGCCGTCACCATCCGCACCAAGTCCCGCGACTCCCAGTCGGCCGACAGTGCGCCCATCTTGATACCAAGTGAGTGTTGGTATTTAAATATATAATATTTAATATAATTATCTCTCGATATCATCCGTAGATACTGTGCGCAACAGTATCGCCCGCCGGGGACCAAATCAGATGGGCATGGGGCCACAGTTGCCGCAGGGTCCGCACGGGATGCAGGGACAGGTGCAGCAGCAGATGGGCGGCATGCCCGGCCAGCCGGGTATGCCTGGGATGCCGGGGATGCAGGGCCAGCAGCAGGGTCAGCACATGATGGGACAGCAGGATCAGCACGGGCAGTACGATCCCAACCAGATGCAGCAGCAGGGCATGCAGCCGCAGCCCGGTCAGCCGGGGCACCAGGTGAGTGGCCGGCGAAGGTGCGACTCCTTGAGGGATGCCGCCGCCCGCGTGAACACTGTAAATAATGTTCTGTCTGACTCGTTTCGTTTTATTATTTCGATGCAATTGGTTTTGAGAACTCGTCAAAATTTCGTTTCTTTTTATATATTCAAAGCGACATTCACTCCGTGTCGAAGAATGTACATAAGTTATGTTTCGTGTAGACAAATCCAAACATATCCAACTGCCCCGATCACACTGTCCAAGAAATTCTACCCAACTCTGCTTGTAAACCCGCGCACCCTCAGACATAACAATTGAATCAGAATTTCCCAAGATCACTATCCCCTCATTTATATAACTATACCATTGCATCGTTTCCTTTGTGGTCTATCCACTTCTACATATATCTCTCCTAAAGAGTTTCTTCCTTTTAACATTTACCTCTCCTTACTACTTGAGAAATATAAAGAATAAGATGCTTAAAGTCATTTTCGGTGATAGTATAACTAAGCCTAGATTTCGTAATTTAAATATATGGGCTCTACACATCATATTCTTTATATTGTCTTAGTTACAATACACGTTCTCTCTCTCTCTTTTGGACTGCTCTTATTTTCAAATACTTTCCCTCTTCTTTCGGTCGATTTGTTTTGCAAATGAACCTAAGATATATATTATATACATACACTGAGAGAAATTGTTGAGACAATCGCACAAAATTCACACAAAAATCAAATGAAATCCACATGTCAAAGAACTGCGAACTTCTCCGGTCTTTGTGATAAGAACCAAGCAATTGAATTGAGTCCTTTTCCCACCCAATAAAAAAAGAAATTGTATGTATGTAAAGTTAAATCCTGATTTTAATTTTAATTTCCAATACTTTCTTACTTTCTCTCTCCCTTGGTTATGTCAACGAGATTTATATATGCCAGATATATGCCATGCAACTTATGCTAGAACATTATCATTTCCCTCGGTTCTTGGGTTTTTAGTTGGTTTGAGTATAGTTCACACATTAGCATGTCTTGAACTGCAGCAGCAAAATAATAATAATAATAATAATAATAATGATAAATCAATCAATCAAATATATACCTAAGATTTTTAAACTTTGTTGAGTTGTTCAGATTTACAAATAGAGCTTTTTTTTTCAAATTAAGTCTGGAGCGGTGCTACCGTAGCCGCCTCAATTTTCTTAAGGAATACGCAATGCAACGAACAATTCTAAACGAAAACAAGTACATATTCATTTTCATTATATGAAACCAAAAACCGAATACCGAATACCGAAAACGATACCAAATCCGAATGCTTAACAGCCCGACGGAGGCTCCGGCTTGTTAGGTGGCCTGCTCGGTGGCCTCTTCTCGAAACCCACACAGAATCAAGTGAACCAGAATGTAAGTTTACCCACAACATCTCTCTCGCATATTGCCACACAGACACACACCCAAAAGACTAACACACCTCGCCACACACACACCACACATTAGTCGTATAAGTATCTGTAACATCCGTAACACTTTGCGTACAAGTATCTAGATAGTTCTTAAGTTAGTTGGCTAGCAAAACCTTAGGTAGCATAGCTAACTCGATAATAATTGATCTTGTATATTGCAAAAGCGATACAAATTATGTATTTGAAAGCCTTGAGTATTCGTTTGCCTTGAGTTTCTTTAGATCTTAAGTTTTGTTTTGTTAGCAAGTATTATATTGTCTCTAGGGAAGATAAATAGGTGCTACCTAGAAGGGGGGGTTAGTGAATGCATGATTACTCGAAAAACGTAAAACATAGGCTGGGTAATTAATTCCTAGAAGGATTGAGCTCTTTAAACCTGTGACTCTACCTCTAACTCCATAATTCTTTTACTATCCAATTGATCTTTGTACAAAATACTCAATATATAACTTTGAATTCGCCTAGAAACATGTGTAAACACTCACATAAACCACTAGAAGATACCGCTACAGAGATACCCAGATACAATATCCTCCCAAAAGATACTCCGAACTCGAATCCGTGCTTTCTTAATTCCCAAACAATAATCCCTCGTACATACTCGTCTAGCTTCTCGTACTTACTCGACTATCAACTATAGATATTTTTGGCTTTTCAGTTAATTACTGTGCGTATTTAGAACGTAATGCTCCATTAAAACAGACACACACACCACATACACACAGTACATACACACCACGTACACACTGCTTTCCTACTAAAGTGAAGCGCCAATGTAAACCAGCTAAACGCAGACGCCTCTTTGCCACTTTTGCTAAACTCTAACGAGAACCTCTCTAAAGACAATGTGAATGAAAAACAGAGTACCAATTAAGAACTGCAACACCCAAAAAAAAAAAAAAACAAAACAAAAGAGTTCAAAAAAAACTAACGCTAACAAAATTTCAAATTTTAAATTCAAACTCGTTCAAATTTGATTCGAAAATCCATCGATCGGCGCCATACAGGGCTACCAGCCTGGAGCTCCAGGAGGCCAGCGGGGCATGGTCCCGATTCCTGGCAGGCCGCAGGGACCACAGAACCAACAGCAGCAGCAACAGCAGCAGTACGGGCCACAGGGTCCCATGGGAGGAGCACGCTTCCGGGGACCAGTTCCCGGCCAGATGAACATGCAGGGCCAACAGATGCCGGGTCAAATGCCGGGTCAGATGCCGGGACAGATGCCTGGTCAGATGCCGGGTCAACAGATGATGGGACCACGAGGACCGCTCAATCAGCAGCAGCAGCAACAGCAGCAGCAAATGGGCCAGCAGGGACAAATGATGCCCGGCCAGCAGCCGGGACAACAGCCGGGACAGCAAATGCCCGGCCAGCAGCAGCAGCAACAGATGCCCGGAGCCCAGAAGAAGCCACGCTACTTTGTGGCCATGTTCGACTACGACCCCTCCACGATGAGTCCCAATCCCGATGGCTGCGACGAAGAGCTGCCCTTCCAAGAGGGCGACACGATCAAGGTAAGCTCGCTGATCCGATCCCATCCTAATCACACCCAGTCCACACAGAACCACCAAGACACTTTCCAGCCTCAGCAGAACCGAACCGGCAGAGACATCGTTGGATCAGCGTTCACCTGGAACCCGAATCGAAGGCGTCAATTATTGGAGGCAATTGGATGCGATCGAATCCGATGTCCAGAATTGGCTGCGCTTGCTTGTTTTGCGCTAATTGAATGAAGAATCGGTGCATGTTTTTCCTTCGCCCCTCACAACAGACTCACTGAATCACATCGTCAGACTCAGACTCAGACTCAGATCAGAGACCCCTCCATCCATCCATACCGTACTCTATACTCTATACCCACTATGTAGCCGTTGTTCTCTCTTCTAATAGTTCCCTAAATACTCTCGTTAAGTTAGCGTTATGCACTCGATACACAAGACACTTAACAGATACAAGATACAATATACAATATATTCGCTATCACCTCTGACCGATCTTTGCTGGTCACATCACTAATATATATGCCTTATCTGGGGACTTTCCCGCTTGCCCGCATTAGATATACGGCGACAAGGATGCGGATGGCTTCTACTGGGGCGAGCTGCGCGGTCGCCGAGGCTATGTGCCACACAACATGGTCTCCGAGGTCGAGGACACAACCGCTAATATGACAGGCGGCGGCCAGATGACCGGTCCCATGGGTCAGAATATGAATCAAGGCATGAACCAGGGCATGAACCAAGGCATGAACCAAGGCATGGGCCAAGGCATGAACCAGGGATGAACCAGGGCACGGGTGTGGTTGGTCCCGGCGGCGTGGGAGTCGGCGGCACCGCCCAAGTGATGCCCGGCCAGGGTGCACCACAGCAGAGCATGCGCAACGTGAGCCGCGACCGTTGGGGCGACATTTATGCGAACATGCCGGTGAAGCGGATGATCGCACTCTATGACTACGATCCCAGGAGCTGAGTCCCAATGTGGATGCCGAGGTAGGTTTATTTACCTTAGACCTCTTAAGTTTATTGGTTTCCCAATATGATTTCCGTCTTAGCGTCGGGCAAGTCAGCCGGGCGGTCTTATGGGTGGCTTTTTTGGCAACTTACTGCCTGGCTTCAGTCAGAGTGTCCTGGCTCCCGAGTCCAGTGAAGTGAGTCCTCTTGCCATGGGCGGATATTAAAAGAAAGCAGTCTATTGCTAGGAGCTAGTAGTTCATTTAAGTAGAACAACACTGCGTATGAGTAATATTTAACATGGAATATTAGTTAGAAAGCAAATAGAACCACACTGCGTATGAGTAATATTTGCTATGAAATATTGAATATTAGTTGGAAAGTAAATAGTTTCCAAGTAAACTCTGGTACTAAGTGATAAGGAATTGGTTTAAAATAACTTTTGAATATTTAAGTCATGTGGCTTAAGGCTAAATTCATTCCTTAAAGAAGTAAAGTAAAGCTCTTCTCATAAACAATAAATTACCCCAACTTATTGCAGTTTCAATCTAATTCCTTGGGGTTTAAGTTAAAAATAAATTTCAAAGCCACCTACTTCGGCTTAAGAAATTATTAAAAATTACTTATCTTTCCCTTATCGACTTACAGCAGGTGGAATTGTGTTTCAAGACGGGCGAAATCATTCTCGTTTACGGTGATATGGATGAAGACGGTTTCTACATGGGCGAGCTGGACGGCGTGCGCGGCTTGGTGCCGTCGAACTTCCTGGCAGATGCGCCCGACCAGTACAGCAACCAGATGGGGCCGGGCGGAGTGGCCGGCAGGGGTGGACTCAGCCAGAGAGGACGCGGCCAGGGGCCGGGAGCGAGGGGTCCGCCGCCGCCGCCGCGGGACAACATGATGCCAGGGATGGGCGGACGCGGCCAGCCGGGGAAAAGTAAGTAGGCTTGGTGAAGATCGAGGCAACAGATCCTCTTAGATTTTCGCCTTTTCGGTTACGTTTTCTTTCGTGATTTCCGTTTGAGTTGGAGGCGAATTATGACTCGGATGATACTGAACGCAAAAAAAAGAACCTATTCGAAGAACCATTACGTTTCGTCACGTTTCCGTTTTCGGTTACTTTTCGGTTGATTCGTTTTGCTAAAAAAAATATTTAAAAAAAACATACAAAAAAGAAAATCTGAAAGCAAATACAACAAAATAATACCAAACATATGTATACTCTAATCTCGAAAGCACTTTATAAGATGAATAACTACGCAGGTTCTTCCAGACTACATAAACCAGTCCACCAGTCCAGTCCAAAAAGCGGGATAATATATACAAATTATATATATATATACCTATACTCTATAGCAATCCATTTCTGTTCTGATACCCGATGTTTTTCGTTCGTTTCGTTCAGTTAATTCCAAAAAACGATATATATTACAGATCAGCGAACACAGAGATATATCTTCACTCTTTCTCTCTCCTTCTGTCTTAACTCTCTCTATCGCAAAAATTTCAAAGTGAAACAAAATACAAGTTGAATATATACTTACTTACAAATTCTGATTTTGAACGCCGCTAATTTGATTTCCATTACGATTCCGAGCGAACTTTTGTACAACTCTCCCAACTTCTTCCATTTTCTTAATATATATTTAATGCGATTTGGTTTCTGTACAAATTCAATATCAATAATTTTCCAGCACCAATCAGTTTGATATTTCCAATTTTTATATATACATATATAAATATATATATATATTTCCTTCTTGCTTATTTTTTTTTACGGTCTGTTCTTCTTTGATTTTATTTATTTTTGTTTTGGTTTGGATTCCAATGATATAATATAATTCTAATCGAATAAAAATATACCATAGATAGTTGTTGTTCTTGTTGTTGTACACACACAATCTAACTTAAGCATCGATATCCATTTTTTCGCATAAACATCAATTCAATCATTATCGCGTAAATATGGAGTTAAAATTGAAGCTAAAGGGGGAAACTTTCAAATAAGGTCATCAAGAAGGGGTCATTATCTCATGTCCATACCTATAATCCTTTGTATATATTATAAGCCTTCACTTAGCTTTTTTAAACATGTATGTTCTTTATTTTGATTTTACCAATTTTCTGTTTCCAATCTAATTTAGTTTTCTTTTGGTACTCTGTCTCTCTTCTTGTCTTGCGTGCCTTTTTCTAGCCGTGTAAAACTCTAGATGGTCTCTCTCTTGCATGTTTATCAACTATCTTACGTCTGAAATGTGTTTTGTTTTCCTTTTATTTAGTTCTTTTAACTGGTTTCATTTAAGTTTTAGCAAAGCAATTGCTTGCATTAAAGATACGAGTTACTTGCACCTGATTGCCGAATGAATTGATTGCCTAGTTGATCACCACCGAGCCATAGTTTAACCAAAGTCGTCCTCTGAATGTGCCTTGAACCGAACAAGATGTAGTGCCTTGATGGAGCAGCTGCAGCCGGAGATTGGGACAGACGACGAGACTGATCCGATCGGGTTAGAGGGAATACCTAGGGAACTACGTACTGGTACTTCTAAGCTATTTACCCCCCTGTGATCCCCGAATAACCCCTTGATAACGTTGAAACGAGTACGAGTATCTGCTTTTCGAAAACAATATTATTCTTTTAGCGTTGTTTTTGGATTTTGTGTTTGTTTGTTTGTTTTTCCGTTTGAATTTCTTCTTTCCTTCTGGTTTTATCTGAATGTTGGTCTTGTTTGTTTGCCAATTAGCTTCTTCGATATATATATATTTGATATTTGTTCATTTTTGTTCAATGATATAACAACAAAAACAACAACAGCATCAGCTAAGGGCTCAAAAGCACCAAATCCCAAATATAACAAAAAAACAAATACGAGCAGTATTCTCTCTCTCTCTGTATTTAGTGTAAATTCTTATTATTGTAAAATAACTTAACTTTTACAACTACCTATTTCCATATAACTAACTAACTATATATAATGCCATACTAAGCGATTTTAAGTGCCATATATATAACTTGTATCTACCTAAAGAATAATATATCGTTAAATGCATACGAAATGCTTATGCAAGTGCAACCAAAGAACTGAACTCTGAACACAGTCCAGAGACTCCAAGAAGCATACATACATATAGGGCTGAAAGGTAATATTTAATACAATCTTAAGCTTACGTCTGGACCAATAATAACCACAATCGAATCAAATGCAATCATTTTTAACTCAACTTTATCTACTATCTCTCTTTCACTTTAAACCAATGTAAAACCAAAATTTGATCTGACTTACAATATCTTGGCGCCTCTTTCTCTCGTTTTGAATACGTCTTTGCGCAAACCAAATTCGAATACAACATTTTCGAAAGCTCTTTACATTATACTTATATTTGGAAGTGACTTGAGACCCTTGGGTCTCTCTCTCCATTATCTTGATTTAAGTTTCCCCTTTGATTTTGAGTTGTCCATTGATTTGTTCGTGAACAGCGGTGAATTATATAGAACAGCGATTATTTTGATTTCAGTTTACTTGAGTTAAACTAACCCCACTCGCGCGGAGATGAACAAGTTGAATGAATATCCAATTTCTCGAACCGACATCATCAGATTCACAGATCTCGATTCAGATTCAGAGTCAGATTCAGCAGTCTTAACTCGAACCACTCTATATAACTGCAAATTGTACGCGACTAAATTGAGTAAATCGATTGGTTTTCATTTAGTTTTCGATGCCTCAGTTTGACTTAAGTTCCGATTACGATTACGATTACGATTACAATTACAATTACTATTACGATTACGATTACGATCTTTTCCGTTTTGACTACTACAACTTCTTTCAAATAATTTTTTGTAATGGTCTGCTGTGGTAAATGTGAAGTCTTTATGTTATATTCGTTGCTATAGATGCTCGCCCTGCTTCCCCTACACTGTTAGACAACACGGGCCATCCTGCCCCCGATCACCAAACGCAGGTAAATACTCGTTCTCTTTTGTTTCCTTTTGTTTTCGATATATCGAACGTATCGTGTTAAATCAAAGAAAAAAAAGATATACAATATTTTCGTTTGTTTGTGAAAATAAATGCTAAAGCTAACTTTAACTTAAAGAAAAGAGTTAAGAATACGCCAAATGTAACCACAACTGTTCACCTCAATACCTACAAAGCCTCAAACCCAACAAAGCTGCAACCTACTACTACTACAACTACTCCTACTACTACTACTACTCCTACTACTTACTACAGTATTATTATTGCCACAACAGTAACAACTACTACTAAAACAGCTGTCCCTGTTCCTAGCCTCTACTACCTTTACCTGTACCTTCACTTGCTATCTCTCTGTCACTCATCACTTTTTCGGTTCCGACTCTCTCAGCGAACAACGAATAAAAATGAAACGAAACGAACGTATTATCCCGACACTCAGACAGACAGAAGAGGAACACGCCAGCCCACTTTCTCCCATTTCATTACATACTGCTATCGCTTTCTCCGCACCCACACACACACACACACGCTAGACAAGCTGTGTAGTGCGGACTCTGTCTCACTAAGCGATTCGGGTTTTCTGAATGTCCAGTTAAGTTAACAGGAGGTTAATCGAATTATAACAGCGCAAAACCAGTAAGGGTTAAACATGCTTAGTTTAACTTTCCGTTAAATGTTTACTGGACATTGAGAAATCGATCCCGATCGACCATTGTTTCGTCCTACTTTCTCTCTGTAACTAACTACTGCGCATTTCACCTACATATATACATATATCTCACCTTGTCTATATGTATACAGTTCCGAACCCGATTCAAACGCTTACAGTACAGTACCTGAACATTCCAGTCAACTGATCTATATATACCCATATATATATTGTTATATATATATATATATATATATATATATTAAAGTAACTATGTATAGCTAGCAACATGTTTATCTTGTAGTTAACATCCATAGATAAGAGCGACATTATAAATACAAACATTGAAACCAAAACCAAAACCTAACTATGTATAGCTGCAACAAAAGTCGGAGGCTCGTCCGTGTAAAGTAATATATATCCCGATATCTGAGCATTCATAGCCTGCCAGTGCCGCACTTCATGTTGGTGTAATATAATTGTATCGTGTATAGTCTGTATATAACGATCTAACCAGGAACTTAAGTATCAGCAACAATTTCCACAGCAACAATCATTCACATCGATTTCTCCTAAGTTCGTTATCCATTTCCAATATATATCATTTCTTTCATTATATATTTCACTATCTTGGGTTTTGTTTTATTATAAAGTTTAGTTTATTTCCCAATACTTACTCAGCTTACAGACTTCCTTAACTTCCAGCAATAAACAACCGAAATAAGTGAGATATTCAAATGTTTGCTCGCTCTAAGCTTACTTGTTTGCCATCGAATTATCTCAGGGAAAAAACTCCAAATTGAAGCCCCATAACTTCAGTCTGCTCTTAAATATAATTCTGCTTAGTTGGTTCCTTTAATTTCCAGGTTAATCTATAGTTTTCAGATCCAAATGCTAGATGTTATTGTTTTTTAAGTTAGCTTAACTACATCCGGATAGTGAGACAAACAAGCAAACCCGAAATGTGTACAAATTTATTCACGCAGCTTCAGAGACTCCTTATCTTTGAGAACTGCTAAATACCAGATACCATATCATATATATATGCCAGATACAAAATACACACTCAAGTAAACGTATTGCTGATAAGATGTGATACATACATATCTATAAATATATATATATATATATACCTATATATGAATACATTTTTGTTTTCTTACTGGTATACGCTACTAATTATATTAATTAATTGCTACTACTACTATATGGAATATTGGATGTAATGTGTACAAATTTCTATGTGATTCACTGTATGTGTAATACCTTGAGTTCTTGCGTTTTTTGTTTCGTCTATTGCAGTTTTTAATTTTCTCTGAGTTCTTCTCCCCGCCTCAGTTGACCTTTGAACTTGAACTGTACTTGCTTTTGATTACTATCAACATTTTATGATTTTCTCTGGCTCACTTTACCTCTAGTATGATTTCCCAAATAGATTTGCATTTAGCTTTTACTTTCCAAAACGATCAAAACACCAAAAGTAAAAGTTAGCTAACAGAATAACTCAAAAACCAAACAACAACATAATTTAGTTTGTTTCGTCCATCAACTCGAACTCATTCAAGGATGACAAGTAGCCCCGCCCCCGTTAATTTTATTATTTTCAATGATCACGAAACACCACCCCAAAGGTGGCCCCCACCACTCCCATCTCATCAAGGTAGTGTAAATAAAATAGAGCTTTAGAGATCCATTCAAGTCCGGTCCGAGAGCACAATCCGGAGGACATTGGGAGTGCTCTCCTCGAGGCTGGGGAGCACTCCTGGCCCGTCCATAATCCGTTGTCAGAATGCGTATTCTAAGAGTTTATCAACTTTTTGCTTTGCTTTTTGCCATGCAAACTCTTAATTTTCTTACTTGGCCTTAGGCCTCCGTTTGCTTTTCAGTTGTCAACTATTGAGAAACGTTGCTAGTTCTACATAATTTTTCATTTTCACACTGCAAATGTGTATAGAAGCCAACAATAATCACGTATTGCTACTGTTACTCGTTTCGATTGAGCCTCGGCTCCTCTGGAAACGCTTGATTTCCCGCCAGGCTGAGCACAGAGAGGACCCCGATGGGGTCCGGTCCGGTTCGGTTCGGTTTTTGTCTAGCGCCATTCCGTAGTTAACGAACGTAGTTGCCATTACTAACAACACAACCAATTCCATCTCAAGTAACCCAGCGACTACTGCTCGTGGACGAGTCCGAAACTAACACCTAGTTTATGCCATGAGAACGCTAAACCAACCAACCAACTAACTTACTAACTAACCCGGCCTCTCTGTGAGGGAGAGGCCACGTTGAAAGATTCCATGAAAATATTAAGAACTCCCATAAATATACGTACAATCTATATATATATATATATACTTAACGATTAGTTTGCCATTCGTTTATGCGAGCGATGCCTGATTGGAGCCCCGACTAACTCGTTCTCTTTGGTCCTTCGCCAATCGCCACCTTGCAGGGGATGATCGGTCGCGTTGGTAATCTCGGCCAGCAACAACAGCAGCAGCAACTCCAACAGCAGCAGCAGTACGGTCAGCAGCAGCAGCAAATGGGACAACCTGGAATGATGGGTCAGCCGATGGGCCAGCAGATGGGTCAGCAGATGGGTCAGCCGATGGGCCAGCAGATGGGCCAGCAGATGGGCCAGCAAATGGGCCAGCAGATGGGCCAGCAAATGGGCATGGGTCAGATGGGCATGGGCCAGCAGCAACAGCAGCCGCCGGTGACGACGCAGGCGCCAACGGGCGGCCTCTTCTCCGGCGCGACTAGCCTGCTCTCTGGTGCTACCTCGGCTGCCACCGGTGGTCTATTTGGGTCGAAGCAACCGCCCAAAACGGATCCAATGCAACCACCCGGTGGTGTGCAGCCAGTGCAGCAACAAGCCAACGCCTTTGGTGCCCAGCAGCCCGGTATGCAACAGCCGGGCATGCAACAGCCCGGAATGCAACAGCAGCCCGGAATGCAGCAGCAGCCCGGAATGCAACAGCAGCCCGGAATGCAGCAGCAGCAGCAGCAGCAACAACAAGTGCCACCGCAAGCCCAGGCTCCGCCGCAGGGACCGGGCGCCGGATTGCTGGGCGGTCTCAAGGGTATCGCGGCAGCGGCGCCCGGCGGCGATGTCCTGTCGAAAGGCAAAGATCTCTTCGGGAAATTCGGGTTCGGCTTTGGCAAATAACCCCGGTCATTCTATAGGGTCCTGTTATATTATTCGTAGATTAGACCTATTATTACTATTACGATTATGATTATGATTATCGCTATTGATTACGATTACTAAGCTAAAGTGAGGCCCGTGCCTCGTGCCTGGTGCCTGGTGCTCTGTTGCTGCCCATGATATATGATATATATATATACATATAACACGTGAAACCGCAACTAATAGTACTAATGGTAATATTTTTTATTAATTAAATTGATAGAAATATTATGTGAGTCGGAGGGGGAGGGACAGTAGCAGCAGCAGCAGCAGCAGCATCGCCAGGGACAGCAGCAGCAGGAGAGACGTGAGCACATGAGCCACCACAGCCCCCAAAGATAAATTGTTGTAAAATTATTTAACAAATTGCCAGTTTAGGTGACTGCTCTGAACCCTCTCACCCTATAAAATACATATACAAGTCAAACTGTCTTAGGACATTCCCACACATAGATACTGGACACACACACACACAGATACAGACTCAAATACATACACCATATATTATACAAAAGAAAAACCATATAAAGCTAGGCATGGCGAAGTGAACGGAGAAATATATTATATACATACATTATATTTACAATTATTTGTTAACGCACATTGTTAAATTTGCTACTGTTGCTGACCAGTTTATAAATAAAAACCAAAACAAAAGAAAACAAAAACAAGGAGAGGCGGAGGAGAGGTTAGGAGGCAGATGAGATGCGAATGATGAGGAGATAAAGCAAAAACACATAAGGTAAACTAAACCAAAAAAAACATAACATTAACATAAAGATACATATATTATATGTATATATTTAAAATATATTGAAAACTAAATTGAGATACACTAAATTACATTTATAAATCAAAACAAAACACAACCGAATGTTGAGCAATGTCGTCAGACGAGGTGACGCCCCAAAAAGGCGCCAAAGACAAATATACATACATTAAAAAACGTAATAAATAAATCGATATGATACATATTTACATATATTCGCATATACTAAATACGACTTCGCATTCAAATCGGGCGCGACCTTGACTTCCAGTCCAGCTAAGAAGAGAGCACGAGCACTATACCCCAAGAATACCCCATTAACCAGTTACCGCTTCCCAGTTATAAATTATAAATTACAAATAACAAATTACCAATTACCAATTACCAATTACCAATTACCAATTACCAGTTACCAAACCCCATCCCCAATCCTTGTGATCCTTGGACTGCTCGACTTCTAAACGCATTCTATTCGCCTTCTATTCCCCCCACACATCTTTCAGTGTTCGATGTCCATAGAAGCTATATGCGATAAAAGATATCAGTGTAACTTTAAACCAAACCAAAGACCAAGAGCGAACTACTCCTACACAGATACATATGTATATGGGATACCCAAAAGAAATGGCAGATATAATGTACTAAGCACAAGAGAAAGGACCTAGCGTTAGACACACACACACACACACTGGAGACAAGTTCACTACAAATTCGACTTTCCCTTTCGTAATTACCCAAGCCGCCCCCTTGCTACTACTTCCTAGAGCTAACTCATCATCACCCTTTTACAACCTATTCGAATACCAAACTCGATCGTTATTTTATATAGCTAATACTTGCATATATGCCACGACTACTTCTGGTTGCTTTTGTATCCGAGAGTTACGAAACGAAAAGCTAGTCAACTGTTTCCTAATGTTTAAAAAATTGCTTTAAAAAATCAGCTCTCTCTCTCTCTCTCATATACAGAAGATACACTCACACACAAATACATACATCGCGTACCTCTTGCTTTACGAAAATACAAATAACATTCAAGAAATGGAAGAAAGTATAAAAAATAACAAAAGTATATTAATGAGACAAAGCGTTTACCAAACAAAAATATATTAAACAAGGCATATTTAAAGAGCGCATAGAGTTGCATATGTACATGTGCTTGGAGGGCAAATAATTGTGAGCAAATGATTACTTTAAACTGAGAAACACAAACACAGTAAACACTATCATTAACACACCACAATACAGATACAGTCATACACAGGAAGGTGCTGAGGAAAGTGTCAGCTTATCCTTTCAGGATCCTGGCTGACACTCTCCTTGGGTGCCCACAATCACACTGTAAATTGTAAACTGGCAAATAGTAGTTGGACAGTCATAGATATCGGAAACTATAGTTGAGTTGATAGCTAAGAATGTCAAAAGAATGAATTACCTTATCCAATCACGATTGAAACAAGCGTTAACTTTTCCCACGTAAATGATTTAACAATCAAGTCACTGTGTATTATTTAGCCACATCGGAGAGACGATTACAATCTACAAGCCCAACTTCGGCGTCCACCGAAGCTGTAGTGTTTCCGCTGCGATTGCGGGGACATTCCGGAAGCACACAGATCCCCAAAAACAGATACAGATACAAAAACAGACACACAGATCAAGATACAGCTGCAGTCAGCCAGTCAGATACACCCTATAGTTACAACATATACACCAGAGAGTATACAAACAGTTTATTTCCACGAACAATCTAAAATAATGAAGACACAAACAAGCGATGATAAAAAAACGTACTATGCAATATGAAATGGATAATGAAAACACAAATGGAAACCAACTAAATTGTTATACTGTATTATTATACTTTTTCTATAAATTATAATTTCCTTATTGAACGACAAAAAGCGAAAAAATAATAATTAAACAACAATTTCAAAGAAAAAACAAAGCTGCGTTCCATTCAATTAATGCCTTAATGAGCCTCGAGTCACATTACTCATACGCCACGTTCGCCGCCCCGCAAACGAGGCAAGCTTTATGACTCCACCACCTGCTCCTATTATCTCGGCCTGCAGACCGCTCTCCGGTTATCTTTGTTTGTTCGTGGAAAGCTATATTATATATTTAGTGGATGCATTCAAGTATTTACAAAGTAGCTAAGCTAAACAACTAAATCTAAGCGTCTAAATTACGCAAGTTCCGCCGCCAACACCGTCGAGTTCCACACGCGAACGTCAGCCGGAGATAACTCTCGTGACGTCCGGGACGGTGCCTATATCGGAGGATTAGTTTAGGAACTATCGCTAAACCTTGGCTTCCAGCTGGGGCAGCGCCACCTCCTTCTCCCTCAGCAGGTGAGACGATAGGTCGCCTTCATCGTGCCAGAAGCGCACATTACTGATCACCGGCAGCATTTGCTGCACCTTCAGGCTCATGTTCTGCAGGATGAGCAGCACATCGTTGGCGGCCATTTCCTTGGCCACAGCAATTAGCATTTCACTGAAAGTGGCATCGAACTGCATGAAGCGAGCACAGTCCAGGATGACGGGGAAATCATGGCGATAGAGACTGCAGGCAGACCGCAACTCCGCCCGGAGTGTGTCCACCCCGGTGTAGTAGACATCCGACTGGGGCACCACATGCACATAGTAGGTGGACTCGTGCTGCGTTGGTTCACAGGGAATTTAGTAATTTTGTAGTTTTTGAAGACTCTATATCCTACCTTCTTCAGGGACACCTCTATTTTGGGATTACCCAGGCGCAGCAGAATGAAGATCATGCTTAGAACAATGCCAAAGAGCAGGCCCAACTCCACGCCGGCCACCAGGCAAATGATGAAGCTGCCCACCCAGCTGAAGAAGTCCTTTTTGTTGTTCTGCCACAGCTCCTTGACTGGAGCCAGATCAATCTGTTTTTAAATAAGTTTTTATAATATTCAGGATCAGGAATATATAACAAGTACTCACCATAAAGATGACCGCTGCAATGAGCACGGCGGAGAGTGAGGCCTTGGGAATATACTGGAAGTAAGGTGTCAGGATACTCAGCGCGGAGAGCACAATCAATCCGGTATATATGCCAGCCATGGGTGTCCTTACTCCCGACGCCTGACTCACCGCCGAGCGGGTGAATGCTCCGCAGGTGGGCATGGCACTAAAGAAGGAGCCAGCTATGTTGCACAGACCCAAGGTCAGCATCTCCTGCGAGGCATCCAGATTGCCGTCCTTGACTAAAAACCCAAGCAATTAGCTCCAATCCCTGCCATGTGTCTTAAATATCACGTATACGCACCGAAAGCCTTGGCAATGGCCACGTTGGCAAGAACCGCCACAATGGGCACCACCACGATGCCGCTGCCCAGCTCGTGCAGGATATCCGTGAAAACATAGGTACGATTTTGGTACTCAAAGGCGAAGGGTGGCACCTTAAACGATGGCATGGCCGAGGATACCTTCGCGGAGAGGGCAAAGGGCACCGCCTCCATGGAGCTCTTCTTCACCCAGATGAACACCAGCAGGCCGGTGAAGAAGACAACCAGGGCATTGCGTGAAATGCTGATGTACCACAGGATCTTCTTCAGACGATGCGTTACAGCCGTTTCCTGCTTGAATTTTACCTGCGACAGGAGCTGAAACCAAAAATATTCTGACTTCAAATTTACCTAAATCTTTAGCCATCAAACTTACCCTCAACGAAAGCAGCACAACCATGCAGGATACTCCCATGACGGCATCCGAGGGATGGATATTGGTAAAAAAGTCAATGATGGAGGGAAATCCCTTCAGGCGAACCCCCAGCAGATTTTTTATCTGAGCAAAAACCACAATCACAGCCGTGCCCGAGGTAAAGGCCTTGGTTACCGGAGCCGGAATAAAGCTGACAATGAAGCCCAACTGAAACACTCCCATGGCTAGCTCGACCAAGCCGGCGAGGAAGGCCAGGACGATGACGACCTGCACCGGCTTGTCCGCGCAGAATTGCAGCGTGAGGATGGCCATCAGGCTGGTGGGTCCAATAGATACCTGCGGTATCGTGCCGAAGAATACATAGATAATCGATCCAATGAAGGCGGAGTACAGGCCGTACTCCGAGGAGAGACCCGCCAGCGCGGCGTAGGCAATGCTCTGCGGAATAATGGTCAGTCCAAGGGTAATTCCGGCTATCAGATCCGCAAAGGCCTGCTCCCGATCGTAGCTGGTGATCCAGCTTAGGAAGTATATGCGCCGCACCAACCAATGAGGCTCCTCCGGCTTGATGTACTTGCCAGCCACATCCGCATCCAGGTCGACGCTCTGCGCCTGGCTATAGTAGTCGTCGGCATTTTGAGCGGTGTACTTCTCCTTCTCCTCGCAATTGGCTGAAAGGAGGAAATTAAGAGAACGGTTAAGCTGTGAGGAGAGTATAGAGCAGAGTTTCTGGTCCTACGATCGTAGATGGTGGCCACCGTGGCTACTTGAGCTTGCGCGGCAGCTGCTCCGGAGCTCCGCCTGCCCTTGGGCCACAGCCCGAACGTGTGCTTCCGCGGCCAACGCATTGTGTACTGATTTTCAGTCTCTGTTTCAGGTTCGCCAATGGCCACAGGTACAACCGCTCTGCCAGCCAAATTTGTTTGATTTTGTCGGGGGAATTTTTTAGCATTTTAATAAAAAATAAAGTAAAAACACCGAGCAGCAAGCAGTCCGGCTTGTCCGCTACCCAGCCGAGCCGAGTCGAGCAGAGAGCGCAAACTTTAATTGTGTGAAATCGTAATTAAGCACATATGTTTGGCTCTCGCAGTGGCTCGGTAATTTACGTATGTACGAGTATATAAATAACTGACATTCTCGAAAGCTATTGGGAACGGGAGGGCTCCATTGGAGAGCAAGTACTTGCCATATACTACATACCACTTAATTGTAAGTTCCTATATAAATGATCTGCGCTTGACAAAAACCAGTTATATCTTCCTCAATCGCTCTTTATGTAAATCACATTTTAATTCAATTTTTTTACCTACTTTTTTGTTGTATTTAATTGGTAAACAAATCGAAAACAAAATAAAGGTGATTAATTTATTCAAATTCAGTGGAAGTTAGAAAACCTATTAGCACTCCCAAGTGGGTACAAGTGCGTACCGACTCCAGACGGAGGCTGTTAGTCATCTGTCCCTCTGTCTATATGGGTTAATAATAGTACAATATCGTTGTATTTAGGTGCTACATTTCGCATGAATTGAGCTAAGCTCACTAAACAAAAATTTGTGGAAATCCATTATAGTATTAAATCGTAGTCTTCATGTAAATAATACATTTTCTATTGATTTTTTGAGTAATGCGCTTTCAATCCTTTAGAAAAACAAGAATTTGCAACTTAATGGATTTATTTTTGTCACTCACTCCCATTCTAATTAGGCCCTAATAAATTCAAGTAATTGTTTTATCAGCAAAATGTTAATATTTGTGGTTGACGGTTTGGGCAAGTTAAATATTTTTATACACCGCTTTTGATGATCGCCACCGATCATGATGGGCGAAAACAGAAACCGAAAATGAATGCTAATTCGTAACATGAGGCCCGGATTTTCACCAACAGCTGTTTGCTGTGCTGCTAATCAAAGGGGGAGATCGGCAGCTGGCATATATGGCAGGTGTAAAATCTTAAAGGTAGTGTAAATGGAACGATTATACCACGATTACCACGAGATCATTGAATGAATCACGGAATTTTCATAGTTTATTTCAAACCTTTTAATATCTTTCTATAATTGATATACAATTGAATAACCATAAATGTTACAGAGCTGAATTTTTCAAATTTCAGCAGTTTGCTAAAGCTATTCAATAATTTGTATTAAATTTTAAGAAACTATTATAAACAGAACCAACATCATTTTAAATAGTAATAGAAATCAAAGTTTTTTAATTATTAAAATCCTTTTTTTATCGATCCAATGATTTATGAAATATTTTTTAAACCGATGTGACTATATAAGATTAAAAACTATTTACCGCCTTTATAGAGCTATTACATACATATAATGATGGGAAAATGTAAAAGAATTGTATTTTCTGTTGCCACAAATATTAAGCAACTCAATTCCATCTTCAGTTCCGAGAAAGAACTACTACTACTTCCACTTTCGTAAAATTTCCATTTAGTTTGTTATTGAAATCCTTTATAAAAGGAAATTTTAAATTAGCTAATCACACATCTTGAGATCACCTGACCATTTTTATCCATTCAGTTAAAGTCGTAATAATCCACGTTACCTACCATCGAAGGACAATTTCTTTACAATCGGCATTTTGCACTTATCCACATAGGTCTCACAGGGATATTAACCGAAGGACATTCGATATCTATTTTTTAAAGAGTTTATCCTTGCCACTCGAGGGAGCCAAGTGCACCGCTTCGCAATCTAATGAAAACTGCCAAAGAAGCGAATTCTTGAATGATAAATAAGTGGGGAGACCTGGGGACAGATTTTCTGATAAACACGAAAAATGAAAAAAGTCAAGAAAAACGGCGACAAACAGTCGACTTTTATTTTCAGCTCGAGATCAGCACAACAATGACATACTTAACGCCCATTCGGCAGGCGCAGGCGGATGGGCGGATGGGCGGCGAGCAAACATAGCGGAGGGTTGGGTCCCGAATCATCTGTCCCCGGATCGTCTGTCCGGAGCACAAAACGAATATATAACTGGAAATGTCAACGGCACCCGAACGGCGGCAGAAACTAAGGAGATACCGAAGCTCCATTCAGCTTCAAGTGCGCAGTGGGGGAATCTGGACACGGAATGGGTTGAGTTGACAACCAATGTCTGGTCTTGTGGACTCCAAGTAATTTTCCACCTCAAGTGGTATTCCAAGCACCTCGATCGATAAACGATGGATCAATATTTGGCTTTAAATTTAACCACATTCAAAGACTCGAATAACTCCTGAATTAATCAATCAAATATGGATTCAACTTTAGTCAAGCGGTGACACCTTGTGTCAGGCATTCTAAAAATGCTAAAATAGACATCTGCACACAACAAAATAATGAATAAATTTGAAAAACGTTTGGAATATTTAGAGTTATATAGTTTATACATTTAGTTTTATATTCATTTACTTTGAGTAAGCGAGTTATAATGAATCAAACTTGTATAAAGTTGAATAATAATAATCAAAAAAGATCTATATCATATAGTAATCCGTGTAACTTTTATCGCAGTGCCTCCTATGATTAGATCATAACACCAGAGTAAGGTGTTAACCATCCCCAATCCCATCATTAAGAGTTACATAGAGCCGCCCCCCGCCCGAGCGCTTGGCGTGTGGGCCTGACAGATTAACGGCTACTGTATATAATGGCGACCCTGCCTGAGAGTTATCATCGTAATTAGTATATCTGATACGGGACCAGAGGTACAATTACCTTATACAAGAGCACAACAACCAAACGCCTGACTTTGAAATGTTTGCGGTTCTGGGTAAAGGGAGTTTCTTGACGACGCGGTGCTAATGCCGCCAAGATCGTTCAGTGTCTGACGCTTTATCTGGACAACGTGGTAAATATGCGGATGTTTTGTAGCCGCTCATTGGTAGAGATAATTGGGGTTATTAATAGGCCCGACCGACCGACTAACCATATTTGTGAACTAGATTCAAGACAAATATTTAAACATTGCCGCGCAGTAGGATTCCCAAAAGAAAATGCGTCATCTAAGCAAGATATTCTAGTGATTGCCATTACGGAAATATACAAAAAAGGATTTTATTAAAGAAACTTCCATATGAAATACTCATTTCAAAAAAAGGCGCCAATAATATATTTTAAATGTATTTTTATGTGTTCTGTTTCTTCCAGCCCTGGATTCTCAAATTGGCGCATCAAGTTAGGTTTCACACCTTCCCATCCAAGTTCACCACCTTTTTATGCCACTTCACACTAATTTTTCTAAATTTTCTCACCCCTAGTATGACACTTTAAAGAGCGATTTTTAGTGGATTTACCCTGTCCAGCGGCGTTTTTTCTCGACCAGGCCGCGGTCACACTGCATTACAGTACGCAGGGAAAAAATAAAATTAGCAACAAAAGCAAAAATTAGCAGCAGTTACCGTGCTAAACGCCGCCGAAATTGCTTATTTTGGGTAGAAAACGCCTCGCCCGCCAGATCGCACACGTCCACGTCGAAAGATCGGAAAGTCTGTAAAGCGGTAAATCGGAAAATAGCACAGCAGCAGGTTAGGGGAAAACGCCAAGTTTCGTGCGTTCCGTCGACTTCGTTTGCTTCGTTCTTCGCCTCTACTCTCCTGGTACTGGTACTGGTGCTGGTGGTGCCTGCTGGCAATTGGCCTGCTCCCCAATCGACGTTATGAACAACAATAGTAAGCGGAAAGCCAGACCTAGCGGTGGCGGAGGCGCTGCTGGCGCTGGCGGAGGAGGTGGCGGCGGCGGAGGAGCTGCCAGCGGCGGCATCTCAAGGTAAGAAGAAGCACAAACTGCAGTAGCAGTCGCGAATAAAGGAAAGAGACGGATAAAGGGGACGACGGGCCGGAGCGGGAGGAGGAGCCATCGAAAAGAGGGAAAACACACACACATGAGCACACCTATGCAGTGCGAATGTGGCAGTGTGTGTGTGGGGCTGGTTTGCGTTTTGCCTTTGCGCTTTGCTTTTGCTCTGCAGTTCGCCGTTCGCCGTTGCCCTGACAAATTGAAAACCCGCGACAGCCAAAAGCGCCACAAAGAGCTCTTTTCTCCGCTCTCCCGGTCCGGTCCGGTCCACTAAAAAAAAGGTGAAAGCGCGTCTCGTGTCCGCGGTGTTTTTATTTATCTTTTTATTTTTTTTTTTCTTTTTGTTTCCCCCGTTTCTGTTTCTGCTTCTTGGTTGTTGCGATGCAGCATCTCGTTTTTGGAACATCGTTCTTAAAATTTTAACTGTAAATGCAAATGGCGCTTATATAATAGGGCCATCGTGGTGTGCATGTGTGCGTGTTTGTTTGCAGTTGTGTGCGGGTGTGTGAGTGTGGCTGTGTTCAGCATCGAACTTTTTATGCTTTGTTTACATTTCCCTTTCACAATGGAATTTGTATGTGTAGAGAACATAACATAATTTGTTTAAAGGTTTCCGTTTTGTCGCGTTGACAGAACCCATGCCACCCCCTCCCTCTCAAATACTCCCACTAGCCGCGTCCATCCCCATCATTCCCCTGGCTCCGCCGTCTTTTTTCCCAGTTCATTCGCTGCTGCGCCCTTAAAATGTTCAATTGAAATATGACTGCAGCGCACACATCTACACTCGCATCCACACATCAACATCCATATCCGCATTTGTGGACAGTGCGGAGCATAAGTATCGGCACGTTCCGCCAGCTTTGAACGGTAGCCGCCATATCTAAACGGAAGAATATGTAAAGATATAAATATTTAACGCCACAAGAGTGCTATATTGATTATTTTCAAAGTCTTTTCCATCAGTGAGTGTCTTACATGGTGATGAATGAAAGTGATTAATTATTTACTTATTAACGGGGAGTTTTGAAAGTGCTTTTAATTTGGTTTTTAGTTAAAGTTTAACAGTTCGACAAACCGGTAATTGAGAAAAATAACTATAGAAACAAACAAACAATTTGTTAAAGCCTTGCTTAAGTTCCTAGTTGAATTTAGTTGAAAGTTTTTCCGTATTTTGTATACTTCTAGTGTTATCTTTTATCATGAATGTTCCACAACTTTGCTGCTTTACTGTAGCGTAATTCCATTAAGAATTATCAGAGCAATCTGCCAGAGCGCCCCGTCCCATACTTATAGCCCAAACTGTTTGAGAGACACGTCCATTATTCATTTGCGCACCAACACAGGTCCAGAGTTGTGGCCACTGTGGCCTGATGCGGTGAGATGACCCTGCTGGCCATTCAGGCCCACTGTGCGGCTGAGGGCCGACGAGGGCCCACAGTGCAAAGACGCACGCACACGAGCTCACGTATTGCACTATATTTTTCTTGTTGTTTTCCTTTTTTCTCTTCTCACTCACTCGCTGGCGCGCTCGCCTTTTTGCGAATGCATTTTCTTGCATTGTCAGCATTTTGCAGCTTTGAGTTTGCCGTTTTCAGTTTTTCATTTTTTCAGTTATTCAGTTTTTCAGTTGCTGTGACGTGCGACGGCTGCGCTGGGTTTCGTTTCGTTCTTTGGCACACTTCGAGCCCCCTTGGAACCCTGTCCCCCGCTTGGGGCTTGAAATTTGGGTCACTTTACAATTTGCTGACCGAACGATACACCTCGCTCTTGTTTTCCGCTCTACGTCTATGCATATTTATTCGCCATTCGGCCATGCACACTTGCTTTCCGAGTGTGTGCCTCCGTCGCAGCCTATTTCCCGGATCCGTTTGCAGTTCTCCGTTCTCCGTTCTTCGCTCTCCGTCGTGCACCTTATCGACGCTGGCGCACGCATGATTCACTCTTGAGCGCAATCAATTATTTGTTTTCATTCACGAAAATGTGCACAATGCACGCTCCGTGAATCAGCTACAGTTTCCCTCCCCCTCCCGTTGCGTTTCGTTCTGCCCCTGGCCCCAGCTCCATCTACTGCCACTGCCCCTGCCACGGCCACTGCTACTGCTCCTGCTACTGCCCCTGCCCCTGCCCCTGCCCCTGCCTAGCCATCCCACACCCACCACGGGTTCATTGTGCGTTGCGTTGCGCATTTCACGGTCGTCGATCCTGCACGCAACCAAAGCCAAAACACCCCGAAAAACCAACGCGTCCGTTCAGACGAACCGAAATGAACTGAACTGAGCTTAGCTGGTCCGCTTTGAGCTGGGAGCGGGACAAAGCTGGCCAAGGGGTTACATTTCGCTAAAAACGTTTGCGGAATAAATAACACAATCTCTTAGAAATGATTAAAACAGTTTTCCACACATTCATGACACTTGTACCCAATTTTTGGTGGCTAAAGTTCTACCTCTCGAGGACAAACTCTGGCAAGATAGATAAGAGAAGTGATATGGCTGTAAAATATAAAAATATAAAGATATTTAAACTTATTAAATGTGTTTAAAATTGTATTTGCTTGTATTTGTTGAATCACTCGAACATAATTGCCGTGATTCCCCGATAAAGTCTTTCCACAGACGTTCGAAATTTGCTCTTTTCTTAAAACAAAGCGAAACAAGAAATGAAACATACTTCGGGACGCCGAAGTTTATATACCCTGGTTTTTTGCAATAGAATATATATAAGAGAATATTCGCACTCAATGCTATACTTATCGATATTTTTACATGGCAGTTTTTAACGTCAAATCAAAGTTTAAATCATAATAATCTCATAACTATGACAAAAATGTATTAATTTGAATTCGGAAAGCTTCCCTATGCTAGTTTTTTCGAGGTAAATAAAACTGCATACTCAATTTCAAATT